ACTTGCTGCTTGCGTTTGCCGCCGCGCATGCTGGTGACGCCGTGGCCGTTGGTGGCAAAGTGCACCGCCTTGCGCGAGTTGACCAGCTCGGCGTCGCCCTGACCCGGCGCGTTGGCGCGCTTGCGCATGCTCGACGTGCCGAGCTTGTTGAGCAGCGCGAGGTTGTTCTCGCGTTCCGCCGCGGCGTCCTTTTCGTTGGCATCAAACTTGCGCTTGATCCCCTTGGGTTTCGACTCGCCCTTGAGCGTCTTATCGAACCGTCCCATAGACGCGGTGCTTGCACGCGATCTCAGCACATCAGCTTCGAGCTCTGCCTTGCGTCGCTCGCGCTGTGCGGCCCTTGCGAGCTTGGCCGCATTCGCATCGCCCAACCCACCACTCTTGGACGAAGATGCAGTAGCGGAGGCGCTAGCGGCAGCAGCACGTGCGACGTTCTTCTGGCGCTGCGATTCGTTCTTGGCCTGCTTGGCGAGACGCTCCTTCTTGGCGGTTTTGGCCGGGTCGAGGTCGGTGTTGCCGTTGTTCTTGAGTTCGTGGATCCACTGTTCCTCGAGATCCTTGTTGGCACCCTTGTAGCCCCAGCGCGGCACCCACTCGCCGGTGGCCTCGTCGTAGATCATCTTGTCCTTCTTGCGCGATTGGATGCCCTTCTGCTTGGCGAACTTCTCCCACTTGGTGAGCGGCTTGGGCTTGGGCATGCTCTTCTCGCGCGGCAGACGCGAGGCAAACGCCGGCAGCGCCGCCAGCGGGCCGTACTCGGCATCGCGCGTCACGGGAAGCGCAAAGATCCGGTTGATCAGAGACTGCACCCCATCGCGTGCGCGGGTGCGGAGAGCGTCGGCCGACGTAGAGCTGACCGGGTTCGGGTTGATCGAGGTGAGCAGACCCAGGTCGAACTGGAACGGTGTGGCGCCCTCGTCGACGGTGGTGGGCTTGTATTTGGACGAGGAGGCGGCAGCGAGCGCGGTGCCGTCGAGCGATGTGGTGGCGTCAGCGACCACGGTGGTAGGCATGTTGTCCGATCTGCCCTGGGGATGGTGGTGATGCTGGTGTGAGGGATGATGGGGTGGTGAGGCCGGATGATGAGCACAAGGCTCAGCCGAGGCGCAGCAGAGAGGCAGCAAAATCTGGGAATTTTTGCAAGAATTTCGCACACTCGCCAAAATTCCATCGCGATACACGGCGTGCCCGATCGCAATCGCATCGGCGGGCGCCGTGGCGGCGTTGGACCCTGAACCGTTGGGCCTGGCCGAACGGATGCCGTTGACCACTTGACACCCGTTGCCTTCATTCAGCTCATCACCATCTGCGACGCAGCATCCCTGGTCCGGAAATGAGCGCCATGAGCGTCGACGGCATCTCGATCGGATTCTATCCCGACGAGGGCGATGCAGGCGGTACCAAAACGTACCTCTCGCACCTCAATGCCACGCTTTCGTCAAGCTGGCCCTCACCGCATCGCGCGCCCGTGATCAATGTCGTAGGATGGTACGCGCAAACCTACCCGGGCGAGGAATTCACGGGCTCGCAGCTGCTTCCGCTTGTGCAAGATATCAAGGCGGAGTATGTGCGATGCGGTGGGGCGGTGCAGATGGTGTACGAGGCGTCGGTGATGCCGTTCCAGTCGTGGACGGGCTATACGCGCGACAACCCACGCAAAGCACACGAGGTGGCGAGAGTCATGCAGGCCATCCTTGTCGCCAGCCAGCTGGACGACGACTTTGCGATTGCAGAAATAAGGCTGCGGTTCGGACACGAGGTGAATTACTACATACGCTCGGGGCTATACCCCCCTCCGACGGGTGTGGATGAGGCAAGGGACTTTAGAGAGGCGTTTGACCAGGTGGCGATTGCATGTCGTGCATTACCGGTGGAGTATGCGCGGAGGGTAAAGATGTTCTGGTGCCCCAATATCGCCTCGACAGCCTCGGGGGCTATGGCAGAGTACGAGCGGTTCCAGCCCACAATGGAGCACGTCGACTATGTGGGGATCGACTACTACTGCCCCGCGCGGGGTTGCTTGGATGCAGCCGACTTTGTGCGCAAGATGAAACCGTTTCACGACAAGTATGCCTCCCCCAACAGGCCGTTTTTGCTCGGAGAAACGGGACTCCATTTCGACCAAAGCGAGGGTGGCGGCACACAGGCAAAGCTCAAGTGGCTCGATGCAGTGACGAGCAAGGAGGCCCGCAGGAAGTTGCCCCACCTCCGGGGTGTGAGCTGGTTCAACTATGAGAAGGACAGGGATTATCGGTTGATCTTCGTCGCGCAAACAGAGGCGGCCAAGACGGCGGCATTTGCGCAGTGGCTGTACGCACGCATGGCGGAAGAAGACAAGACATCGCCGGCGAGAGGGGGAGGCAAGGTGAAGAAGTTGTGGAAGACGTTGATGGCGGGGTAAGAAATGCATTGCATGGCTGGTGTCTATGCGGATTTGGTGCGCTTGGCGGGTGTGGTGGGAGAGAGCGAGTTGGAGATGTGGCTTTTCACGGTTGCGATTGCGTCGACCAAGCGTGGGGCGGCGACTAGGGCGAGAGCATGCACGAGGGCAAGCAGGGCGAATGCCACGTAGAACGCCATGGTCACGGGGAGGCAGATGACCCTGCACCTGGCGATTGCATCCACGGTCTCTGCGACGATGCAGCCCCACTGTTTTGTCGTCGGCACTGCACGTTCGGCGTGTCTGACGTCGAACGGCAGATACACGCCCTCGATGGCAGCAGCAGCGCGCAGGCCCGATGCAAACCCGTCCTCGTGGAAGCCATACTTGGTCCACGCACCCACAAAGAACGCGCCCTTACCGCCCTGGAGCTGTTGCAGCTCGTGTTGGGCAGCCACCGAGTCCGGCGTGTAGATCGGGTGCGAGTAAGTCTGGCGCCGCACAACGAGCTCGGGACGCGGGGTGTAGGGCGACTCCGGCTCCGTGCTCGGATTGAGCGTCACCAACACCGGCCCGAACTTGGCTTCGGGGAGGGATTGGAGGAGGTTCATCCAGTACGTCAGCGAGACACGGTCCACGTCCCCACCCCGCTGGGTTTCGGCGAGGAAGTTCCAGGCGGACCAAGCCGCACGACGAACGGGCATCAGCCGCGTATCGGCGTGCAGCACCGCCGTGTTGTGGCTGAATCCAAACCGGTCCAGCACCGCCAGAGTCTCGGTGAGGGAGGAAGAGGAGTGGCGCAGACCGGCGCGCAGGATGGCAGCGGTCTGGTCGGCGTGTGTGGCAAAGATGACACGGTCGAAGTTGGGGTGATGCTGTCCATCGGCGGTTTCGATCGTCCATTTGCCCTTGTCGTCGATCCAGGCAGCTTGGACCGCACCCTTGTGGGGGCCCTGGTGGATGCGGTGCGGGGGGAGCTTGGAGGTGATGCGATCCACATACGAGCGCGAGCCGTTTTTGATGGTGAGCCACTGGGGCCGATCTAAAATCTGGAGGAGGTGGTGGTTGTGCATGAACCTGAGCAGTGTCAGCGCCGGGAATGAAGCCAAAGCGGTTTCGGGTGCGGTGCTCCAGATGCTGGCGGTCATGGGGATGAGGTAGTTCTTCCTAAACCCAGCCGAATAGTGTCGGGCATCGAGCCAGGCGCCGATGCTGATCTCGTCGCCGGAGTGGGGGAGGCGCAGGTAGTCGACGGCCTGCTGGTTGAAGCGGACAATGTCCCACACCATGCGCCAGTGCGACGGATTCAGCAGGTTGGTGGGTTGGCAGAATAGCGCGGCGGGGGAACCGCCCGCCCATTCAAACGCCCCGTAGGCGCGTGCGTGGCGCGTCACGCTAAACGACATGTCGCTGTCCAGAATCTCGACGCCGGTGAGCTGGAGAAAGCGCAGGAGGTTCGGGTACGTGACGCGGTTGAATACGATGAACCCTGTATCGACGCGTGTGGACGGCGCCGACGCAGAAGAAGCGCACGTGGGCGGCGTAAAGGTCACCGTGTTGGCGTGACCGCCCAGCCAGGAAAGCGGCTCGAAGAGCGAGACCGAGTGAGAGGAGTACTCGTTCAACCCCCATACGGCGGCCAGGCCCGACACGCCCGCGCCCACCACGGCGACTCGCAACGACTCGTCCATATCGTACAAGAGTAGGTAGAGGCGATGGTGGAGAGAGGCAAACAGCAAGGTTGAATGCACAGCACTGCAACCCCCCGGATCGACGCGTGCTTCCGACATCTGCAAGTCCGAGACGACTCTCTCGGTGGCCGTGCGCAACTGCCGCCGAAAAGGGTCCCCTCGTGAAATCGCGTTACCCAATCCCCCATCCTCCGCGGCTTTGGCATGCGGTTCTGTTTTCGACAGCCAGGGGGCAAGCCCCCCGTCACGACCCCCCCCCCCCCTTCCTCATTCGTGCAAGACACACTCTCCGACGTCCAATGGAACACGTTCGTATATTGCTTCGCCACCTTGGGCTCGTCGGCGAGATGCACGTACTGCATTGCGTGTGTGTGTGAGTGCGTGCGTGCGTGCGTGCGTGTGTACAACCCAGCCGCCGCACGGAGATGACGCGCACTGATCTGTGATGCGGCGCCGAGCATCTCGCGAGCCTTCGCAAGCCGTGCTCGCGGTCGTCGTTAAGCTCAAGGTCGCACTCTTCACCCCTGACGCTGCTGATCTCGAGGATGTTCTGATCGTTGGCATTCGTGTGGCTGAGTACGCTCCCACCCTCACGAAGAGTCTCGCCCATCTCTGCCTGAAACCCCCGCAGAGACTCGCGCCATCTGGAAAAATGTCGTGGTGGATTGCATGGCTAGTCGTACACATGCTGCGCCGCAATGGCCGGATGCTCCTCGCCCCTCCACAGCTCGGGCACATCGGGACTCGGCTGTTCGTCGTCGACATTGGCAAAAAGAATGCCGCGGTACCTCTGGCTCCACGCCTTGGCCTGCTGTGCGCTGAGCAGACGCTCGTAGCGGTACTTGCGTTCCTCCTCGGCCTCTCCCGATGCGCGTGCCCCCTCCTCGTCCCTGTCGACCTTATTCGCAGGGTGGGACGAGGTCCAAATGCCCGACCAGCCAAAGAGCGCACCCAGCAGCCGCAACGGCATGGGCACAGGCATCACCATGGTGTTGACAAACGCCGACAACGCCTCCATCGTCGTCGGCTCCATCAGCGACGGCGCGCCTGCGCTGCGCATCGACGCCGAGCCGCGCTGCAGCAAAGCCGCCTCTGTCAACCGCCAGCCCGAGCCGTCGTCCGGCTCCTCGCCGCGCACACGCTTGTCGTTGGCAAACAGCACCGATGTTGCTGGGTCGACGACGTCAGCCTCGGTTTCGCCCACCTCGGTCTCGGCGTCCGAGGCGTGCCAGCGCTCGTGCTCGCTGCGTCCGTCGAGCATCATGCCCTCAGCACACAGCGGTGCAGCATCGGGCGACTCGAACGCAAAACCTGCCCGCGGGACAGTAGTGCGTGAGGGCGGCTGCGCACCCGACCGCTGACGCTCTGCATCGTCGTGAAGGAAAGCATCGAGCACCTCGGGTTCGAGGTCAAACACCTTGCGCAAGATGGTGCCGATCACGCGCGACGTCTTGGACGCATGCTGTGCGGTGGCGAGGTGCGATGCGCGCGTGGACGACTTGGGCGTGTCTGCGCCGTGGGCGTGCTCACCACGGGCGTGCTCAGCGCCGCGTGAGCCAAAGCGACGCGCGTCGTAGTCGACGCTGAGCAGGCTCTGGGAGGTGTTGCTGCGCTTGCTGGAGCGGCCGGCGGCGGAGCGTCGATGCCTGCGCTTGGGCCGACGCAGCCGATCGGCGTGGTCGACGTGCGAGAGGCCGGCGCTCTGCGCGAGGTTGCTGATGGCCAGCTCGGCGTCGTCGTTCGCATTGTCGTGGGCGCGTGCTGCCTCGGCGTCTTCGCGCTCCGAGCCGCTGGTCAGGACGACGGGCAGATGGTGCGTGACGTGAGGCGCGCGACGGGCACGACGGCTCGAGTGCGCGGAAGAGTAGAGCTGCGTGGATGCCGAGGGACTTTCCTCGACTCGTTCGAGAGCGTTGGAGCGAGCGAGCAGCGACCAAGCCTTGCTGCCTAGCAGATGGCTGTGCGAAGGCGTGGTGCCGTCGTCGTCGTCGTCGCTGTCGACGCTCACGTGGCTGGCATGGCTGAGCCTAGAGGGTTTGCGGCGGGAGGCGGTGCTGGGAGCGCCTGTTGCTCTTCGTACGGGACTGCGTCCGGGATGATGGGAGGAGGAGGCGGCGGCATCGCTCTCAAAGTCAAAGTCGGAGCCGGAGCCAAAGCCGAGCTCTTCATCCGCATCGAGCTGCGAGTCGGTGCCGCTGAAGACGGAGTCGGGGAAGATGTCTTCGGAGTGGCGTGCGTCGGAGAGGTGGCCGTCGTCGTTGGTGTAGTTGGATGGCGCATCGGTGGAAGCGAGGTCGGTGGAAGCGGGGCTGAGGGGCGAAGCGATGAATCGGCCAGTGCCATCGTGCAAGGGTGGCAAGGTGAGCGCGAGTGGATTCGAGTCGTCGGTGAGCTCCGAGTCTAGGGTGGGCGATGCGGGCGCTTGGCGTGCTCTACCGGGGAAGACGATGCTCCAATCCTGGTCGACCTGACGTTCGTGGCGGTGGTGTGGCGGTGCGTGTGTTTGGTGGTGTGAATCGTCTGCGCGATCCCTGCGCTGTTGTCGTGGCTGGTGGTGTACGAATGCCATGTTTGCTTGCTATGCGACGGCCGCGTGGTGATGGATGTCAGCTCGAAGGGGGGATGAATGATTCTTATGCTGATGTAGATCGTGGCAATGCGACGGATGGACTGGTTATCGATGACACGACGAGATGAAGCGACGCCCAAGCTCTGTGGGAAAGAGGTGGGAGAGATCAAGAGGGAGATGAAGGATGTGCGGCGAGATGGGGCTTGCGATTGTGACTCTGTGATTGTGATTGTGTGATTGAGGGTGGGTGGAGGGGGCTAATGGGGCACTTGAGCAGCTTACAGTGGATTGCGGGCTGGAGATAGCATGAGTGAGCGAGCTCCAGCCAGCGCCGATTGGGGAGGCGGCGGAAAAGGTCAGGCGAGCGGCGACTCTGTTGGCTCGCTGCCATGCACGCCCATGCAGGCGGGTGCAGGCGGGTGCAGGCGAGTGCAGCAGAGCCAGGGTCCAAAAATCCTGCCTCACTCCTCCTTTTTTGGGCGGCGGCTCAGCTCAGCTTTCGGGCGCGCGTGAGACGAATCGGTGCGTCCGATGGCGAGCTTGGGTGTGGATATCGCCATCTGCCCTCGCTTCCCTGTCAAAGCGCCAACACCGGTGCGCAACACTGCAGCCAGATGAACAAGTGCAAAGGAGCGTCGTCACTCCAGAGAAAATTTGGCCGGGGCGCGCGCGCGAGAGAGAGAGAGAGAAGAGAGAGAAAGAGAGAGAGATGGCACCGGCGCATATCTCTCGTCCGCCTCGCTTGTTGCTTGTTGCTCTCGCGCGCGCGCCCGACATTCAGAAGAGCCTCTGCGCGCCAACACCAGCCTCCAAGTTGGCCGGCTCTCAACCCTCTCTCGCGGCATCATCAAAGCTCCTTTCCCACTCATCCGACCTGTCGGCCGAGCCCAAACTCTCCGACCATAGCCGATGCCAATCACGGACAAAGAAACAGCGTGCTCATCATGCTCGTGCTTCAGCAGTAAAGTAGCCCGCTTATCTCGCATGCGAGGCGGGACCCTCACCAGTGACGCGTACCCGCTGCACACTGACGCCTGCAACCAAAAAGGGGAGGCCCGAATGGGGCCAAAAAAACAAATGCTCCGTACTGGGCTCGAACCAGTGACCTTCCGTTGTAAATACTCAGCTGTGCTGAGGCACCGTGTATTAGACGGATGCGATAATCCAACTACGCTAACGAAGCTGTTATGTCTTTGCCGTAAAGTATTGTATGTATATCGCGGTATTCTTGTTGAAGGCGTCGGCGATTATGTAAAGCTTCGAAAGGGCGGTTGGAAATGGCGCTGGATTGGTTCGTCCGGTGCGGCCGTCGCCGTCATCGGCCGTTGGCCAAGTTGGCGAAGGAGAGTGGCGAGTGGATAGCCGATTCCCCGTCCCGCTCTCTCCTCTCTCCACAGTCCAGTTTCGGTTCGGCGTTCGGTGGAGATGGCTCGGGGCGGAAGCGCTGTCCGTTTGGTTCCCCCGCTCTCTCCCACTTTCTCTTCCCCCACACTTTTGGCACTTGGCACGCCTAGCCACCGATATATACCCCGCATCGCTTCCTTCCTTCCCCCCACGTCCTTCCACACAACAACACAAAGATGCTCAAGTTCGACGAGGTTCAAAAACACAACTCGCGCGAGTCGTGCTGGGTGGTGGTGCACGGCAACGCGTACGACGTGACCGAGTTCCTCCCCGACCACCCGGGCGGAGCGGGCATCATCCTCAAGTATGCCGGCAAGGACGCCACGGAGGAGTACGACCCCATCCACCCGCCCGGTACGCTCGAGGAAAATCTGCCCAAGGAAAAGTGTCTCGGCCCCGTAGACCCCTCGACGATCAAGAAGGAGGAGAAGGTGGAGAAGAAGCAGGTGGTCAAGGATGAGGGGGGCGTGCCGCCGCTGTCGCAGTGTCTCAATCTGTACGACTTTGAGGTGATCGCAAAGAGGGTGCTTAAGCCGACGGCTTGGGCGTACTACTCGAGCGGTGCCGATGACGAAGTCACCATGCGCGAGAATACCTCGGCGTTTGGAAGGATCTGGTTCCGACCCAGGATTCTCAGGGACGTCAGCAAGGTCGATTTCTCCACCTCGCTGCTTGGTCAGAAATCCACCCTGCCGGTCTACATCACCGCCACCGCCCTCGGCAAGCTGGGCCACCCCGATGGAGAGAAGAACTTGACCGTGGCGGCGGGTAAAGAGGGTGTGATTCAGATGATCCCCACGCTGGCCTCGTGTTCGTTTGACGAGATTGTGGCCGCCAAGACGCACGATGCCCAGGTGCAGTTCATGCAGCTCTACGTCAACTCGAACCGCGCCATCACCGAAAACATCATTGCCAAGGCCGAAAAGGCGGGCATCAAGGGGCTTTTCGTCACCGTCGATGCGCCCCAGCTCGGACGCAGGGAGAAGGATATGCGCATGAAGTTCGACGATGTCGGCAGCGATATGCAGAACCAGAACAAGGACAACGTGGATCGATCCCAGGGCGCAGCACGCGCCATCTCGAGCTTCATCGACCCCTCGCTCAGTTGGGACGACCTCACCTGGTTGCGATCGGTCACCAAAATGCCGATTGTGCTCAAGGGCGTTCAGACGTGGGAAGACGCCGTACGTGCCGCCGAACTCGGTCTGAGCGGTGTGGTGCTCTCCAACCACGGCGGTCGACAACTCGACTTTGCGCGCTCCGGTATCGAGGTGCTCGGCGAAGTGGTCGAAGCGCTCAAGGCCAAGGGACTCTTCCCCAACCCCATGTTCCAGATCTTTGTCGACGGCGGTATTCGCCGCGCCAGCGATGTCCTCAAGGCCGTAGCTATGGGTGCTACAGCCGTGGGTATCGGTAGGCCGTTCTTGTATGCCTACTCGGCGTACGGAAGCGATGGTGTCGTGCATGCGTTGCAGCTGCTCAAGGCCGAGATGGAGATGAACATGCGGCTGCTCGGCGCGCCTACGCTCAAGGACGTCGTGCCCGAGATGGTGGATGCCAGGGCTCTGGGAACGCACGTCAACTTTACGCCCGTGTCGCATGGACACCAGATCTACGAAAAGCTCCAGACTGCGGTGGGCATGCCCGGCGAACCGGCCAACAAGCTTTAGAACCGACCATCCGCACTGTATGCAATGATCATGTAATTTGTCGAAGGAGAGTGTGGGCTAGCAAAGGAGGGCGGGGTCGATGGTGGTGATGCGGATGGTGTGGTCGAAGCCACAGCTGGCGAGCGTGTGCTCGTCGAGCGCAACAACGTCTTTGATGACGGGGTTGCCGCCGCGCGTCCAGGAGGCGGCCACTTGGTCCGGAGCGACGAGACCGTGCGCGAGGACGGTGGCGCGCGTCTTGCCGCCAAGATCCACCAAGCGCAACACGCCATCTTCAGAGTTGAGCCAACATGCCCGGCCGGATGGCAGCCAGCTATGCCGGGGTGTGCCGAACGTGCCCGTCTCGAGGCCCGTCCATACCGTCGCCGCCCTCACGCCCGAAAGCGGTTGTAGGAGAAGCAAGCGGCTGGAGGAGGAGGAGGAGTGGTCGCCCGTTTGGATGCAGATGTACAGCCCCGATGCGTGCAGCGACAGCGAGAGCAGCGAGTACGATACGTGCAGGTCCGACGCCACCGGGTTCGTGTTGAAGCTCTCCACGCTCCAGTCGGGCGTGCGGGCGGAAGAGAGCGAGGTGGAGGCGAGCGTATCGGCCAGGTCGTCCGTGTCTAGCGAGCTGTCGGCAGTAAGGGGGAGCGCGAGGTAGTGGACGAAGCTGTCGTGGCGAACGGTAAAGCACAGCCAGGTCCGTTGACGGCGTGCAGCGCGGATCGTCACCTCGCCCACTGCAGGTGCTGAGGAGGAAGTGGGTTCGCAAGACTCGGGTGCGGCGGCGGCACGCACAAAGAGGATCGCCTCGGGATTGTGGCGCGTCTCCATCTCGAACGCCTTTTCGTACCGGCCACCCTCGAGCTCTCCCTGGTCCTCCTCTTCTCCGTCCACTGAGGTGGTGGAGAAGCGGGTGTGATGGACGCGCCTGTACACGACGAGCTTCTTGTCGTATCCGATACTCGCCATGTACTCGCCCGTCGCACTCACCGCCAGCCGCACCACAAACTTGGTGTGGTGCTTGAGCGTCTGGATCGGCTTGCGCGTCAGAAGATCCCACACGACGATGCTCGCGTCCATACTCGCCGTGACGATGCATCGTGCATCCTGTGGGTCTTGCACCACACTCAAAACTGCCGCGGCGTGTGCGCCGTCGAGGATCTCCTCTACCTCGCCCGTTTGTGCGTCGGTAAAGACCACTCGACGATCGGCGCCCGTCGTGACCAAACACTCCTGCAATGTGTTGGCATACCTCGCTGTGGCCGTGTCGAATGTACGTCGGGGGAGAGCGAGGCGGGTGATGGAGAGGATGTTGGAGGCATGGATGGTGTCGTACGTGCGTGCGAGCGCGAACGGCAGCGTCGCAGGACCCGGCAGCGACAGCGTTAGCGGGTCCACCACCGATCGCACCGAGTGCGTGCTGTTGAGCTCCTCCGCCGCCCGACGCTGCTCCTCGGCCCGCACGCTGGAGCGGTAGGTTTCAACGAGCGTACGAAGCTCCAGCGCATCGTCGCGGAGAGGCGGCAGCGAAAGTCCCGTAGCCTGCGCATCGGCTCTTAGTTGCGCTGCCGAAGATGTGTACCCTTGCGAAAGCAGGAAGCGCTCCACCACGAGGTGGGAGGCGATCGTCAGATCGTATTCGGATGCTCGTGCTGCCGACATGCTTGGGTGCCCCTCTGTAGGATGATGGTGTTGATCGCACAAAAGGCTTGCAGGTCAAGCGAAGGTAAGGCGAAAACTCAACGACGCTTTGACCGCCCCTCTCGCCAAAAAATTCAGGGTCCAATGCTGCGCCAATCTCCCCCACCTTCTCATGCTCACCATGCGTGGTGTCATATTGGAAAGAAGTGAGTCAAGTCTGCCTGCCGCAGATGATGATGCAGAGGACCACCTGGATCACAGCAGAGCCTTGAAGGTGGGCAGAGGTTTCTGGTGATGCGAGGGTGCAAAAACGGATTGGCGTTGTCGAGGTCGGCTCAGGCAGAATCGAGGAGAGGTGACGAGTGCAAATCGATTCAAGAGCGAGGGAGAACCTCGCCGATCGTAGCTAGCCTACGTGGCGATGCTGAGTACGTGTCCAAGCAAGCTCTGTCTCGACCTGATCTCACGCAGACTTGAACCCCTTGCGATGCGTGCGCTGCCTCACCGAGCAGCAGACGAGCCCATCCACATCCGCTCGACTGTGCCCGGCAAGCTCGTGTCGCTCCCTCGTCGACCCGGATGAACACGTCGAATCGCGCCTGTGATCAAGGCAATTCTATACAAAGCAAGGCGGCTCTACAGTACAACGGGAAGCTACAGCTTCTGCGCATGCGGGCGGAGCACACACACCTGTGTCATGCACGCCACGAGGTTGTGGCTACGATCCCACAGACACGCCTCGGAGTAGGTGCGGCAGTCGCCGCCGGCGTGCGTCTGCATCTCGCGCAGGTGGAAGTCGTCCATATCGGCTGGCTTGAAGAAGCGCAGGGCGGTATCGAGCGACGACGCCACCGCCGCATCCGCCAGCGACTTTTTCGAAAACGTGAGCGGGATGAACGACAGCGCTGCGTCCATCAGAAACGCCACCAGACTCGCATTCGCCGAGGCGGGCGACATGCTCATCGCCTCCCCAGCCTCCGCGTAGCTACATGCCGGCAGCGAGGCTCGAGAAGGCGCAGCTGGTGGAGATGCCAGCTCGTGCTTGGATTTCGACCAGTCTACCGCAAATCGGTCGGTGAGCGGCAGCGCATGCTGCTCGGATTCGGCGAGTGGGTCAAGGCCAATAGCGTTGTGCGCGTGCAGTCCCTGCGGAGGAATTGCGCTCACCACCACCTTGGTGTTGAGGCCAAAGACGACGTTCTGGAAGTGGTCCGCCGCTTTTTGATTCACCTTGCGCTCCTGCACCTTGCGCAGCACAATGTCGCGCATCGTGGGCAGCTGCTCCGGCGGCGAATACTGCATGCGCGGCTTCTTGCTGTACGCCACGAACGGCGCCCCCGCATGCGAGGTGTCGATCTTGTTGGGCGCGACAAAGTCGACGAGCGCCGAAAACGTGCTGCGTTCGCTGCCGTCGTTCTGCACCTGGCTCGCCACCACGAAGCGCGTAGCAAAGCTGCGTGTGTCGCGAACGTGCGTCACGACGAGCTTGACGTTGCGATCCGACAGCGTGGGCCCGAGAAAGTTGCCGAGCAGAGAGTAGATCTCAAAGTTGCGCTGCTCCTTGCGCGATTCGATCGACTTGAATGCCGCCTGCACCGTGAGCGCCTGCACGCACCCGCCGTACGCAATCGCGGCGGTGTTGCCCATCTTTTCAGGGTAAGAACACGAGATGTACACGTTCGGGTCCGATGTGGCGAGCAGCCGCACCAGCTCGACGAAATTGGCCGCCATAGTGTCGCAGGAGAATGATGGCAAGGAAGGAAGGAAGGAAGGAAGGAAGAGCGGTGGAGGTGGACGGAAAGTAACCGGCAATGCCAGAAAAAAAAAAAAGCAGCCCATGAACGTCGATATCGGAGCTCCAAATCAAGCCAAGCAATTCAAGCAAGCAACAGTCGCCTGGCTCCGCCCCGCCCGGGTCTCCAACGGAAGCAGAGGTGTAGCGTGGTACGCCGAATGTGCGCTGCTCCGACTGTTGGTGCTGTCGCTGCACGGATTTGCGCACCTTGTCGCAAAGAAAAAGAGAGCGGATAACCAATAGCCGGACCCCGGTGGCTCGTACCTCGCTACGCATTTATTTCCATGCGAGCCTCGTCCCATTCAACCAGCCACGCTGCCGGCCACACTGCACTGCGAGCGTATGGCGGTACCTCAGGTTTGGCGACAAACAGAAGTCGCTCGTACAACCTGGTCAACACCCACGTCCAGGCTGCATGCACAGCTGCACCTCGGTACGGCTGCAGTGAGACCCACTTATTGCCGGTCGCTGCCTGGCTTGCGAGTTGGATGCTGCCGACCCACTCAGCGCTGGGCGCGTATGTCGTGCCGCTGTGCACTGCACCTGAGCCGGCAATGTCAACGAACTGTATCTCCGGAGCAGACGAATAGGATCTCGACCCACCGCCCAATTTATCCGCCGAGTGCAGCTCCTACCTGTTCCTGAGCCCGCGTCCAACCGTGCCTTCGTGGCGAAATTTGCTTTGTCGCACACGTACTTTACAGCAACTCTGCTGGCATCCCAACGGCCCATCCAGACTGTGACCAAGCCGGTGAGGGCCGGGATTCACATGGCAAATCTGATCCGTCCAGGCTTCCAACCGGTGCACCGAAGGGCGAGTCGGATCGGTCGGCTGAAGTCCCGATTGTGCATCGGCCGTCGGTGCCAGATCGGCGTAATTGTCAAAAGTGGAGCGGCTCGTCAGAGACTTTGAAACCTGCAGTCGGGAAGCTTTTGGGTGCACGTTTGTTCGCGACGCCCATCATCTTTGAGGTCGCAGCTCGCATCGCCGCTTCTACATGGCGCAGTACGAACGCATCTACACGTACCGAACCAACCGAGCCGCTGCTGCACGCCACAACGCCACCATCGGCCTCGTCGCCCTGCTCGCCCTCGTCGCCGTAGCTTCCGTCGTCTTCCTCTCGGTCACCGACTACGTCTACTGGCGCCAAGCACGCCCAAACAGCTTCCTCAACCAACTAGCCCCACAACCCATCCGCAACGGCTCCTTGACAGGCAAAGGCAAAGGTGACACCATGGCATCGGTCGCAGGGTCCACGCTGGATGAGTTCCTGGTGCAGGCCAAGCGCGATGCATTCGAGCACCTCAAGGCTGGCGCAGCCGCCAAGCAGAAGCTCACCCTCGTCATGGGCAACGAGGCGGGCGATCTCGACTCGGCAGCTTGTGCCATCGGGCTCAGCTACCTGCTCTCCCGCTTCGGACCGCCGCAAGGCTACAAGCTCGGCGCGTCGTCGTACGTGCCCTTGATACAAAGCATGCATTCGGACGACGTGCTGCGGCCCGAGAACACCGCCGCATTCCGAGCAGCGGGCATCGATCCAGAGCACACCCTCTGCCTCGACGACATCCAGCACACGCTCGGGCTTGCGCTCGACTCGGACGCATTCGCACCCGCCGCCAACGTCGCGCTCGGCCTCGTGGATCATCCCTCGCTCACGGGGCCCTGGGGCGGCAGCGGCGCGTCGAACCGAGACGTCGAGATCGTGCTGGATCACCACGAGGATGTAGGCGATCACGCGGATGCGCCGCTACGCATCGTCAAGTCGCCCTCCAAACAGCCCGTCGGCAGCTGCAGCAGTATGGTCGCCGACCTGTTTGCTGCGCACTTTGCACAGGCCAGCGCGACGGACGTGGCGATGCACCAGGTGGCCGATCTGCTCATGAGCGCCATCGTCATCGATACCGACAACCTCCGCGCCGCCCCACGCGGCAAGGCGACCCAGACCGACTTTGATGCCGTCAAGACGCTCTTCCCGGCCTCGTCGTTTGGCAATCCCGAGACGTCGCAGCGCATCCGGGAAACGGCGCTGGCCTTCTCGCCGCTCAAGGACCAGGTGCACGGCGCGTCGGTGGAGCCCATCCAGCCCGTCAGCCCGTCCGAGCACACCGACTCGGCGACGCAGAGCGCAAAGATCATCCTCGCGCCCTTCTGGAGCATCCTCTCGCGCGCAAAGCAGGCAGTCGACCATCTCGCCGGTCGCGATCTGCTGCGCAGAGACTACAAGGAGCTCGACTTTGTCGGCGGCGCCGAAGAATCGTCCTTGTCGCTCAAGCTCGGTTTTGCATCCGTTCCCATCAGCATGGTCGAGTGGCTGCACAAGGACCGGCCCACCCCGCGCCTCGCCGATGCGGCCGACCCGAAGCAGGAGGTGCGCGATGCGTGGGCGGCGTGGTGGAAGGTGCTCGACGACTTTATGGACGAGCGCAAGATCGACATTGCCGTCATGACCGGCTCGTTCCGCGTGCCCGAGGGCGAGGTGGATGCCGGAAAGCACAAGCGTGAACTTGTGCTGGCGTTTGCACCGCGCAGCTTGCGCGAGAGCCAGGCGTCGATGCTGTGGCAAGAGCTGCGCCGCGGCCTCGAGACCGACGCGCATGTGGCAGCTGACCAGGTCGACCGCCGCCTCATGCTCGAAGAGCCCTGGAAGGGCCAGCGTCTGCCCGAAAGCGCAGGCGGCAAAAAGGAGAGGGTGCAGGGTGTCGACACCGACGGTCGCAGACTCGAGCTCGCCGCGCACGCACAGCCACGCTGGGCAAAGGTGTACAGACAGGCCAACGCGCGTGCCAACCGCAAGATCGTGCTGCCCGCAGTGACCACGGTGCTCAAAGCGGCAGCGAGGAAGTTGTGAGCCGTCGTACACGCCGTCGCAGCGCAAATCACGGCAATCATAGAGCTCTTGTCGTATCTGAGCGAGGCAGCATGTGACGTGGATTCTGTGTGATGTCGGGCGAATGCGGAGGCGGTCATCCGATCCCGAATGAGACCCTTTGTGAGAATCGAAGCGAGAGATGCTCGCCGTGGAGAGTGGAGAGAAAGCCGGATGCCGCCGGGTGGGATCGGCGCTTTTTTGGAAGGATTCCGCGGAACGCTACGAGTCAGGGCAGTGCTCGCCAAGGCAGGCGTGCGCACTAGCGCGCTCGAACCGGCATCGCGTGGGAACGTCAAGCTCGCCGCTCGTCGCTCAGCGTTCGGCGTGGGGGGCAAAGAGGGCGGGTGCCTTGCCACCAAGCTCGGCATGCTGCAAGGATGGAGCGACACAGGGATGCTGAACAGGCAGCCGGATTGGTGGATAGCAGCCGAGTGTCGAGCCACGTTCATGCGCTGTACCTTGACGTACATCGCGTCCTGAGCTGCAGCGTCGTGCGTAGAGCGCGCACGCGTGCCCGGCACGCCGCAATGCAGATCCCCCCGTAACCCGAGATGGTAACCAAGCGTATTCAGCCGCCATATCCAATCACAAGCGGGAGGAAGGAGGGCGGCTGCACGTCCGGCAGCCGCATAAACTTGGCAATTGGGCTTGGCACCGCATCGTCCCGGCTTGTCTACATCATCTCAGACAGCCGCCGTACTACCAACAAGGACAGCACGGCCAGGTCCGGGTTGCATGGCCAGGGCTGTGCCGGCAAGAGCAAGCGAGACAGTCCCAGACAAGGGCCCACAGGCACAAGGCACGCCACCATCCGGCACGGCACGGTATAGCACCCCAGCTGACCAGCCGAGAGCGGTGGAAGCCGAGGGTCACAGGCTCGTCTCGGCTATCTCGATAGATGCGGAGCGAGCGCAAAGGAAAAGCAAAGGAAAGCAGACCGAACCCTTGGCAAGGCGCGAGTCGACGCCATCGGGTCACGAGCCTGTCTTTCGCAGAAATAAAGACAAAATGCAGAAGAGAAAATGCGGCACGGATGAGTGCGCTCGTGCCTCCACTCGAAGGTAGTTGGCGATGGGATGAGTCGGAAATTTATTCAGTGAAGCGGCACGAAAATGCGGAGTAGCGCGTGCCGAATTGCGCACCGCAGCGCCTTGGCGTGGGGCAGCCACTTAGCTCAGCCTTCCGCCTTTCGCCCCTCGATCGAGCATATATACCGGCGTCCTTTGGCCTTGCTCGCCACTTCTCACCCACCTCCTCCAAACGCAACCAGGCTACCACTTACCTGAGCCTTTCACCTGTCCCTTTTCGACCGACATCGATTGTCTTGCCGACGCGTATCGCCCTCGACCTCTGGACCCCATCATCATCCACCTTTGACCGTTCAAGATGTCCGACCTTGGCAACAGTACGTTGCAGAACGGCTCTCACGCAGAAGATGTCAGCGCCGGCAAGCGACCCGCGGCCCAGACCAACGCAGGCCTGGTGACGGTGCAGCCGCTGCGACGCTCCGAGATGCAGCCTTCGTACAAGCAGAACCTCGGCCTCGACACCGTCGACCACGGCTTCTACGGCACCATGATCAACGGCATCGGCGCCGTCGCCGGCTTCTTCGGACAGTTGCCCTTCTGCTTTTGCTGCCCTAACCCGTTCAAGGAGATCGAGCAAGGCAGCGTCGGCCTCGTCACCCGCTTCGGTCAATTTTACCGCAGTGAGGACCCAGGACTCACGCAGATCAATCCTTGCAGTGAAAATCTTAGGAAAGTGGACGTCAAGATCCAGACGAGCAGCATTCCCCACCAATCCTGCATTACGAGGGACTCAGTTTCCATAGGAATCGAGTCGACAGTCTTTTGGCACGTCTCCAACCCGTACAGGGCGGCGTTTGGCATCACGGACGTGCGCTCTGCGCTGATCGAGCGAGCGCAGACGACGCTGCGTAACGTCGTGGGTGGACGTACGCTGCAGTCGCTTGTAACGGACCGCGAGCAGGTGGCACTGGAGGTGCAGGAGATTGTGGGCGACATTGCGGACCGATGGGGTGTGCAGGTCGAGTCGATCCTGATCAAGGACATCATCTTCTCCAAGGAGCTGCAGGAGTCGCTCAGCTCTGCGGCCAAGCAGAAGCGTATCGGCGAGTCCAAGGTGATTGCTGCGCAGGCCGAGGTGGATGCCGCCCGTCTGATGCGCCAGGCTGCCGACATCCTTGCGTCCAAGAGCGCCATGCAGATCCGCGCGCTCGAGAGTCTGCAGGCGATGGCCAAGACGGCCAACAGCAAGGTCATCTTTGTGCCTATGAACCTCACCGACCTCAACGGCGACTCGCTGCCTCCCGGAGGCACCGGCCCGGGCGCCAACGTGGCTCCGGCCGCGAGCGGATCGCAGGGTGCTCAGTCCGGCACCATGCTGAACACCGCTGCTCTCACCCAGCTCGCCGAGATGTAATCGCCCATCCAATCGTGGCATACTCCCCGACCCAGACTGACGAGAAGCCGGAATGTCGATGTATCGGCCCGCTTCTTGCCATACCCTTTTTGCGTAATGATACCTGCTTTTGCTCTCACCGTGCTTGAAGTGTGGCGTTCCGATGTGGTGGAGACGCGCGTGGTGAGGCTGGTCAGCTGAGAGCACAGATGCGACGAGAAGGGAGCGAGTGTGTGGCTGCCGGCAGTCTGTCGAGGAGACCCGCCGATGATGGTGAGTAGCGAAGTGGGAAGGCTTTGCCTCCCGGCGGACTGCGTGCTGAGTCGGGGCTGGAGTGCACTCACCGGTCGTGGGCTCAGCGCATTCATCGAAGCGCAGCAGCCGGGCCCTTTCCATTTCCCTTCGAGTTCCGAGGGCACGAGCCATGTCCAGAGCGTTCCCAACTGGTCACTCCCCTAGGTGTGAACAGTCGGTAGAGCCGAAAAGTGGTCTCGCTACACGGCATGTCCCAAGGCATTGGCGGGCCCCGTCCGAGCTTTCCTTTGGCGTTGTCGGGATCCGTCCGAGCGTTTACTTGGCCGAGGCAATGCACGCGCACCTCAGCTCAGCTCCCGCACCAGCATCACACTCTTTCTCGTCACGTTCTGGCCCAAGAAGCAAACCTGACCTCCGACAGATCACAAGTGAAGCGATTGTGGGCACGTCCATGAGGCTGGAGGCAGAGGGAGGAGGAGGAGTTTGGGTCGTCTCGACGATAGCGACATCATTCTGTGTCAAGAATTTTGTAAGTACATTTACAGATCATTCGAGCCTCCAAACATCTGCGGCCATAGAACCTTGAAAGCACCGCATCCCGTCCGATCTGCGAAGTTAAGCAAGGTATCGCCTAGTCAGTACTGCGGTGGGGGACCACGCGGGAATCCTAGGTGCTGCAGTTCTTTTTTTCCGTCTTTTTTTTCACATCTCAGCCAGCCAGATTCTTTGGAAGGAATTTTTGCGAGCTCTATTTTTTTTTCCATTGCTTTGCTCGAAGTAGGCTGGTTTGACTTTCCTCTAACTTCGCGGAGGGCAGAAGTGCAGCGGCAAGTAGACGGGGATGGGGGCCGACCGCATGGCGTGCTCCGGGACGACGTCGGCGAATAGACAGGAAGTCGAGCAGCGGCCTGGGCCACCTCACCGACCGCACCGCCAGCCAGGCAAAGAGGGATCGGAGAAAAATGGCAGCCATCTGATTCGCTGTTGTTGAGATTAGATCAAGGCAGCACTGCACAGCAGCTACTTACAGTAGCCGGTAAGCGAGAGCGTGGACCAAAAGAGCGAAGAAACGTTGAAGCTCGCCGACCGCCGCGATGACGGACGGCTGCTGCTGCTGCTTCTGATCTGATCAAGAGGCCGGAGCCAATCGCAACGCGGCGTGCCATCACACCGGCGCGGCCACTTTGCAGAGGGGTGACTCGTTTCTGCTTGCCATTGGTCGTTGGACTTCGGCCCCACTCTGCAGACCTCTGAGCGCTTGGAGCCGCTGTGAAAAAGCGGCGAGAAGCCAAGGCGCATTTCAAACGTGCAGCGTGCGTTGAATTGGATGAATTTGCCACAAATTGTAGTGCGAGAAGAACTGCCATTTCAGCGCGGGCGAGCCCCAGCGCAAAAGGGTCCTTGGGCCGCCCTCGGACGAATGACAGGGCGCCAGGCAGAGTCACCTTGAGAGGCGAGTGCTGCTGCTGCTGCTGCTGCTGCCACTGCTGCCACTGCTGCCACTGCTGCCACTGGTGTCATGCACGACGCTCGCCCTGAAATGCCCGCTCCGCCTCTCGGTTGCAGTTGGGCGAGCGGCCACCGCACTTCTTCTTGATTCCAGCCGCACCGGCAGCCGCAACAGCCCCAGCAGCAGCAGGCCCCACAACCCGTCCGTCCGCGCTTTCTTCCCGCCGCGCTCGCCCACCTCGCCTCGCCTCGCCCCACTCGTATAACTGCGTCTATTCCACCCCGTCCTTTCTTCCTCTCTCCCACAACACCTCCGTGATACCACCCCGCCCCCTTTGACCTTTGTCACACTCTCTCCCCCATAATGAACGCCAACGTTGCACGAACTGCCCTCAGGGCCGCCTCGCGCTCGTCGTCGCGACGTGTCGCCGGTGCCGCCCGTTCGCTCTCCATCGCCGCCACCGCACGCCCCGCCCTCAACAAGCTCGCCTCGGCGGCTGCCACCCCCGCTCTCGCTCGCGGCCTCAAGACCATCGAGTTCTCCGAGGGCATCCCCGAGAAGGTCTACGAGCGCGAGGACTGGCCCCTCGAGAAGCTCCAGGACTACTTCAAGAACGAGACCTTTGCCATTCTCGGCTACGGCTCCCAGGGCCACGGCCAGGGTCTTAAGTGAGTTTTGCCACGCTGCGCGAGCCAATTTTCCTCTTGATGAACGGCCACAAACTGACCTTGCCATCTTTTTGCCCTTTTTCAGCCTGCGCGACAACGGCCTGAACGTCATTGTCGGTGTGCGCAAGGACGGCGCCTCGTGGAAGGAGGCCATCGAGGACGGCTGGCAGCCCGGCAAGAACCTCTTCCCCATCGAGGAGGCCGCCGAGAAGGCCACCATCGCCATGCTCCTCCTCTCCGACGCCGCCTGCACCTCGGTCTACAACTCGATCAAGGACAAGATGCCCAACACCCACACCCTCTACTTCTCGCACGGCTTCCAGGTCACCTACAAGAACGAGACCGGCTTCGAGGCCCCCTCGGACAAGGACATCATCCTCTGCGCACCCAAGGGCTCCGGCCGCACCGTCCGCTCCCTCTTCCTCGAGTCGCGCGGCATCAACGGCTCCATCGCTGTGTACCAGGACGTCTCGGGCAAGGCGCTCGAGAAGGTCTCGGCCATGGGTGTCGCCGTGGGCTGCGGCTACCTCTACGAGACCACCTTTGAGCGCGAGGTGTACTCGGACCTGTACGGCGAGCGTGCCTGCCTCATGGGTGCCATCCAGGGTCTCTTCAAGGCGCAGTACGACGTGCTGCGCGCCAACGGCCACTCGCCCTCCGAGGCGTTCAACGAGACGTGCGAGGAGGCGCTCCAGTCGCTCTACCCGCTCGTCGGCGCCAACGGCATGGACTACATGTACAAGGCCTGCTCCACCACCGCCCGCCGCGGCGCGCTCGACTGGGCGCCCGAGTTCGAGAAGGCCAACAAGCCCGTCCTCGAGGCTCTGTACGAGTCCGTCCGCAACGGCTCCGAGACGCGCCGTGCGCTCGAGTTCGGCAACCGCAAGACCTACCGCCAGGACTTTGACAAGGAGACCGACGCCATCGCCGCACAGGAGATGTGGAAGGTCGGCCACAAGGTCCGCGCCCTCCGCCCCGAGAACGCCGCCAAGGGTCTCTAAGCGTGCTCGCACCGCCGCCACAACAAAACCTGATCTGCACAGGATCAACAGAGTTTCCCTTTCCCAGATGTACATTTAACGCTCAACTGCGCGCGCACTATATGCAACCATGACTTGTTCTCAGCTTTCGCACGCGCACTCGCACACTCGCACGCCCATCGCACGCTTATTTGGACAGGATTTGGCAAGGTTGCGATCACGGGGGAGCAGGTTTGGAGCACCAGTGGAGGTACGAGATGGAGAGGTCCGAGGTTTGGGTGAAGGTGGTGAGGCACGAGGAGATGAAGCCTGCGCCTGTGATGAGCTTGTAGATGGCGACGGGGGGAAGTTGGATGCGGGGACGCATTCCGACCAAGTCGGTTTGTGGGCCTGGGATGAGCTTTGAGTCGCGCATGAGAGTATGGGCCTCTTGGGGGGTTACGTAGAGACGGTGGTCGTGGGCGTCGCCCTGCATGGCGCGCAAGATTTGCTGGAGGATCCAGATGGTGAGGTAGAACGAGGTGGGTGTGCGGTTGATCGTGTCGAAGGAAAAGATGGCGTTGGGTTTGAGCACGCGTGCGATGTGGGAGAATGCGCTGCGCAGGTCGAAGAGGTGCTCGAGCACATCGGAGCAGATCATGGCGTCGATAGAGGCGGAAGGGAAGGGTAGGGCGTAGATGTCACCCACCACGTACTCGATGCTCATCCCGCCCGAAGCCGCCCGCTGACGACCAAGCTCGATCGACCGAGACGACATGTCGATCCCAAGGAGCTTGTAGGTGATGTTGCCATCAACGATGCCGTCCGCAGTGACGCGCGTGTGAGAATGCGCAATAGCATCGTGTATAGCCTCCACCGCAATCCCGGACCCACACCCAAGATCGAGGATGGTGATGGTGTGCGATTGTGCCGGGTCCAGCGTGGAGACCAGACGGTGGAGCTTGTCTAGAAAGTAGTTGACGCGCACAGGGTTGAGCAGAGCAAGCCCGCTGCGAGACCAGTCGAACGTGTGCGAGTCGTAGATCTCGTTGTCCAGACTGCTTGTTGCCGGATCCAACTTGGCGAGGCGGTCTGCGTAGGGTTCGGGGACGGAGGGTGCCAGTCCCACAGCGTGAAGTAGCGCACATGCGCGCTCCGCCGCCCAGCTGATGAGCGCCATACCCGCAAGCACCAACGATGGCAGACAGGTAGGACGATGTTGGGTTATGGCATCGGCATTCGTCCAAGTTTTTGTGGAGGTGAACAGGCGTAACCGATGCAGAGTCCGTGCGCGCACTTTGGCAGTGTGCGATGCGCTGCATCTGCATTCCCCACACGCGCGTCCACGCTCGTACGACCCCATTCCAAACACCGCATTCTCTCCCCTTCCCCCCACCACCACCACGCGCACAATCACCACAATGGCTGCAGTACCCAAGGCAACGCTCTACACGTTCGACGGATCCGTCTGGGCTTCGGCCCCGCGTCTCGCGCTCGTCGAAAAGGGTTACGCCAGCACCGACCTCGACCTCAAGATCGTCGACCTGCTCAAGGGCGAGAACTTTGACCCGTCGTTCCTGCGCATCAACTCCAAGGGCACCGTGCCTGCGCTCGTCGTGCCGCTGCTCGAAACGACTTCGGCTGAGGTGGATACAAAGTTCCGAGCCATCACCGACACCAAGCTCATCCTCGAGTTCTTGGACAAGTCGCGATCGCAGAATACGCTCGCTGCCAACGCCGACTCGGCAGCTGCACCCGCACCCATCCTGGCACCCGCGACAATTGAGGGAAAGGCGCTGAGCGACGAACTCATCGCCCTGGTCCACGAGCCTAGTGTGGATCCCAACTTTTTGCTGCTCGGTATTCGCAGCGAGGCGGAGCTGCAGAAGGCCAAGCAGGGTCTGCCCGGCACGTTTGTGGCGAACCGTCATGCGGCGCTCGTGGCCCACCAGAAGGCGCTCGAGAACTCGGCATCCACCACGGCGTTTGATGGATCCACCAACCCGAAGTCGAGCGCGGTTCACGAGAACCTCAAAAAGTGGTATGCGGACAAGATCTCCTCGCAGGCGCTCCTCACGGGCGCCTACGTCGGCGGCGACAAAGACGCCGTGGCACAGCTGGTGAAACTCACCAACGACGCATGGCAGAACGTGGCAAAGTGCATCGAGAAGCTCGAGACCAAGCTTACGGGGCCGTATGCGCTCGGTGACCAGATCTCGCTGGCTGATTTGCACATCGTCCCCTGGCTCGCCCGTATCGCGGCGGTGGCACAGGGTGTCAAGCCGGCGAGCGACCCCATCGCAAGCATCGATGCCGTCATCGCAGAGTACAACGTCAAGGTCGGCCAAAAGGTACGCTTCCCTCCCCTCACCTTAGAAAGACGCTGGCATACTGACATTGCTCGACCGGCCACCCACAGATCACCGCTTTTTGGCAGGCATTCAGCGAAAGACCCAGCTTCCAAGCCGTCTACGGCTCTGGTCTTCACTGATCTGCTGTCAATTCCTGCCTCGTATGGGGGCTGCACACACTGTCTCGATTTCACACTCTGGTTTCGCGAAAAAATGCAATGCTTTGGATTCGTGCTGGGTTCTACGTGGTCATGGCGGGTTGGAAGGATGCTGTGCCGTGGGTGTGTTTTTGGTCCAAGTAGCGTGCACATGCCGCCTCTACGTCGACGACTTCCTTGGGCGCCGCACTCGAGAGCACAATGTTGTCCGTCTCGCCCACGGCGATGTCGTCCTCGACACGGATGCCGATGCCCTGGAAGTGCTTGGGGAAGGCGTCGTCGTAGGGCACGTACACGCCCGGTTCCACCGTGACCACCACGCCGCTCTCGAGGCGCGTGGTGCGCTCGACGGACGCGCAGTCGTGCAGGTCGATGCCCAGCCAGTGGCCAATGTAGTGCGGATACAGCACGCGCTCCAGCGTGCCGCCCGTGAGGTGGAAGCCGATCTGGCGCAGTTCCTGGCGCAGGAAATCAACCGAGCGTCGATGCAGGTCTGCCAGCGTGAAGCACTGCTCCTCGGTTGCCAGCTGCGTGCACGATTTGAGCACGTTGAGCACCGCACTGTACAGGTCGCGCTGAGCCGAGGAGAAGCGGCCATCGGCGTTGGACGGGAAGGCGCGTGTGATGTCGGACGCGTATCCGTCAAGTTCGCCACCAGCATCGATGCAGACGAGTTGATCCGGCCTAACGAGACGGTCGTTATTGACGTAGTGAATGGTGAGCGCGTTGGAGCCCGATGCGACGACGGGCACGTACGCAGGGCGCTGCGAGCCGCGCAAGCCGCAGTTGTACTCGAACACCGCCTGGAGCTGCGCTTCGGAAACACCGGGGCGCACGAAACCCATGGTCTCGGACATGGCCTCGCCGCTCGCACGGCCGGCGCGCTTCATGATGCGCAGCTCGTTGCGAGACTTTACAAAGCGCAGCCGCTCCACCTCGCGCGCGAGCGAGTGGCACTTGCGCGTATCGCCGAGCAGCTTGACCACCGCGTCAAAGTCGGACTTCTTGGCAAACACGTCGAGCGCCGTGGTGGAGGGTGGACTGAGGTAGTTGAGCAGGTTGCCTGCTTTGCTCTGTGCGCTGCTGGCGCTGCGTCGTGGCGTGGTGGGCTGCGTGGGCGACTCGACGTACACGTGCGTATAGCGCGGCAGGATCTGCTTGAGGTGGTTCAGCAGGATGGCCGGGTCGAGCTCGTACGCCTCGTCGGCGCCAAACACGTCGACGGCACCGTCGAGCCCCGTGCGTGGGCCGTTCCAGGTCTCGTTGTGCTCGTCGCGCTTCTGCACAAACATGGTCATCTTGTATCCCCGCGCAGACGACGCATCTTTCTCGAGGATCACGGCAGAGTCGGGCTCCTGGAAGCCCGTGAGATACCAAAAGTTGGTCTCCTGACGGAACTTGTAAAAGATGTTGCCGCTCATGCTCTTGACCCGGCCGGACATGGCTACGACCACGCTGTTGTCAGGCAGACGGTCCATGAGCTTCTTGCGGCGCTCCTCGTACTCGGACTTTGGGATGCCCGGTGTGAGCTGTTCGGTGGCGACGATACCGGCGCCGGCGTCGTACATGTCGTCGTGCGGCAGCGCATCGCCAGGCCGCAGCAGCGCATCTTCCGAGCCCAGCACGCCGCGTCGCGGGAACAGATGCGGGTGCGAATGCGGCAAAGGCTGGCCGTACGTCCTCTGTCGCCCAGAGAGGTTGGAGCTAGACGAAGCCGAAGACGACGAAGCGTTGGCGGTGTGGTACGGGTCGACGTCGTCGGTGGGTCGTGCTGCGGAAGAAGCTGTACGCCTCGTGATGGTGCCGGCGCTGCCAGGGCCGATGGAGGCGCTGGTAGAAGCGCGTGTGAGCCGAGCCAGCGCAGTGCGCGACGTGCGACTCAAGCTCGCAGCCATGGTGGAGTGGCTCCGCTCGCAATCGTGTGGTGAATGCAGTCGGAAGGGTGGACAGCCGATTCCGAGTTGTGCCGTCGTGTGAGGGTGGAATTTGCGAAATCAGGGCCGGAGTCCATGATGCAACGGCGCTTTCGGAAGCACGGCGAGGGTCCGCTTTGCGTAACTCTTAGTCATCTTTGTCCCTTCTCAGCGCTATCAGATTCGCGATGGCCGGTTCTCGTACGAATTCTCCTGGCTGATGGCGTCCCATTTTGCTCCCACGCCTCTTTTCGACGCTCGACAGCAACGGCGACAAATTGGCGTAGCAACGCACGATGCACCCACGAGGTCGGGCCGCAAGGCAGTCATGCTCAACGCCTCGTTCGGCACACTCTGCACCCAATGCAACGCCCCTCCGATCGTGTGGGCGCTGATGGCGGCGGTGCATGGCTTCTTCGTGACGATGCCTGAGGGTGCAGATGCACGTTCCGGCTCAACGGCGGCCACCGCGTGCCGTGCTCTCGGCATCCAATTCCGCAGTGCCGTCAGCTGTTGCCCGAGCCAGGAGATCGGCCTCGTCACGAACGCTAGTGAGTCTGACGGCGGACCTTGGTCAGAGGCGTTGATTGTGCACGGATCCTTGGCCTCTTTGTCAGCACGAGAGGGGCCCCGCTGCGGAGGGTCAGATAGCAATCCCCGCACCACAGTCTGCTGGAGTCCGGCGCGGACGGGCATCGATTGGGATCAATTGATAAGAAAAGAGCCATGCGGCATGACCTTTCTTTGCCAAATGTGTACAGCAAGTTATGCCGGCCCGTGCACCTGAATGGCACGACAACCCCGCCCGGCCCATTTAGACGACACCCGTTCATAAGGGGTCCGAGTGGTGCTTGGATTGGCAACGATGGGCGGAGTCGGGGACGGCCTACAAGAGAGAAGGACGGCATATGCAGGGTAGAGTGTGTGCTCGGAGATGGAAGGCCGTCCCGCGCGTTGAAATTGACAGGGCCGTCTCGGCGTCTAGATGCCGTTGGCTCTCGAGTCGCACGCACGAGCCCTTTGGCCTTCGCTTGTCCGAGCATGGAGAAGGAATTCGGCGGCTGGTGGTTTCCGAGCATGTTCGTCGCTCGGCTAACAGAGGGCCAGGACTCCGGAAACTACTGTAGACTGCATTGCATGGGAAAACAGGCCCAAGCTCATGCCAAGCACACACAAAGACGCACCTCACCACGTCTTCTTGGGCGGTCAGTTCCACTGGCAAAAGCATGCGCTTGTCAGCGCTCATCGCGGTCGACACTGGGTGTCGCTCGATCTCCAAGGCGTTGCTACAGTGCCGGTGCGGTGACGAGCGGTGGTGGAAGCAGACGCGCTTGGCGTGAGAAGCATGGCGGATCGACAATGCTGGGCATTTGCGTCATCCTGCGAGACGGCCGGGGGTGCTAGGTAGCCTTATCGGCTGGCGCTGTTTGGACAGGAAGGACGCCTTCTCGCCAGCGCTCGAAGCGAGCTGACCTTGAAGCCTCGAGGCAGTTGGCGTTGTCCGGGTGGCCGAAGCGGCCTCGGGTAGCTACTGTAGCTACAGTAGCATGCTCGCGTCTTTGTATGGACGGGGAAAAATATTACATCATTGTCCAGCGCGATAGAGCGTGATTTTGGAACAAAGTCTTCCAGGGACCCCTTTTTGGACACTTGTCTTGCTTCGGATGGATGTGACCCTGGGGGCTTTTGGAGGCTAAGCGCCTTGACGTGCGCAAGAAGAAGAAGAAGAAGAAGCTTTTGCGCATATCCGTCGGCGGCGACACGCTACTGCCGTCGCATGCTCGTCTCTCGCTTGCATCGTCGCCGCCGAACGTTACGCTGCACAGCCCCGACCCCTCTGCACGCTATGCCTCATTGACACGCGAGAAAGCGACTGCAACTCTAAGTACGGTATCTGGGCTTGCCGCAGCCGAAGTTCGAGTTGCCCTCGGAAGCAGCAGCCATGCCGAGGTGCTCAGCTCAGCCAGGCGCAGGTTCGCTCCGGAGCATCCGACTGCTTCGAATCAGTTCATATCGATTCGGATCCGCGCCGCAAGTTATCGACTGGTGGCTGCGGCCAATTGCAGTTCAGATTGCGGTTGTGTGGGGCGGCAAGCAAGATGCAGAGGGTTGCTGCACTTCAGATTCCGTTGTGGGGCCAGCCAGTTCCAAATCTGCAGCCAAAATCCCGTGATGTGGCTCGGCTAGCGCACACCAACTGAGACGGCCTCTCGCCACCTTTTTGGCTCCTTGCGCGAGCCATTCTGCTCGACCCCTGCCGCGCTGCGCACAACTCCGCTGCAGCTTCAGTTTGAGATCGAGTTCTCATCTCGAAAAAAAAAAAAATCCAATTTCACTGCGCACCCCGCTGTCTAAAAACAGTCGACCCACGGACGGTGTCGCTTTATGCACCTCCTCCGTTCCGATTACAGACCCAGCTACAGTGAGACCGCTCAGACCGCTCAGACAGGGGAAGCGCCAGTTGAAGCTCAACCGCTCCAACGGCGCTCGACTTGGCGTGCAGCACCTGAGCCACCGCATCACACAAAAGCGTGGCGCCGTCAACCAACCCCACGTCGTTGCGACGAACGAGCATCAATGCAGCCTGAGCCTTCCGATTGGACGTTGCAAAAGAAAGCGCACGATGGACAGGTGAGAGCCAAGCCAGCAGTTGCAAAGCAGACGAGCAGGTGGCCAGGCTCTCCTTGACGCACGGCATCTTGTCCCGTCCGAAGAGCTGAAACCAGACCGACCTGCAACGTGCAGCAGCAGCAGCAACACATGTCAAATCAGGATCGACTCGCTGTGCAGTCGAGGTGCAGCAAGGGCGGCAACACGGGCCGCCAATCGTGGACAATGGACGGACGGGCCAGTGCTTTGGGCGGTCTGGATAATGCGGGCCTCCAGTGCCAATGTCAGGAAATTCACATCGCCCTAGCCGAGCAGCGACAGCGGGAAAAAAAACGAACTTGGGCCAGCCCCGACCACGCAGGCACAAGCGCTACGGGATTCCCAGAGTGCACAACCGAGCCGACACTGCATTGGCTTTAGCTTTTGCACGCTGCGCTCGTGCCGTCCAGGTCACACGGCACTCGCCGACTACGGCGTTCGAGCGCGAGTCGAGGCACTCTCTGCGACGTTGGCAATCCTCGGCTGCTTCCGAAGCGTGGCGGTTCGAACGAGCTTTTGCCACCGCATCAGCTCCAAGCGCGCAAAGGCTCGTAAAGGGCCGTTGAGCGATAACTCACAGCGGGAAGGAAATTGGAGTGGTGGCGTGGACTCCGTCACATCGACTGTGCTGTAACCGCCTCGATTTCGATAAGCGCCTGCCATCTGCCACTGGCGCTGCAGCTCGTGCAGCTGGCGTGGCTGCTGCTCACTGGCTTGCCCCGCTCCGGAGCTCCATTCGAAGTGCATTCGGAGCGGCAGTCGGCTGCCAATCAAACAATCGCTCTGCCAACACCTCCCATGCGCCAAGCTGTGCATGCAGCTGCCCTCACCTCTTGCCTCACCTCGCCTCGCCTCGCCTCGCCATCCGCCACTGACCGCCCAGTTTCTCGGCTAGCCCGGCTGCTGAGAAGACGCCTTTCCAGGTTTCCAAATCATTCCCAGATGCACCTGCAACTGCGCCTGCACCCGCTGCACACTCCGACGACGTGCAGCTGCCACACATGGAGCCCCCCTGGGCTGGTTGCCGCCTCCTTGCCGTGTCAGAAGTTGCAAACTTGTCGCTCTCTCCCTCTCCGCCGCCGCCCTCACATTCCGTCGGCTGGCCCTTTGTCTCTCTGCTATCCTCGGATGGCACTTCCAATATATACACTTCGCCTTCCTTCTGGCTGATATTTCCACCCCATCGCTCGACAGTCGCTTGCCTGATATCGTAACTTGTCGCCCACATCGCGACGATCCACGACCACCACCACCATCACAACCACAGCAACGACGATCACAACGCAGTTTTCGTCTGCCCTTCACCCACACCTCCCCCTCTTTGCACTCGATCGTCACTCAGCTGCGATCGAGCCTCATCTTCACTCGGCATGGTCTCTCTTTCCTACTCGGCACCTACTCCTTCCGATGACCCTGTCTTTGTCCGCACCCACTTCCTCGGTCGTGTCGCCTCGGACGCTCTCGGCCTCGAGTACCAGCATGAGCTGCTCAAGCGACGCTCCAGCCGTCACAGCGACCTCAACCGCTGGGACGCAAACTGGCTCGCTCCCGTCACTCACACCATGAGCTACGACACCGACGACACCACCGACACCGACGACGACGTCCTCCTCAACTCGCAAGCTTCGTCCCAAAACAACAAGTCGGCCGCTGCACACCAGCTTCGAAGTCGCTCGTCCACTCTGCCAGTCCTGTACACCTCCAACGCTCCCGTCGAGATGGCGCGCGCGCGTTCCATGACCGCACCACCCACTGCCGCCTCCTCGTTCGCAGACCTTCGTTCCTCGCGCAAGAATCGATCCTCCAGCGCCACCCAGTCTCGCCTCCTTCCCGAGCATCCCCTCACCATTGACACGGCACAACCTCTCCGCCTGTCCACCGCCAACATCGCTACGCTCTCCAGCGATGCGTCGTCCTCGTCTTCTTCTGTCCGCGCAACCTCGCCAATGCCTACCGTTCAGCCTTCGCCCAAGACCTGCAGCGCGCCCGTCGTCCGCATCGAATGCTCCGAGTCAGATGGTTCCTGCCACGGCGACGCCGGTGATCAGGACCCCGAGGCTCAGCTCGCCGCCGGCATCATCCGCCTGCGCGAACAGCGTCGCAGCTCGGCACACAAGTCGCAATCCCGACGCACCACGACCAAGCGCCGCGCATCCACCACCCAGGCATCCTCGTCCACTCCCAAGCAGTCGCTCGACATCAACGAAGATCTCGACTCGGACGATGCCGACTCGCTCATCATTCGCAACCACGGAGGCAGCTTTGTCCTGCGTCTCGCAGAGATGGTGCTCGACTTTGGCTCATCGGCTCTCGAGAAGCTCGTGGCCGCCGACGCTCCCGAAACGGCGCAAGACAGCATGGCAGGGCTTCAACCCCGCCGACGATCATCCACAACTCCCAAACAGCTCACGGCCGAAGCTGGCGAGCTGCTGCGTCGTCGCCGCGAGCGCCGTGGCACCGTGCTGCCCACCGACTCCCCGGAATCCATCGGTGGCACCAAGTCCACTCTGACGCGGTCCTGGTCCGTTCCCAAGCTGCTCAGCCTCCCGCTCTTCAATCCCTCGGCCTCGCTCCGTGCGCTCTCGTCTACCACAGCATCGACGCCTGCCACCCCTTCGTCCGCTCCCGCCCGTCTGCATCCCAACTTTGGCTTCACCATGGCGTTCGAAGAGCCCGCTCACAATGAGCCCAGCTCCTTCGACGAGGTCGGCGCCTGCTTTGTCCGAAACAGTGTCTCGCTCTATTCCAAGTCGCCCAAGCCAGACAACGCATCCCTCGGACCCGAACAGGTCTCTCCGCTCTGGAAGCAGTAACATTCACGATTCTCATGATGACTTTTGACGACATCCCGCTATCGTCCTAGCACTCTACTAGCATTTTCTGTACTTGTATCAGCATGGGCATTATGAACATGGACTTTATCTCTCTGCTCTTTGCTCGCTGCTGCTGCCGTGTGCTACGAGTGTTTCGAGAGCATATGTGATGCGGATGGTGACAGCTGTCAGCGGAGCGGAACGGTCTGCAGTGGGGCGTGCCTTTATCGCTGCATCCGACTAGGGATGCGGAGAGATTGGCGATTTTTGGCGGCCGCTCGGACGCGGTGCAGCGCGCATCGCAGCTCCACATTTCCACTTAACCGAGCAGCAGCCCCGACCCTGAGCTCGATGTGCAGCTCCACCATCATCCCTCCTACCCAGCGGGCGGCTTCGCGTCCACGTACACTCGAAGCGTCCTCATCCAGTGCATACACTCGGAACGTGTCTGTCATCCGCTCACACTCAGAGGCCCCTCAGTCACTTACACGTATTCAGGCGCTCTCGGCGGCTCGCGGACACCACGCAGGCCACAAGGCATATCAGCGCGCACCATGGGCGCAACGAGCTCCAAGGGGCCCAAGATCACTCCGCACGACAGGGCTGTGCTCGAGTAAGTTGTACGGCGCCTAGAAAGCCATATTGCTTGCTGTGGCTGACGATATCATGACCTATATGGATGATTGGCAGCCTCAAACTTCAACGCGACCGCATTAAGCAGTATCAAAAGAAGGTAGGTGACAGCACTGGGCGTCACAGGGCAACACTCAGAGGCTGACCAGGGGTGGAGCCATTGCAGCTGCAAACAATCTTGGACCGGGAGCATGAAATCGCGCGTCAGTGTCTCGCCAAGGGCGACAAGGCGAAGGCGCTCACCGCACTGCGTAGACGCAAGTATCAGGAGAGTCTGATCCAAAAGACCGACTCGCAGCTCGAGACGCTCGAGGGACTCGTCTCGTCCATCGAGTTTTCGCAGATCCAACAGAGCGTCATGCTCGGTCTGCAGCAGGGAAATGCGGTGCTCAAACAGATTCACACCGAAATGAACCCCGAATCCGTCGAAAGGCTGCTCGAAGAAACCGCCGAAGCACAGGCGTATCAAAGGGTAAGTCTGCATTGCTTGCGAGTCAATGGGATCATGCTGACACTGTTGCTTGGCCAGGAAATCGACGAGATGCTCGCTACAAACATGACCGCAGAGGAGGAAGATGCCGTACAGTCCGAACTCGAACAGCTCGAACGAGAGGCGGGTGTGCGGGTCGACGTGCCAAGTGTCGAGTTGCCAGAGGCTCCAACCACCGAACCCGTCGCACAGACACCCGTACAAGAACAGCAGCCGCAGCCACAGCCGCAAAAGGCGCAACCGGAACGACAAGCTGTGCTCGCATGATTTCGTGCTCACAAGTCGAATCGAGTCTGCTTTTGTCATGGAACCACACGATTGGATGGCATTGGGTTTGAATTTGGAGCGTGCGGGAGACTGGCGGTCACTGGGGCAAATGCGACAGCCTCGATGCTGCTCGCTCCACGAGCCTCGACAGCGACAGACCGCCGTCTGCGCCAGCTAGCGAGCCCACCTCTCGCACAAGCTGGATGGCCGTGTGGAGCGCGCGTGCTGCCGTTTCCACCGCCACCTTGTCGCGGGGCCCGTATTCGAGCCGGTCGAGCAGCGAGCTAAAGATGACGATCCAGGTGGTGTGACCAGGCGCCGCCATGGGAGGGCGCACCTTGGAATTCTTGAGCGCAGCAGATGCAAATGCACCAAGCGCACGCGAGGGCTCGGGCGGCGAGGTTCGGAGCATCATGTCGTCGATCACGTCCATGGATCGGAAGAACGCCGCCTGGTCCGCGCTTGCACTGCACAGTCCCTCGATGAGACAGCGGTAGGTCGCCGAGGTGAGTGGAAGACCGCGGCTCTTCATGTGCTCGAGAAGCAACAGCGCGAGAGATACGGAGGGTGAAGATTGCGTCCATCGCTTGGTGGTTTCCACCGACTCGCCGAGTCGAGATAGAGGTTTGGGTGCAGCGCGATACCGAGCAGGGACGGATTTGGTGGCGAAGGCATGTGCCACCGCATCCGGGTTCTGCATCGCCCCGTTTATGAGAGCGGTGTAGGTGATCTCGGACGGCGCGACTTTGGCGTCGATCATGCGGTCGAGCAGCTCGAGCGCCGCCTCGATACGCACGTCGTTGGAGGACTGCGTCCGACGATCCGGCGAATCTTTCAGCAGCGTTTGCGATGCTAGATCCGTGTGTGCAGCATCGGCGCCCACGAGACACGCCTTGATCATGGCGGTATAGGTGACGACGTTGGGCTGCACACCGAGGCTGTTCATGATATCCAGAGTCTTGGCTACGGCGTCGGTGGAGGCCGACTCGCCCGACTGGCGCAGCAGCGCATCGAGGATCGTGGTGAAGGTGACGACGTCCGGCTCAAGCCGCAGCTTGTCGGCGAGGCGGATGGTCGACGCCACGGACTGCAGGTCTCCCAAGCGCGCGTGGGCGCGAAGGAATGTGTTGATCGTGCCGATGTTGGGCGCTGGCCCTTTGGCCAGCATGTCTTCGAGCAAGACTTGCGCCTGAGCATGGCGTCTGTTGAGGAATAGTCCGTTGAGAACAGCGTTGTACGTCTCGGCGCCGACGTTGAGCTGGCCGCCGTTACGCTGGCTTGCAGCCACCATGTCGGCAAACAGCGCCATGGCTTCCTCGACGTGCTTGGCGCGCAAATGAACGTTGATCATTGTCGTGTACATTTGTACGTCGGGCGGGCTGGCTGATGCTGCGGTTGAGGCATAATTCAGCGCAGCCGTCCACGTCTGCACCGCAGCGGCGTGGTTGTTGCCACGGCCGTATCCGTCGAGAAGCGCGTTCCATATGCGCGGCGTGGGGCGCAGCTTCAACGCTTGGAACTTGGACCACACCTGCATGGCGAGCTCGATGCGTCCTGCGGCGATAAAGTTGGACAGACACACGGACCAGCAGCTCTCTGTCCATCTCACCCTTTGGGCAGGCACGGTCGCGGCGGCTGCGGGCGAGGGGTGGTCCATGAGCAGCCAAGGTGGCGACTGCGAGCATGCGCGCATGGCTGTGCTGAAGATGGCGTGCACATCGTCGACCTGTCGCAGAGTAAATAGGGAGCCGAGAAGGCGAGCAATGCGTTGAGCACCACCGGAACCGGAAGAAAGACCACGCGCTAGCTCGATGTCCCACAGCGTAGCACGGGCAGCCTCCCAATTTGCAGCGCGAGCGGTGGCTGTCTCGAGATGGGGCAAGAGCGAGTCGTGCAGACGCTTGGCACGAGCCGATTGGAAGAAGATTCGAAACGGCGTGCCGAATTCAACCGTGTCGAAGAGGTCTGCAACGCGCCAGGGAGACTGCGAATAGGTGCACGCAAAGGCGATGAGGCAGACCATGTCGTGGATCTCGATCTTGACGCCTGCTCGCGATACGTCGAGCTGGACGAATGACCGAGACTCTTCCGCTTGTTCCTCTGTGGCGGGAGGTGTGGGCGGCTTGGGTTCATGCAGGGGTGCATTGGCAAGTCGCATGCGCACGATGTGTTGCCAAATGGCAACGACGGCATCGAACTGGCCGTGCGCGAGCAACAGCCGGAACCATGCGGTGATGAGATCCACATCGCCCGTCATCGATGCCGCGTTCGCAAACTCGCCGAGTCGAGTTTTCCATTGTTGCGATTGGACGACGTGTCCGGCGCCGGCAGACAGGGCGGAGGACAGGCGGAGGATGTCTCGATGCTGTGCGCGACCGACGTGCTGGCAGTCCGGACCGAGGCGCTCCCATGCTGTCCAGACAGAAGCCAGATCTTGGCTATCGATGGCATCTTGGAGCGTGTCCAGCTGCGCCCGGACGGTGCGAGGCAGAGATGCGAGGTCCGTTGCGAGCGGCGCAAGCGCCAGCAGACGCTCTTTTCGAGTCGAGCCGGAAGCCGAATTTGAACCTGGGCGCCTCGTGCCGCCTGGCTGCTGACGTGCGGGAGAGCGATGTACGTCATGCGCACGATCGTTCCGATCGGACCGCTTACGCGGCTTCGCCGCCTTTGGCACATGTACGCTGAAAGCCGAGTCGGTGTACGCTTTTGCGAGACGGGTTGCAGAGCAAGATCCGGGGGCGGCAAGCAGCGAAGTGCGTGGGAGGCTGAAGGCGCTGAGCGCTGTGATTCGGAACATGATGCGCTCGATGTGAGCGCTGCTCGCAACGAGGCTCAATGCTAGATGCTCGACACTTTGCAGACCGGGGTTAGAGGTGCAGAGAGCATGAGCCTCGTTGCTCTTGCGGAGGAAGAAACAAGAGCCCAGGGTCCTTCCCGCCCGTTTCCGACTTCCGAGGATCATGCGAAATTCCGGTCAGAATGTTACGTTTTAACGAAACGTGGACAGACAAGGATGAATGCAGTTTGCGTTGGTTGGAAGGAGATGGAGGCTCGCATGCGGATGTATGTAGTCGGAGGGAGGGTTGGGAGCAAGGGCTGAGGTTGTCATTTCACAGTGAAGACTGACCAAAGCGCACAGTGCGCCAGCAGGGGATCGGGCGCGTCTGTGCGATCGTTGCCGATCTAGTTTTGATGGCGTGGCTGATGGCTGGGCTGAGTTGGGCCAAAGCGTGAGGGCGGACTCTGTTGGGCGCCACACCGCCTAGTTTCGGGTTCGGGCTGTTCGGCGGGATTGGCCCGACGTGCAGTGCATCCTCCTCTCGCGCCACTGAACTTTCGTAGCTTGCCGTCCTACCGCCACGTCACACCTCGCCTTCACCGGCATCATGAATCCGTCACGCTCCTCGATGGACACAGATCAGCAGCCTCTGCTTCACGCCGATGCTGCGGAGCTCGATACTCGCTTCGCCATCGACGAGAATCTCGCAGAAGAGCAACCAGCGCTCGATCCAGCCTCGCCAAAGTATCCGCCCCTGCCGCCCTCCTACGACGACACCATCCGTGTAGACGCTCGCTCTCGAACCAGATGGAACCCAGCCGCCTGGTTCACCCTCTCGCGCACCACCAAAGAGCACATCCAGGCCTGCTTGCCTCGCACCAGCTCAGGCGACCTCCTCACCTTCTCTTCCGCCTTCTCCGGCTGCTACAGCGTCGCCATGCGCTGCTGGCCCTCCAATCGCTTCGCTCAGGCGAGCGCATTCATCATCGGCCTCTGGATTCTTGTCCTGCTCACAGGTCCTTCGCTTTCGCAATCCCCGGACAACATCGGCAGCGGTCTCCACCAGGACTGGGACTACTCCAACATCCCCAACGCCAAACCGGCGCCCCTTCACGAAGACGGTCACATTGTCGAGGAGGCAAAGTGGCAATGGCACAATTGCGCTTCCATCAAAGGCACCTCCAGAGTGCAGTGCACAGAGACCACCAGCTTCCTCCTCAATCCCAACAAGGCGAAGGACAGCTTCGCCTCCACCGAGTCCATCTTTGTCGACGTCGACTCTCTCCGCCCGGACCGTCCTCAGCCCGCGGGAAGCGTACCCGGCACCATTACCGTCGTTCACGAGAGCTTTGACGCTCCCGCTGACCAGAAGGACCTCGTCAAGGTCGAGATCACCGCTCGATACGACGAGGACTACAAGAAGCTTTTCGACACCAGCCTCGTGGCCAAAATGAAGCGCGGCCTTTACGACGAAGGCCTCGAGATCTTGACCTACGCAAAGGCCGTGGCCATCCAGCAGAGTCCACTCATCTTTGACGTCAAGGTCATCGTCCCGCCCCACGTCAACGTACCCACGCTCTCCATCGACGCAGGCGCGTCCAACATCGATCTCTTCCAATCCGCCCCTGCGCACAGAAGGACCTTCGGCTCGCACAGCCTTCACGGCCGCGACCCCGCACCCAGCCGACCCGACTTCTACTTTGGAAAGTTGCACGCCCGCACTCAGGTGGGCAAGCTGCAGTCTTCCTCCATCCGCGCCATCGCCGACATCCACCTCAGCACCACCAATGGGAAACTTCACCTTGGAGGATCCTTCGAGGCCCAGTCGCTCGAGTTCAAGACGGTCAACGGCCACCTCGATATCGAAGAGAATTCGAAACTCGAGGCTGCCTACGACCTCACGCTTCAAACGCAGAACGGTCACATTCGAGTCGGTCAGCACGCCAGCTTCCGTGCCACCACGCTGCGATCCGAATCGCTCAACGGAGGCATCATCGCCGAGGGCGCCGTCTTCAACGTGAACCACACCCTCTCCCTCCGCTCGTCCACCGGCAGGATCGAGGCGGCCATCAGCGTCGAGAAGCCCGACATTGCGCGGCTCGATGCTCCGGGCCTGGGCAAGACGGACCTGGTGACCGTGGATGCGCAGTCCCAGACGGGCTCCATCGAACTCGACTTTGTGCAGCACGAGCGCGAGGTGCCGCTGCGATGCCGAGCTTCGAGTGAGGTGGCTACGGTCTCGGTGGCCTTGCATCCCGAATTCCAGGGCAAGTGGGAGCTTCGCGGCGCCACGCACTCGCGCTACCGTGGATCCGGAACCGAGGACGGCACCGAGACCGATCGTGGCGTTCACCGATTCGCGATCGACGAGGACAGCTTTGGCTGGATCAATCGTCTCACACGAGGTCGCACATGGTGGGAGCGACCCAACATGCCGAGCGTCATGCCCAAGGGCGCCGAGGCCACGATCGGCACGCAGGTCGGGCTCGCCATCCTCACCTTCAAGTGAAGTCTCTCGAACATTTTTTTTTCCTCTTTGTACGCTCGTTTCTGTATGCACCTCTCTCCGCTCCTCACTCGCAATCTGCAATCGTCGCCCGAAGCTTGAGTGTGCAGTCGTCCGAGTGTATGCGTTGATTGCAATGCATGTGAGGATGTGGGTGTATAGTGACGATGGCTTGGGAGCATGAAGTGGTTGGCATGTGAAGATCGTGTTGAATTGAAGCTGTATACGGATCAAGGAGGCGTGGATCTGGCTTGGCTCATCGACGGAAGCCGAACTGGATGCTGAGATCGAGGCAGACCAGGTTGGAGCCGTCCTGGTTCTCGCCGGTGACGTGGACGTTGAACTTTCCGGGCGGGATCTCGCGGGGCAGAGCGACGGTCTGTTCGAGCTCGTAATCGCCGGCGGAGAGCGGGCACTGGAGGTCGGCGTTGTTGGCGCGGGCTTCCTCGCATACATCGAATCGTCGAGCCAAGAGCCTGATCAGACCGAGCTTGACCACGACATCGGCGAATGTGCCGTCCTGCCATGTGTCAAAGATGGACGGGATGTGTGAGATCAGCGACTGTGGTGAGAACGAGATATGAGCAATGCAATCGAGTACCTACGCTGACTTCGTCCTTGATGGTGCCCTTTGCACGCACGGTGAGGTTCTGGCCGGGGACGGGCGGGTCGGGGCTGACGACGATGCTGTCTACGCTGACGACTTCGTCACCCGTACCGCAGCTAGACCATTGCCAGCCTCCGCCCGGGGTGGGGTCCCAGGCGGACTTGTGAGCCTGCTCGGGCTGTGGCACCGAAAAGGCGATCTGGTTGGCGGCGTCGTTGCAATCCTGTCCGATGCATCCCCATGCCAGCGCTTGGGAAGCCAAGGTGAGCGAGGCGAGCGTGAGGGCGATGAATCTTGACTGCATTGTTGTGCGTACGCGCTTCGTGAAAAAGGGGGGGGGGGTGGATGGCGGCGAGATGGAGAGGTAGGAGTGTGTTGCGGCTGCTGTGGATGGATCGCTGAGCCAGTTGAGCGGACCTGCCGAATTGAGACGCAGTGCAGCAGCAGCAGCACTCGAGGGCCAAAGTGCCCCCCGCCAGGGTTTGCGCACTCGAATGTGGAGTTGGTGCCGAGATGCACCGACTGCAGCTGGGCCTCGTCGAGCTGAGCCACAACGCCGCCCCTGATGGCCATCGTCATTGCGCTGTTGTGGCGCCAGTCTGACCCTGCAGCGCCCAACAAAGCCTCCCGCGTGATTTTTCGTAATTGTTAGCTCTCCGATCTCACACTGAACAGAAAAGTCTCGCTCGAGACGTGTGGAGCTCTTCCTTCGCCTTTCTGGTCAGGGTCCTGCCCAAAATTGTGCAGAGCCCGAGAAGAAGAAAAAATTGCAGGAGCCACTCACGACAGCTGCATGCAGGCTCATGTCGAGCTTCCGGGCTTGCTTCCTTCTCCTCGCCATCTCTTCCATCTCGCTCCTGCCCAATCACTGCAGTCGGCAGCAACTCGACAAACCACTTCGCCATGAGGCTCGACGCCACAGACCTGCGCTACATCTCCAGTCAGGAGTTCCGTGTCCTGACTGCCATCGAGATGGGCTCCAAGAATCACGAGGTGGTGCCCTCCTCCCTGGCCGCACAGATCTGCGGTCTCCATCACTCGGGAATCAACAAGCTGCTCGGCTCACTCGCAAAGCGCAACCTCATCGCGCGTGTCCAGAACACAAAGTACGACGGATACCGCCTCACCTACGGCGGTTACGACTACCTCGCCCTCCGTGCCTTTTCCAAGCGCGACTCCATCGCCGCCGTCGGTCGCCGCATCGGTGTCGGAAAGGAGAGTGACATCATGATCGTCTCCTCCCCAGAACAGGAGCAAAGAGTCCTCAAGATCCACCGCCTCGGTCGAATCAGTTTCAGAGCCATCAAGGAGAAGCGAGACTACATGGGCAAACGAAAAAGCGCCAGCTGGATGTACATGAGTCGCCTCGCCGCAGCAAAAGAGTACGCCTTCATGAAGATCCTCCACGAGCACGGCTTTCCCGTCCCACAGCCCATCGACCAGGCTCGCCACTGCATCGTCATGTCCTACATCGACGCTTTCCCTCTTCGCCAGATCGCCGTCCTGCCACCAGATCAGATCCCGCTTCTCTACTCGGCTCTCATGAAGCTCATCGTCCGTCTTGCGCGCGCAGGCCTCATCCACGGTGACTTTAACGAGTTCAACTTGCTCATCCGCGAGGTCTCTACCGCATCCGATGAGGAATACGACTCCGACTCCGCAGGAGCACCGCCAGCGAGAGATCCCCAACCGTCAAGCTCGTCACGACGCGACCCGACTGACAGTGCTCAGCAGGACACTCTCGAAGCAGAGCTCGCAGAGGGACATCAGATTGAGCGTGGCAACGGCTTCGAAAGGGTAGTTGCTCCAGCTCAATCGCAGTTGCCGGATGTCGACGACGTCGACGACGTATCCGATGAGGTCGACCAAGAAGACGAAGAAGAAGACGACGACGACGAAGCAGCATCAGAGACATCAGAACGCCAAATTCATCTTGGCGACGACGTGACTGTCGAGCCCATCCTCATCGACTTCCCGCAGATGGTCAGCATCAACCACGAAAACGCAGAATACTACTTCGACCGCGATGTCGAATGCGTACGCAGATTCTTTCGAAAGCGATTCCGTTATCACTCCGACGAATTCCCGCGCTTCCAAGACGTCGTCCCCGAGTTTGTGCGCAAGCAGACCAAGCTTCCCAAGTCTGCCCCACAGCCCCAAGATGTCGACCAAGATGCAGTCAACAACGTACAGACCGGCGACGTGCGCCTCGATCTTCTCGCCAAGGCCAGCGGATTCGGAGGCTCGAAGCAGGATCGCGAACTCGAACAGTACATGTCGTCACTCCGCCTCAGCACAACTCAAGGCATGATCGAAGTTGCAGATTCCTCCCCAGAATCAGGCGACGAAGTGGATAGCGACGAACAAGATGAGGAGGAGGATAGCGACCAAGAAGATGGCGAAGACGAAGACGAAAGCAGCGAAGACGATGAGGAAGACGACGAACAAGGTTCCGACGCCGAAGTGTCGAGGAAGGCTCGCAAGGCTGCCCAAGCCAGTGCCAATGGCGTCAAGCCCTCCCGCGGTGCCGCCAGGAAAGCTTTGCTCGACGGCGACGACAGCAAGATCGCACAGCTCGTCGCCTCGGATCGCGCAAAGGCTACTCGTCGCGCCGAAAAGCACCACGGAAAGAAGGCGCATGCCGGCAAGGGCGGCAGAGCTCATGCCGGCGGTAAAGCCAAGACCGGAAAGGCGAGGATGATCAGCGACTCAATGGACTTTTGAACTTCCGCACAACTCTCAACTGTCATCAGCATGCCCTTCCCGCACTCACTCCCCTCTTGTCACAGGTAGCACCCGAACGAATCTACAGATGCCAATCTTGAAACAGAACCTGCCTCACACCCGTGTGATGTCTTGGTGTCCCGCGTCTGAAAGTCCGGCTGTCAATCATGAGCATTGTTTTTGGCACTCGCATTGGTCTCGGCACTCGCATCATGCGGGAGACATGAAAGAGCATCAAATCAATCATACTTCGAAGAAACGCGAACAACCAAGATACCAGCCAGCATCGGCAGTTCGCCTTTGGTTGAAGGAAAAACTTGGTTGATGGTTTTCGTATTTTCCAATTTGCTACCAAGACTCAGCTGATTTTCTCCGTGCATTCATCAACTTAATCATTAGTTCTTTCACACTAAGATACGGGAAAAAAGACAATTCAGAGTCACCCGGCAAATCATGACCAATAGTTACAGAAAGGTGTTTTGATAATTTGAATTTGCTGCTTGGTACGACCTATCGATCAGCAAGGGTCAAAGCACGAGTTTGAGCATAGGTAATCTGCCATGCCTTGGCTCTTGAGCCCAAATAAGTATCGGCAAAGGTGCCGTAACACCAGTGTCGAAGCAGAAGCTGTAACTTATTTTGAATATCGGCTTACGCGTGATGCTTTCTCACTATTCACCGCGCGTCCCAGCGCCATGCGTGAATTTTGCTTGATGCCTTCGTGAAAAATCGTGATTTAGGGATCTGACTCTGACTGAAAGCCGCTATTTCGCTCTTGCCGCGAGTCTTACTGCTTTGTTCACAACTTGTTATTGAATTACGCTCAAATTTCGAATCTGAAATCTTGATGATGCTTCATGATTAAGTTACCGGTCATTTTTGCTAGCAATTCTTTCCCCGATTGACCATAGACAATGTGGTCTTTTAAGTTAAGTTAACTTAGCTGTTTCTGAATGAAGGCAATTTTGTCTTCGTGATTGGGATGTAATTCCACTCAGACGTCATTCGCACAATGCTCTATACATTAGGTTGACTCGGCTCGAGCTTTCCTTTGTTGTGATGTAATCGAGCGTTGTTCGTGAATCATGAATTTCGGCTGAGATCAAGCGCCCCAGATGCCGAAACTCCATTGTAAATTTGTCATGATCTACAAAATGCACTTGGAACGTTGGGCCGTAAATTCGCTTTCAGGTGTCGCGTTGGTCGCGAATAAGGAAACGTGTCGTGCACAGCATGCGGTCACGCGAGTATGCCGATGTAGCAACACTACACAAAGCAATTCGCTATTCACAGTCATTGATTCCCCAGAACGACGTGCAAGTCTCAATCACCCACCGAAATCATATCCTAAAAAAACGCGAGCTGGCGAGGAGCAGCCACCCAGCAGCCACCCGGGGTGGCAAAATCAGCCACCCATCAGCCACCCGGGGTGGCTGATCCCTGTGTGTGGGTGGCTGCTGGGTGGCTGATCCCAAACAGCCAGCCGGGGTGGCTGATGGGTGGCTGCTTGTCGCCACCCACCCCATTTGTTAGGATATGAATGATCGACTCCGCGTGACTGCCTGGCTGCTACCAGACCGTTTGTTGCCAATTACTAATTCGTCGGAGGAAGCAAGATTTTTCAGTGTGTCCGGAATGGCGGCCCTTCGGGATTGCTGTTGTGCGTCGTGACTAAATTCATAGCCTGGCTTCTAGCAGATTTCATGATCCAGTCGGATCGAGACACTAAAGGCGCATTCTGTCCAGATAACTCAAGCGAAAGTCCACAACGTCTGTGTCTCGATTTGGAGAAAGCCCCCGGAGTTTGTTTTTCGAGCCCCCCCGACTGCCACCCTCAACATTCGAGAATTTTTCTGTGATGGTCCAAGTGCCTCATAAACCTTATGCCAACCTTAGCCCGCTGCATGGATCGGCACAGATATGTGCTTTGTGAAGTCAAGGGTCTAAGATCATGTAAGTTACCGAATGCATGATCCATGAGGCTCGGAGCGTCAGGGCTTTCAAGAGATGTGGTTCTGGAATCATACAACGCTTCAAAGTCAGAGATGAGTTTGAATGAATATCGAATAATTCCGTTTTCACAGGGTCTAGCGTGAAATTCAATCAAATCCACAAATTTCGGATTGTAAGAATCATGATTCTTGACACACCCTCTTTTTGGCTTCGATCTAAGGCAGGTAAAAAAGCGATTTGACTGTCGCACGCTTTGGAACCACTACAAAGTGGAGTAGCAACATCAAGAAGACAGTCATGGGTGAATTGATTTGAGTTCTTCATGATTGCGAGTAAATATCATAAATTATGACTCGAATTACTCTGAAGCGAGAGATGTCGCACGCAAGCCAGCATCGAGAGCTGGCCGCTGCCCGGTTGCTAATTGCCATGCAAGATCAAGCTGTGAGAGGCTGCGCACACCAGTACCACGACATCGCAGCAAAGTTATCCCAAACAGACGACAGCACAAGATTGTCAAACAGATAAAAAAACACCTGCCAAATTGCTTCAACGATTGACAAGTTATCAACAACACAATGCCGAAAGCAGTTTCAATCCTCCAATGTATGCGATGCTGAATGTTCTCTCATTTGTTACGAATTCGAACCTGAGATGGTACACGACTCGACGACCAAAGCAGCTTCAATCTCAATGAAATGGTAACTGGCGACGAACAGCCAGCCAGCAGCCACTCCCGCGAACAGCGCTACCGTTCCGTTAGGATCTGAATTCCGTACTCTGCGGACTTCCTAGCTTGAATCATGTGACTACCACTACTTTGGGAAAAGTAAAGTCCGCGCGATGTAGGAGGCCTTTCCATGCAGAGATTCAAGGTTAGCCTGGCTCTCACAAGCACCCTTCCTGCAACTCGAGGAGTGAACAGGTGCGAGTCACACTAGATGATAGCATCCATGACTTGATGCCTCGTTTACACAGGGGCTCGAAGGTTCGCGTTTCCGGGCCAAGCCATCTTGAAAATATGCAAGTACGTCGATCCAGGACGGACGGTGCGATACACGAATCGTGCTCTCGACATATGAGAACCGACGCGAACGCTGGCTGGGCGCGAATGGATGCGGGCTCAGGAGCGAAGAACGCGGCTGGCTTGTTCTCTCGAGGGCCTGATCCAGATTTATACGTAGCTCCTTTCGCTTCCCACCAAGGCCCCCCACCAAGGAAGCTTGTCCCGGGCGAAGTCAAGCTGGCTTGGCTGCTAGATGCGGCGTGCTGGTTTTCAATGATACACGTCCTAGAGAAACATGCTCTGCCAGACAGCTTTCGAGCTTTCTCCAAATAGCTGTGAACATGACACATGCTGCGGCTGACTCAAAGAACGAGCCACAAGCGTGCCCTTTCCACGCCTCAGCTCGCGACGAAAGCTGCTGCTGATGCGCGAGAAAGCGAACCGTGATCCTAAGAGTGGTCGAGGTAAAAGGACGTGCCTGCCTGCTCAGCAACCAACTCGATCACACAACCATCAACACAAGCATCGTGACCGTCGCAGACTGCGATGATGCCGCTGCAGACGATTTCGGAAACAATACTGCGAGATTGCAACCGTGAACTCTGTCACCTGGACAATATGCGGTTCATCAGGAAGACTAGGGAGACTGCAGGTGTACGTGATTTCAACGTCCGGACTTTCTGCTGGAGAAGCTGCGCGAGGCTCTGTTGCTGGATGCGTTCTGGAAGACGGCCTCGACCAGGCTCGAGTCGCCGATCTGTTCGACGTAGTCGTCCTCCTGCATGGCGGTCTTATTGCGCAACTTGCGCTTCTTCTTGGGCGTGACGCGTTCTTCGACGACCATGCTTGCATCGCTGAGATCGGTGAGAGCGCTCGCCTCGGCCAGGATGGATGCGTCGCGCGGGGCGATGCGCGACTTGTTGGACGAGCGTCTACCTCGCGCCGTGTTGGTGGTGCTGGTGCTGCTGCGGGCCGAGTTGACGGTGCTGGGACGTCCGGACTTTCTGCGAGGAGGTGGGCGAGGCGCCTCTTCTTCGCTTTCCGACTCGACGTCGAGGTCAAAGGACGAGTCAGAGGACTCGGCGGCGGCAGACGAGCTGTGCATCGACTCGTCCCTGGCGTCAGGAATCTCGACGTAAACTTCGGTCACTCGCACGCCCCGCTCTGGCGAAGAACGCGTGACGAGATCATCGGCGTCACTGTCTGAGTCTTCTGAGTCTTGGGCTGCGGACAGATCGACGCTTTCTTCGTCCTCTGCATCGCTGCCGTCCGAGGACATGGGCTCGTCATCGTCACTAGCCTGGCTGAGGTCGGCGTCGTCTTCGTCTACGTTGGGCATGGAATCGCCGGACGAGATGCTGATCGCAGAATTTACGAGTGCGGCGCGAGTCTGCCTTCCTGGCTTGAGAATGGCTGATTCTTCATTGTCCGATGCATCCTCGTCGTCGTCGTCGTCGTCGTCGACGTGCAGCGAACGCGAGATTTCGCCCTCGGTAGCATCGTCAAAGACGCTTTCGCCTCCGCTGATCTCGCTCATGCTGTGGTCGACACCGGATGGCTTGGACGCAGCAAGGGTGCCTTCGACTTCGGCCTCTTCTTCGTGGCCAGACTCGCTGTCATCGTCGGTGTATTCGGACTGGTCGGCGTCGCTGTCGTCGACGAGATCGGGCTCGTTGCGCGCATTGGTGCTGACGAGAAGGTCGATCTTGCGGTTCATGAATTGGGCGTTCTCCTCCGCATCGTTGATCATGCGACGGTTGTAAAAGTCCTCCATCTCGAGCAACCTCTGCTCCATCTGGTCGACCATCTCCCTGCGGACCTCTGCTTCGATGGTGGCGCATCGGAGCTCGGCGGCGTAGAGCTTTTGGCGAAGCTCTTCGTGCTTTTCGACGAGCATGTCGACAAAGGGGTCGTGCTCGTCGTCGTCGTCGGCGTCTTCGTCGTCCTCGATGATGGTGACGTCTGCGCTCGCGCTGGTCTCGACGTCGGAGGAGGCGATTTCGACGCTGGACTTTGACTTGGAGAGGGCACGCGAGGCAGGGGTGGCATTCTCCTTGTGTGCTGGAAGAGGGGGCAGCATCTTTGTGATGGGAGCGGTGGGGCGGGCGACGGCGACGTCCTTCGCGATGGCACTGAAGCGCATGACGTGTGCATTCTCCTCGAAGCCGGTGTCGTAGGGGTTTGCGTTGACGATCATGACGGCTTTTCCCTCGCCGACAAAGAAGCTCTGGAAGAGTTCGGTGAGCTTGGAGTGGCGGAAGGGGACGATGCTGAGGCGGCGCTTGACGGTCTGTGCCTGGCCGCCTTCGGTGGTGCCGGTGATGCGGATCTGGTTTTTGCGCAGCGTGTCGAGGCATTGTCCCAAGCACATGAGGGATTTGTTGATGTTGCCCGCTTCCTTGAGACGATCGCCGCCGGAGAGGCCGGTGTTTGCGACGCGTTCGCTGCCTGCGAGGTCTACGATGCTGAGACGTGCGGTGGAGAAGGAATCGAGATTGTCGTCGGAGAGGTTTGCGAGGCCGCCGTGGTGACGGACGATCTTGATTGTGAAGATGCCGTGGGATCGGGAGCTGGCGCGGTTGGCCATGGTGCCGAAGACGGCGCGGTTCTCTTGGCCGCGATGGAGGAGGTCGCGAGCGTCGTCTGCCGAGTTGATCTTGATCTCGCGCAGACCGTCTACGTACTTGGCGCCAGTTTCGTGGTCCCTCTTGAGGCTGAGGGGTTTCCTGTTGAGGGTGATGCTGCTTGCGCTGGAGGGAAGGGAGGAGGGAGCGGCGTTGGCCATGTTGGCGAGGCTCCAATTGGAGCCGCGTACGGATTCGGAGCGACCGATGGTGGCGCCGGGGGATACGTCGAGGAGGTCAAAGAGTTTCTCGTTGTAGACCTCTACGTAGCTGGCAAAGACGCTGTAGCGCAGATTGCGATCGACGGTGAGCTTGGTGTCGTCGTGCTCGATGAGCTTCGTGGGGCGTGCGGATCGGGCGGGGGTTTCGGCGAGGAGCCTGCGGGATACGCTGGGGATCATGAATGGGTTGACGCCGAGGGTGGGGGAGGCGTCTGGGTGTGCGGTACGCTTTTCCAGACGTCTCACGCCGGAAGCACCAAATGGTTCGATGCTGGCGGAGCTTTCGAGGTCGTTGATGGAGTTGAAGATGACGTCGAGGGCGCGCGGGAGGATGCCTGCGCCGCCGGGGGAGGAGTTGCCCATGACGGTGTGACTCTTTCCGGAGTTGGTGACGCCGTAGGTGAACATGAGGCCGCTCTCACCCTGGAGGAGTGCGTTGACGAGCGGAAGGGTGGTGTGCTTGAAGAAGGCGGCCTGGGACTGATCCTGCTGTGCGGCGGAAGGCAGGTCGTGCTGGGTGCCAAATACTTTGGAAAAGATGTATTTGGTCGGGGGAGCGATGCTGGTGGTGCGGGATCGGCTGGCGGGGATGCCAGTTGGGTAGGCGTGCTGGGCAGGGGGATGCATGAGGATTTCGGTGTCGCTGACGACTTCGATGTAAGGGCGCGCAGTGGCCTCTGCGGGCGGAGGGCGGATGCGGAGATAGGCCTTGATGGGCTCGATGTCGAGGAGGCGGGAGGAGTCGTCGGAGGCGGCCGTGAGCCTGGAGATGTCTGCGACGGAGTGCATGGAGCGCAGGTCGGAAGGACGACCGCGGATGGAGGATTTGGGACGCGGAGTGACCATGGCGGGCTCTGCGTCTGTGCGCTTCCTCCTTGGCTGAGGAGTGGCTGCTGCTGTGGCGGCCGAGGAGGATGAGGATGCCGAGCTGCGGATGTGGGAGGAGGAGGCGGAGGCGGCGAGCTTTGGCCTGGAAGCGGACTGGAGGTGAGGCGGTAGGATGCGTTTGGAGATGTTTGAGTTTGTGATGTTGGTCATGCTTGCGCGCGAGGGCAAGAGATGCGGTTGGGGCTTTGCCCTTGGCGTTGCGAGGCTAGCATCGTTTTCGTTATCGGGGGTTGCGTGTCTGGATGATGATTTGGGCATGGTGGTGGAGGAGCGTGGTGCTGGATCTCGCGAGGCGGATGGTGGTGCGGAGGCAGGATGCGCATGCGGATGCGGCTCGAAACGAATTGATGAGGCGAATGAAGGGTGGCCGCACGCATCCACTCCGACTGAGCCGCGTCTCGAGAGAGAGAGAGAGAGAGAGAGAGAGACAGAGAGAGTGTGTGTGTTGGAGTCTGTTTTCCTTGAAAAATCCCGACGCGACGCATCGCTTTGATGCTTCAGCAGTCGAGTGTTGTTCTTTTTCCTCGCCGCGGCCGTTTGCGATTTCTCCACATATCGCGCGTCCTCGAAGCAGAGAGTTCAACACCCAATCCCATTCCGCCAGCCATCGTCCACGATCTCAGTTGCAACATTCGAACTCTTTCCCGTTTGGGTCCATGACATCTGCTTTTGCTGCAGGAATGCTGACCGAGAGAGTGGTTGAAATGTCGCCATCTGTGCTGCGCATCCCCAATTGCCTCGAGTGGGGCAGCGGATCGACAGCCTCGCTCAGCTGCGCGTCGACGCACGTTCGGCCTCGGATCACGTGGGAAAATAGGTCACTGTTAGATCTTTATATCGATGCTCCAAGCAAGAAATTCGCCGTCGAGCCAAAACGGCTGCTGTTCGGGGGCCAAAAAAAATCCGGAATGACTCGGCTCTCGGGCGTTGGATTCTCGACACGACTGATTGATGGTCCGAGCTTGGCCGTGGCATGCAGCTTTGCCTCTCCATCCCCACCCACCTTCCGCCAACATCCTCGCCATGTCGCAGTCGGCCATCGTCACAACACAGCTTCCGCTCACCCTCATCGCAAAGGGAAAGGTGCGCGATGTCTACGACGCAGGCATCACCGACGGTCCGCATGCAGGCGCCATCCTCTTTGTAGCCACCGACCGCATCTCGGCCTTTGACATCATCCTCCAGAACGGCATCCCCAACAAGGGCAAACTCTTGCACGCCCTCTCCACCTTCTGGTTCGGTCTCCTCACCCCCTCCCTCATCGAGTCCCACATCATCGCCACCGACTATCAAAACTTCCCTGCCGAGCTCAAGCAACGCCTAGATGCCGTAAAGGATCAGGTCGAGGGCCGCTCCATGCTCGTCAAGCGCGCAAAGGTGCTGCCCATCGAGGCGATCGTCCGCGGATACATCACCGGCAGCGGATGGGCAGAGTACAAGCGCTCCGGCACCGTTCACGGCATCAAGCTCCAAGAAGGCCTCCAAGAGAGCCAACAGATTCCCAACGGTCCGCTCTTCACTCCCTCGACAAAGGCCGATCAGGGCGACCACGATGAAAACATTCACCCCGACAAAGGTGAGCTCTCACCCATCCCCGCACCCAATGCGCCTCCCACTGACACTTCTCTCCTCTTCTGTCGCTCATAGTCTCCGAAATCATCGGCTCGGATCTCGCCTCCAAGATGGCAGCCTCCGCCGTCGCTCTCTACTCCAAAGCCGCAGCACACGCAAAGTCGCGCGGCATCATCCTCGCCGACACCAAGTTCGAATTCGGCCTCATCGCTTCCGACTCGGGCGACCAAATGATCCTCGTCGACGAAGTGCTCACCCCGGACAGCTCGCGCTTCTGGGCCGCCGACAAGTACGCCGTTGGCCGTGGCCAGGACAGCTTCGACAAGCAGTACGTACGCGACTGGCTCAAGGCAAACGGCCTCGACAAGGCTGCCGACCAGGGCGTCCCCGTCACCCTCCCCGACGACGTCGTCAAGCGAACCCAGGAAAAGTACACAGAGGCCTACGAACTCATCACTGGCCACAAATACGCCGCCTAGATTGCCCACCACGTCCGAATGCCAGCTTAGAATCTCGCCATCGTGCACATGTGCAAGACGGCCTGGTATACGATTACGAGAGAAAGTACAACATTGTACACGATACAAATCTTTAGAAATGAAGCAAACCAGGAAACATTACGACCGCGCTCGCTTGCTCTTGGGTAACGCCGACGTCGTCAGCTTGTTCTTGGCGCTGCGCGATGCAGAAATGGTCGGCTTGATCGCCAGCTCTTCCATCGACGTCGAGCTCGGCACATTCGCGTGCCCAAACGGCAACTCTCGCAGCGGCCGCGTGCTCCTCCGCACCGCCTCTCCATCCTCGACTCCCTCCACTGGCGGCGTGGCAGCAGACTCTTCCACTTCGGCCTCCAATCCCGGCTCCACCACGGCCCCATCCTCCGCTTCCAACTCCGACGTGAGCACTTCGCTTGTTGCCGCCTCCGAGACGAGCGTGTCGACGACCTTTCGACCCGCCTCGATCGCCTCCTCTCGATTGCTCGGCACCAGACCCCACCGTCCGGGCATCTTCCACACGCGCTTCTGCGGCGTCTGGCCCGTGCTTCTATCCTCCTGGAACTTGGACGCCAGCATCGTATCAGACTCCGACGCAAGCTCCTTGAGAACGCCGCCCACCGCCTCGCTCCACGCATTCACCTCGCCTTGGTGTGCGTCCACCTTCTCCACCACCTTGCCCGCTGCACATGTGACCGTCTGCGAGCTCGTCGCGAGGTGCGAGGTGGCCGCTTCGAGCGTCTCGGTGAGCTCGGTGTTGGCCGCCTTGATCTTGGACGATTGCGCCTTGGTGTGCGCCTCGACTTTCTTCCTGGCCTTTTCGGTGAAGCTCGAGATCTTGTCGTGTCCGCACAGGGCAGCAGAGCTCAACGCAGACAGGTCGTCCTCGATCGCCGATGCGAACGCGTCCATCTTGGTGCCCAGCTCGGTGCTGGCGTGCGAGACATCGGTTGCAATCGTATGCGTCTCCTCGACGAGCGTGGCTTGGGAGCGCTCGAGCTTGCTCGCCACGTCGCCCGTTCCCGCCGAGAGCGTATCGAGCTGTACACGCTGGCTCGCCTCGTGCGATTCCGAGGCGTTGATGGAGCGCGCAACCAGCGCCTGTGCCGGCGCCATGGATGCAGCCACGGACGACACCTGCTTGTCCATGAAGCGGTCGAGCAGGCCCCCAAAGTCGGCCATCAACTCGCGCTTGAGCGACGCATTGCTGCGCTTCATCTCGTCCACCGTGGCTGCGAGCTGCTCATTTTGGTCGCGCAGCCGCTGCATCTCTTCCCGACTTGCTGCCTCCGCAGCCGCCTTGACGCGCGCGATATGGTCCCGGTTCTTTTGATTTGTTTCTTGCACCTCCTGGAGTGTGGCGACGTGAGCCCGAGTCACCTGCTCGAACGACGCGGCGACGTGCGTAAAGCGCTGCGTGTTGGCCAGCACCACATCTTCGATGGCGCCGCGACACGTCTGTTTGAGCGAACCGAGGCTTGTCTCGCTCGATGTCTGCAGCGCGCTCACGGTAGCCTCGAGATCGCCCAAGAGCGAAGCGAGCACGTCCTTGGACTCGAGCTGGCCCGAGCGCACCTCGCGCAGCGAAGTCGAGATCTTCTTCAGTCGAGCTTGGAGCCAGTGTTGGTGCTCATCGTGGTGGCTCTCTGTCGCACTGACCATGTTGTGCAAGCTGGTCTTGAGCGAGGTGCTGAACTGATTCTCGGCAGCTCGGAAGGCGGACAGGCTCGAGTCGAGCTGAGAGGCGTGCTGCGAAACAGCCTCCCTGCATTCTGCCACAACCGCGCGGTTGGCCTTTTCCACCGCCGTCTTCCTCTCGAGCTTGTCGAAGAGGCCCTGTACATCTGCGGTGCTCTTGTGGACAAGATCGGCAAGCGAGGAAGCGGCGGTGTTGAGCTGCGCCTCGCTGGCCATGTATGCCTTGCGCAATGCCACCTCCTCGTCCACGGTCAGCTCGAGCGAGGCGGCCTTGGCGATCAGGGCCTCGAGCTCTGCGACACGATCTGCACATTCGGCCTTTGCGATGCGCACCTCGTTGTCGCGCTTGACGAGAAGCTGCATGTTCTGTTCGAACTGCTCCTTGAGGCTGTTGAGCTTGCTCTCTGTGACCTCGGCGGATCGTTTGAGCGAGTCTGTTAGCGTCTTGCGCTCCTCGTGCTCCGCATGCATGGTCTTCCACGAGTCGTCGGTGAGGTAGATGCCGTTCTGGTCGCGCGATGCCTGGAGGTCGCCCTTGAGCCGCTCGATTTCGAAGACGTACTCCTTGATGAGCGCCGAGCGCGTCATGCGCGTGTTGAGCTCGGGGCGATTCTTGATCGACTTTGCGCGGAGCGCATAGTCGAGCGTCGAGAGAGTCTCTTCGATGTTGGCGCGTTCCTGGGAGACGGTGGCGATGATGCACGTCTTTGTGCGTCCGCCGAGCGACTCTTGGAGGAGACGCGTGAGCTTGGACTCGCGGTAGGGGATGTGGCTGTTCTTCTCGACGAGCGCGTTGATGACACGTCCGAGGGTGAGGAGGCTCTGGTTGATCATGCCGGCTTCGCGAGCACGTTTGTTCTCTGCGCCGGATCTGCCGATGTTTTCGGAGCCGGCGAGGTCGACGAGGTTGAGCTTGCCGATCTTGAGCACGTCTTCGCCGCGGGAGCCCTTGTCCTTGATGAAGACGGTCATGGTGAATACGCTGTGCGATCTGCTGGACTGTTCGTTGCAGTTGGTGGCTGCGATCTGGCGCTTGCGACTTCCGTGGCGGAGGACGGCGAGGCCGTGTGCGGCGTCCTTGAGGGCGACCTCTTCGAGGCCCTGGATGACGACGCCCTTTCCGCGTGCGTCGTCGTACATGCGGAGGGTGTGGTGTGCGGCGTCGTTTGCGGACGAGGCGTTGTCGGGGCTGAGCAGGTCGCGAAGCTCTTCATTGTAGAGCTCGATGAAGGTGGCCTTGACCGAGTAGTCTTCTTTGGAGAGCTCGAGGGTGTGGAAGAGGCGATAGAGGGAGCGCGGGATGATGCCGGCCTCGGAGGAGTAGGTGCCCATTTGGGAGGTGAGGTCGCCCTCCATGGTATGGGTCTTGCCGGTGCCGGTCTGACCGTAGGCAAAGACGGTGCAGTTGTATCCGGACATGACTTCTTCGAGGATGGGGCCGACGACGTCCTGATAAAGCATGCCCTGGTCGGCCTCTGGGCCAAAGACCTGGTCGAAGTGGTAGCTCTTTTGGCGAGTGGAGGATTCTTGGTGGAGGGTGGTAGAGGAAGAGGAGGAGGAGGATACCGGGGTAGGCTCTATCGCGACGTCGATCTGCTGGCATCGTGGGCCGGAGGTGGTGAGGATGGAGGGTTCGGTGCGCGGCGGTTCGTTGGGAGCATGACCTCGTACGCGCACGACGACCTGGATGTTGGATTCGCCAGCGTCGGAGCGTTTGCGAGCGGCATCGTCGTTGGAGGCTGCGGACGCGGAGCGAGAGGGTGGATGGGTGGCTGCGGCGTTTGCTGTGAGTCTGCGTGCTGCTGCTGATGATGCGACGGGCGGAGCGACGCTGGGGGCTCGTGAGCGAGGCTGTACGGGGCGCGTGAGGTTGGACGAGGAGGGCTGTCTCCGGAGGTTGGAGGAGGAGCTTGCCATGGTTGCTGCGGATGCGTTTGTCCACGCGCTGATGTGATGGAGCGGTCGATAAAGCGGATGATGGAGCTGACGATGATGATCCACCGAGCGATGGCGGCGAAGGATGAGAGCTGCGGGCGGTGCGCGAAAGGATCGGCGCGTGGTGCAGAACAACACGTCCTTTCGCCCTTCCGCCGCTCCAAAGACGCGCTCTGCCTGTCCAGCGCAATCACAGCTCACGTGATTCATTAATGAGCAACAGTGTTAGACCTTTGCCAATTGAGTCGAAAACTAAAAATAAAATTGCGCACTGCAACTGTGATGGCGGCGCTGCAGGGCTTAGCCAAGCGCGCCTCTGCTTTCGAGGCAGAGCAGCAGCAGCTGAGCCGACGCGTCGTTGCGGAAAGGAAGAGGAGAAGCGGATTTGGATGCGGATGCGGATGCGAATGCAAGATGCGGAGGTGGAGGCAGCGGCGGCAATCAGTGTTGGATCCTACAAAAGAAACCGCCCTCGCTTCCATCCACTCCTTCTCTGCCTCCATCCACCATCCACCATCCACCACCACCCAACCAACCAACCAACCTCCCGCTACCGACACCATGACCGGCACACACTCCCTCTGGGAGCACGCCGCTCTCGATCCCAACACTCACCTCCTCCCAGGAATCCGCTCCTTCTGGCCTGCCTTCACCTCGTACTTCCACAACGGAAAGGCGCTCACCCACCTCGCCACCTACAAGTCCTACTATGCCTCCGCAGACCCGCTCCACTCGGCCATCGCCTTCTGCGGATTCGTCAGCTTCTACGTATGGCTCATGGAGAGGATCACCGGAAACGCTTCCCAGGTCGACGGCCTCTGGACCTTCCTCCCGCTCATCTACTCGGTCCACTTCACCGTGCACAAGTACTTCACCTACCAGCCCGCCAAGCTTTCGCTCTTCGGTGGCGTCGAGTCCGCCTCGCTCTGGGACAAGGTCGAGCCGCGTCTCGCGCTCATGACGCTGCTCTCGGTGCTCTGGTCCGTCAGGCTCACCTACAACGCCATCCGACGTGGCATGTTCAAGCCGGGCGAGGAAGACTACCGATGGCCGCTGCTGCGCAAGACCATGTCGCGTCCCATGTGGCACATCTTCAGCATCTTCTTCATCGCCATCGCACAGAACATCCTCCTCGCCATCACCGCCCTCCCCAACTACCTCCTCCTCACCACCACCTCGGTCAAGCACGTCACCGAACCCGTCCCGCGCCCCGTCAACCAGCTCATCCTCGGCGACTACATCCTCGCCGCCCTCTTTGTGCTCAACCTCACCATCCAGTTCTTTGCCGACCAGCAGCAGTGGAACTACCAGAACTACAAGCGCGGCAAGGACCCTTACGAGAAGCCCCTCCCCGCTGCCATGCTCGACCCCAAGTCCAAGCTGCCGGTCAAGAACCAGACCGTGCAGCCCTACGCTACGCCCGACGACGCACGCCGCGGATTCGTCACCAAGGGCCTGTGGGCGTGGAGCCGACACCCCAACTTTGCATGCGAGCAGACCACCTGGTGGATCCTGTACGCCTTTGTGCCGCTCACCTTCCTGCCGCGCAACCTGGATTTCACGCATGCGCACTGGTCGCACTTTGCCAACTACGCCATCCTCGCCCCGCTCGCCATGAACGCGCTCTTCCTGCCCAGCACGCGCTACTCGGAGCAGGTCTCGGCCGAAAAGTACCCCGAGTATGCCGACTACCAGAAGCGCGTCGGCATGTTCCTCCCCATCGACACCCTCCTCCGCACGCTCTACTACAACCTCATCGCCTCCAAGCAAGACAAGCACCGCGTCGAGGCCAACGTTTGGGGCACCAGCCAGGTTTCCAAGATCAAGGCCAACTAGTCGCGCGCCTTCCTCGCCTCAAGTCTTTCTCCCCCCTTCCTTTCATCGTTTTTCGCTCCTGTAATCCAGCTTCCTCTGCATGTAAGATGTGAAACGCCAAGCGAATACCAACGGCCGGTCTTTTGTGTGCATGTCTTTTTGGATTTCAACTCCTTGTTGGCCAGAGCCAGATTTTGACGTGAGGTTCAGGTTCGATCGCAGCCGAAGCGACAATGTTTGCTGTTGGATGGGCATCGGTTGCAATCAGCGCCACGTTGGTCGAAGCGGCCGCCCACCTTGCCACCACCTCTTTCGACTGGAGATCCCATACGACCACGCAGCCATCTTCGCTGGCGCACATGACGGCGGTGCCGCCCGTCACCAGCGTGGCAGCCATGGCGAGTTTGGTGTTGGTGTTGCCCGTGTAGGTCTTGACCACCTTGTCGTTGAAGATATCCCACAGTCTCGTCGTGCTGTCCAGGCTCGAGCACAGTAGGTGTGCCGACGAAGGCATGAACCTCACGCCGCCTAGCGGAGCCTGGTCCTTGTGCACTAGCGTCTTCAAGCACTGGCCTGTAGTAGTATCCCACAGCCGAATCGATGCGTCGTACGAGGCCGAGACGATCATCGTGCCGTCTCTGTTAAAGTCCACGCTTGAGACCGCTTCCGAGTGCGCCGAGATGACACGATGGCATCGGTTGCGCGCCACATTCCACAGCCGAACCGTCTCGTCAAAGCTGCCCGAAACCAGCAGCGTTGAAGCGGGGTTGAACGAGAGGCACAGCACGTACGATGTATGCTCTCCAAACTCGCGCACCACCTCGCGTGTCAGCACGTTGAACACCTTGATCGTACGGTCGTCCGAGCACGTCGCAACATAGACACTATCTGCGGACCACGAAACGTCGTTGATGCCCGCAGTGTGCGAGGAGAAGGTGTGGATGAGTGCACCGGTAGCGACAGACCAGATCTTGAGCGTACGATCCGCCGAGCCTGTGGCGACAAGAGCGCCAGACGGAGAGAACGAGACGCACGAGACCGACTTGGTGTGCCCGCTGAGCGTATAGATCAGCTGCGGGGTGGATGGCATCGTGGAGTCTGCAGCTCCATCACCGAGCTCGATCGCCATGCCATGCCAGGTAGGATCCAGCCTAGAGCAGGCGGGTCAAAGCAGGCGGCGAGTATGGAGGAGCGAGTTGGATGGTGGAGAGTGGGCAGGGTCCATTGGCGCTCAGTCTTCGCATTGAACCCTCAGAGGAGGCGGGGAAATCGGGAAGAGTTGAAATCGGGGTGCGTGACTGCCGAGTGCCGAGATCTGGAAGCGCGTTGAGAAGGCGGCGGGCGTGGCTTGGATTGTCCACCTCCGCCTCCACGACCACCTGCTCTTCGCCACGCCAATCACCCCACTGCGCACCATTCGTCATCGAAACGAGCCGCCTTCAATATGGCGACGCAGCACGAAGTGGGACGCCGCCACCGCGGCATGATCGAGGACGAGGACGCAGCGATCGGCAAGCTCGGCGAAGGTGCGTTTCATCTCGGAACCTGGTATCGACTTGCAAGTGCGCATTGCTTACTGACGTTTCTTGTCTTGCACATACTTGGTAGAGTTCGACGATGCGGGCTGCTTGCTCATCTCGGAGGTCGAGCTTGTATTCTCGCAGCCCGATGCGCTCGGCGATGGCGCTGCGGGCCGCGACGACGTAGCCACGGCGTAAGCCTCTCTCTCTCTCCCAACACCGCACCACTGGCAGCCCGAAAACTCACCTCCTCCCTCGTCGTTTCGCACAGCGTATTCTCCAAAACCAAAGACTACGTCTCCGAGTTCTCGCGCTACAAGGACCCCAACACCATCCGTGAGATTCGAGAGTAAGTGCCCACCCCCAACCCATCCAACCAGATTCCACCCACTCACATCTTTATACACATTAGACTGCTGCTCAAGCACGCAAAGCTTGACGACAAGCCGGTGGACGAGGATGGCAACGAGATCGACGCGCCCGATACAGGGCTGCAGCTCACACAGTTCGAGATGGCGCAACTCGCCAACCTGTGCATCACCGAGGTCGACGAGGCCAAGGCGCTCATCCCCACGCTCGCCACGCGCGACGATGCGCTGCTCGACTCGCTGCTGCAGGAACTCGACAACATCCGTCGCTTTTCCTAGCTCTCTCACTTGCAATCTGTACTTTTACTCTCTCGCCCTGCCTGCGGTTTGAGATGCGGGTCTATTGGTGTGCACGCATCTGGGCTAACAGCGTCAGCTTGAGATCCTCCCACGCTTTGGCGCCCACGTGAAAGTAGGCGTATCCGAACGCCGCACCAGCCAAGTGGGCCCAGTGGTCAAACAGTCTCCACCTGAGCACGATGCCCGCCGCATCCATCGCCACGAGCCCTGCCACGCCGACGCCGATGGGGAAAGTGACGAAAGGCAGCAGTATGATGCCCAACTTGGCATCGGGAAAGGCGCAGGCGGACATGACCAGTGCCGCATACACTGCACCGCTCGATCCTAAGCTCGCCTGTCTGCCCACCGTGCTTTTCGCCACGTCCGGGCCGCGCAAGGCGGCTAGGCGACGAAAGCGGATCGCCGTAACGATGTGCGATACTGTGGCGGCAAATACGCCTGCTGTGGCAAAGAAGGCCAAAAAGTGCGGCGTGGGCGATGCTTCGGGCACGCGCTTGTGCTGCTGGCTCGCCGCATACAGAGCCGCACCGCCGAAACTCCAGAGCGCCATGTTGTTGAGTCCAAAGTGCACCAGCGTCTGGTGGCTGAACACGGAGGTGAGCAGCGTACGCATGCGGTTGCTGCTGGGCCGGTGTAAGAAGTTGCGCATCATCCATCCTCCACCTCGCTTGGCTGCCACGGTCCATGCTACGAACACGGCCGTGTTGAGCGCAACGATGGGCAGCACCACCTGCTTGGACGGCGCCAGATCCAGGTACGCCTCCGCACAAATGATGTACGCTCTTCCGATGGTTTCCGTGACGCTGGACGGAAGGTGAAGTTGCTCGCACCATCCCATGAGCCACTGCATGCGAATGCCGAGGCGTTCGGCCGTTTCGTGCTTCTTGACCATCTGCAGCCGCTTTTCGGTCACGCCGCGTCCCCATACGCTCGAGCCTTCGTCGCCGGTGAGGTACGACGAGATGCTTCCGAATACATCGCGGGCTCCACGCAGCTCGTCCGCCACATGCTGCGTGTCGCGCAGCGAGTAGAGCGCTGCTCCACCGAACGCCAGCGATGAGAAGCCGAAGAGGAAGAGCAAGGAGCGCGAGATCGATGGTGCCGATACGTCTTCGGGCGGCTGCGGGAGAGGTCTTTCCTCGTCGGAATACGGCTGGCTGGCGGCTTGCCTCTGGATGACTGTCCGCGGTCGAATCGACGCCAGAGGTAGGCGCGGAAGCTGTGCCAAGCTAGAGGCAGCGAGAGTGCGGCGTTGGAATGCGCAGTCGGCGCCCAGAGCCAATCGTATCGACGCCGGAGCGAGCAGCCTCGGTTGGAACGGCGTGGCCCCCCGAGTGACGCTGCGCAGCGAAGCCGCAATTCCAGGGCGAAGCATGCCTGTACCGATGCCTTACTTTTGGCTTGATCTTGAGCTTGATCTTTACGGTGATGGTTGAGCGCCAACGACGCTCGACTCGTGATCAGGTAGTGAGACGCAGTGAGACGCAGTGAGACGCAGTGACACGCAGTGAGTGACACAAAGGGAAACTGGACCCTGAGCTTGGCTTCTCGCATCGCTCAGCCTCCACTCTCGGCAAAAAAGGCTTAATTGTGAGATCGGAGTGTCCTTTGTGGGTTAAAAATAAAATTCAAGGAACCGACTTCCGAGCAAGAAAAGAAGGTTGGACGCCGCTCTAAAAATCATGAATCCGACCCTTGAAAGCCTGTCCTTGAAAGCCTGCCGACGTGTCACACTTTGCTGCCGCGCTACCATCAACCATCACCAGCTGCCGTCTGGACGACGACAAGAAGCGGCCACACATCGGCATTTGTGGGCATACGTGCGCGTGTGTACTCGGCCCAGCGCCGCTTGTGCTGCCACACTCGCTTCAAGTGCCTCACATCCGCGCAACCATGCCTTCCCGAGGGGCCGCACAGCCACAAGCCGCTCCACCGAGCACGAGCAAGGGCTTGGTATCGACGATGCTCATGCCGTTCATGGCGCTAGCATTCGTCCTGCTGCATGCGATGTACCAGCTCGCAATCCTGGCACGTTCCGTCGCATCAGCCGTCTCAAGGGCCACACGGCGCTGCTCCCACCAACCTGCGTCGTCCTTCGCATCGCTTGCGGAGCTGCTTGCCGAGCACGAGTGTGCGCCGGAATCGGTGCGCGTGCCTGATCACCTGGCTGTGGTGCTTGCAGATGCCGCCCCCTCCTCGCTCCGACTCTACCTGTCCACGCAGTGGATGCGCTTGCATTCCACCAGCACCAAGTCGGGCGACTTTCACGCCACGTACCAAGCCGCCGTGGAGGCCAAGCACGTCGAGGATGCAGCGACACTCATCCACCTGGCTGCGATCAGCGGTGTGCGCCGGCTGAGCATCTACACGTGCGAGCCACTCGGCGCGCAAGCACTACAGCAACTCACACGGCACCTGCAGTTGGCGTACAAGACCCGTGGCGTGATCCACCCGACATCGTCGCAGCAGAGCGAGACGAGCGATCCGAGCTTGTGGAAGTACACCGAGCTGCGCCGACGCACAAGACTACGACGGACCGACGGAAGTGATGCATCGAACCCCAGTGCACCTGGATCGCCGGCATCGAGCGATTCGGAAGCGGCGCCCTCTTCGCTCGACGAAACGCTCGCGTCGTCGTACACTGGCGAGACCGAGCCGCTCAGCTCGGACGTATGCAGCGCGACTGTGGACATCCGACTGGGGCTTTCGTCGCCCGCCCTGCCAATGGGCACGTCGCTGCAAGTTGTCCTCCTATCGCACTGCGACGGGCAGGACCACTTTGCCCATCTCGTCTCGACACATGTGCACGAGCGCGCACGCAGCTACCTTTCCACGGTGGTGCTGAGTGACATTGCGTCGTCGTCGCGCTTCTCGGCATCACGTCTGCGCAAAGCGTGGGTGTCGAGACGCGAGCGATTCGTTGCCGATCTCGATGTGGCGCGGCTCGACGCACATGTGCGTGGCGCCGGCTACTTGGACGAGCCCGAGCTGCTCGTCGTGCGCGGCTCACGGCCGAGTCTACGTCGGCTCTACGGCTTTCCGGCCTGGCCACTGCGGATTACCGACCTGTTCTACGACGAGGCGCTGCAACCCCATGCGCGCTATGCGCCACACGACTTTGTAGCCGCACTGCGCAAGCTCGCGCGTGCCGAACAGCGGCATGGCAAGTAGAAGAATGCAGTGCCGCATGCTTGCGTGTTGGAGCCAGCTTCATCTGTGTGAGTTGAATGGTTTGGATCGCCCGATGAAGCGGCAGTCTTGATGATGGGACCCGATTGGAAGAGGGGTGGCGTCGGAAGATGGAGCGACACGTTGGGACATTTTTGAGTTTTAGGTGAGTGCTTGGCGATCGCAGTGGAATGCTGGGCGCGTCTTTGCAGCTGCACCTCGAAAATCGCCAGGAAAGAAAAAGGAAAAGCAGGAACACCACTTGCAGCTCGTGCTCGGCTCTCTCCGCATCCACATCTGTTCACGGCCATACGGAGTTGCCAGCTCGGGGGAATCGGGGATAATGCAGGACTGGCCAAGGCAGCTTCGGAACTCGGACGCAAAGGATGGACGTTCGGCTCAGCTAAGCTCGGCAGACGCTGCGACATTGAGTAAGCGCTTCCACCCACGCCGTGTTGACCGGCAGACCCTGCTTTGGTCTGGATTCCGAAGGAAATCGCCAGTTCGGTTCGCGAGCGTCGTTGCGTGTCGACAAACAACCTTGCACACAATGCAAAGCAGAGCAAAGCAAAGCGTCGTGGCGAAGCAATGCATAGCCGACCCACCTTGTCGCCAGAAGCTGCCCTGATCGTCGCCCACCAAATGCGCAACATTCCAGTTGGTTTGCGACATGCCGCTGAGGAAAGGGGGGGGGGGGGGGGTCAAGCTTGGCGGGCGGCACAAAAGGCTTGGCTGAGATCATCTCGCTCCCTCCACTTTGGGTGGTTGCGCATCCGAAACCGGCGCTTGCCCCAAGTCGCCCTCGTTCCTGCAAAGCTCCACAAAGTGCCGATGCTAGTGCAACGATGAATCGGTGCAGTCGGATGCGTTCGGCACCACCACCGCTGGCCAGTAACAACAAACGATGGACCGTGCGGATCGGAAGCCCGCTTGTCTAAGCCTGCATTTTTGGTTCGGCACAATCCAACAGCCCAGACCCTTTGCATGTGTCTCGAAAAGAAAAAGAAAAAAAAAAAAAAGATGCCCCGTGCCGAACCTCCCCCGCACTTTTTTTGTCCCATTTGTACCTTTTCTCGCCCTTTCCTGACAGCCAACAAAGGACTTTTTCATGCGAGCTGCGTGCTGCGAGCTGGACGACTCGTGACCTCCTCCCTCCCTTTTGGGCCACCGCATCCATCGAGGCCGCTCTACGCTGCCTAGGCTTCCGTGCTGCTAGGCCACGGCGAGTCGCAAGGCAGGCGGGACAGCTGACACCGCCCCCCTCGGAGACAATAGTCCATTTCGGCTTCCATCCGTGCCAGCGTCGTACCCCTTGCCGCTGGCTCCCTTAGTCGAGCGAAGAGCATGATGACAGCGACGAGGATTTGAGCTACTCTAGAACCATGCGGTCCACTTTGGTCAGCGACCTCACCATGTGCAAAACGTGGATGCGCCTTACGGAAGCCTTTCCGACAGGGCAGCGACAAGCTCGAACGCCAAGCCGCCATGCACTGGTGCAGATGCACGATGATGAACACCAGGCGGAACATTCGCACCAGCCGTCGTGCCGACGTTCTTGGCCGCGGAGCCAAATCCTCGAGACTCTCGTCCAACCTCGCGATGCCTCCTGCTGAGAACGAGTCCAGGCTCGGGTGCGAAGAGTCGGCACACGGGCACACAGGCATACAGGCATGTCGATCTCGGTGTCCGCATCGCCAGCCGCCTGCAAAAGGGTCAGAGCCGCTGCCAAGGTTCCATGCCCGGCCGAACGTCCGTGCAACCGAGGTCTCACGCCGTGCATGCCCAACTGGACAGATGCCGCTCCCACGGCTGCTCATCCCCTCTCCCCAGCTCCGTGCTCCCTCCGTCCCTCCACCAGTTGGCTCCCGACTGCGGCCACCGCCAGGCCAGGAATGCCAGACTTTCGCAATCCTCCCGTCGGTCGTTTGCTGAGGCTGTGCCCCTCCCTCCTCCGCTTTGCAACTGTGAGACGTGCGACCACCGATCCTGCCTTGAGACATTGCGCCATGCCGGCCACCAGTCCCTGGCAGTTGGGCGTGTGGCCCCCGCTTCGGAGCCAACGATTCTCCGGCTGCCACTCCCATGCCCGTGCAGCTGCGGATCGGAACGAGCTCTCCTCCTGCCCCTCACCTTCTCGGACCCAATATAAACCAAATCCAAGTCGTTTGACCTTCTACCCCTTACCAACCCATCCGCGTTCGAACGTTGCAGCTACTCCACCATCCTACCATCCTAACTTCCTCCCTTTCCATCTCTCTCCACTCGTGCACAATGAAGTTCCTTGCTGCTCTCACTGTCGCTCTTTCCGCCACCGCCGGCGTCCTCGCCCAGAACAACGGCGGCGAGAATGCCACCGCCTTCGCCGAGGGTCTGCTCAGCGCTCTGCGCGCCAACAACCTCTCTGCGCTCGCTGATGCCGTCGGCAACAACTCGCAGCAGCTCCTCGGCGCGCTCCAGGGCGGCAACAAGACCGTCCTCGCCCCTTCCAACCAGGCCTTCGCCAGCCTCGGCAACGACGTCTCCACCGAGGCTCTCGTCGCCACCATCGCCTACCACGGTAAGTCCCCGCTCGCCGGCGTACCCGACTCTTTTCCTGCCTCACGAAACAGTGACTGACCCGCCTCCCTGCTTTTGCTGATCGATAGTCCTGAACGGCTCCATCACCGACAGCCAGATCAGCGCTGGCAACAAGACCATCGCCGCGTCGGCGCTCAACATGGCACCCTACGTCAACCTGCCTCGCAACCGTAGCCAGGTCGTCGTGCTCTCCAAGCAGCAGGGCAACAACACCAACTACGTCCAGCTTGCCTCTGGCAACGTCTCGTTTGCGCTCACCATGGACGGTCCTCAGTACCAGAACATCCGCGTGCAGCCCATCGAGCAGGTGCTCACCATCCCCTCCAACACCTCGGGTGTTGCTGGTCAGCTTGGTGCCTCGTCGCTCGCCGAGGCTCTTCAGAGCGCCAACCTGGTCGAGGCGCTTGACCAGTCCATCGTGACCGTCTTCGCCCCCACCAATGCAGCGTTCCAGGAGGCCCAGTCGGCTCTGCAGGGTGCCACGACGGAGCAGACCGCGGCTGTTCTGCTCAACCACGTGGTCAACGGCACTGTGGTCTACTCGACCGCCCTCGGGAATACGCCCTCGGCCATCTCGGGCTCGGGCAACGAGCTCAAGTTCATGTCCAACTCGTCGGGCGCCTACGTCTCCTCGGGCAACATCACCGCCAAGATCGTCATGACCGACTACGCTGCTGCCAACGGTGTGGTGCACGTCATCGACCGCGTGCTCGCCAACACCACCCAGAACACCCAGGCTGCCGCCTCGGCCTACAGCTCCGCCACCGCCGCCGCTGCCACCCAGACCGCCGCTCCTGGTGTCGGCTCCAACGGCTCTGGCTMCGGCTCCGGCTCCGGTTCCGGCTCTGGTTCCGGCTCGGGCAACGGCGCCAACACGCTCAAGATGTCCACGGGCGCTGCCGCCGTCGCCGCCCTCCTCGGCTCCGGCTTCTGGCTCCTTGCCTAAGCTTCCCCCCTCTGGGTTTTTCTTTGATACCTATGCCATTTCCACCCATTCATCCTCCTTTATGCCTCTAACCTTGCCTTTCGAAATGCAAAGCCACGCGGTCTTCCGAGGGTTCTTTTCTGTTTGTCGTCCGTTCCATCCTGCCGGTGGAGCTTGTGTGTGTGCGTGAGGCAATCTTTGAAGACGTAGCGACGAAGGCGAGATGGCCGTCCCGAGCAACGTCACCAGAGATGTCCGCGGCGATGACTATTGATGATGTGATTCTTTTGACGGGCGACTGGATTTTATCTCCGAGCCACGCGTGCGCTTGCAGCTCCATTTCCACAGGAATTGCGGGGTATAAAGCGCCGTCCCTTCCCCCCATTCATCACGCACGCCCACTGCTACTGCAACAATGACCGCCGGATCCGACTCTAAGCTGCTGCTGTACACCGCCAAGGTGTGTCCCTACGCCGCGCGCGCCGAGCTGGCGCTCGAGCTCGCCGGGCTGGACTACGACGTGTTCGAGGTGGACCTGATGAACAAGCCCAGCTGGTACGCCGACAAGATCAACGCCGCCAGCAAAGGTGAGCTACAACCCCCCCTTGCCCCCGACTTCACCTCGACTCTGCCTCACTAATGTTTCTGTTCTGCTGGTGACTCAAGTTCCCGTACTGGTCTCCACGCGCGACAATGTCGAATTCAAACTCCCCGAATCGCTCGTGATCGTCGAGTACATCCACGATCTCTCGGGGCGCATCTTTGCCTCGGACGATGCGCAGCACCGCGCCGTGTCGCGCTACGTTGTGCAGCGGTACGAGCAGCTTGTGCAGCCGCACTACTACGCTGCCGCCATCAACTCGAAGCCCGAGTCGGTGGGCGCAATGCTCGAGGGCCTCAAGCAGTTCAGTGCGCTGCTCGGCTCGTTCGACCCGGCGACTCGCAGCGGCGCGTTCATCCAGGGCGAAACACGCTTCGCCTACGCCGACCTTGGCGTTGCACCGTTCGTGGCGCGCATTCTGTCGGTGAGCCGGGAGGGCTTGCTGCCCAAGACGGATGCACCGGCCGTGCACGAGGCCTTCGCGTCCGACCCGGCCCTCGCCAGGCTCAACGAGTGGTGGAGCGCAGTGCAGTCCGAAGCGGCGTGGAACAAGGTGTGGGACGAACCCAAGTACCTCGCCCCGTTCAAGCAACGTCTGGCCAGTCTGAACAAGTAGGCAATTCGCATTCGCATTCGCATTCGGATTTCGAGTAGCTCTCAGGCCTGAGCGACGATGATCTGCTTCTTGGTGCTAAGCTGCTCGACGAGGTGCTGCGACACATTGAGCTGCTTGGCCGCCACGCTGGGCGGCACGAGCGCGAGCCACTGGCTGAGCGAAAAGTCGTCGAACTTCACCTTGTCCCCAAAGTTGGGCGCACGGAAGATCTCGACAAACTCGAGCTCCTCATCCCCCACATTCTGGATGTAGTGTCCGTAGCTAGACCGTCAAAAGAGACAACTGGTCAGTCGATCTGATTCTGTATAGCGTGGGTAGAAGGGTTGGGGAGCTTACTTTGTGGGGAAGACCCAGGTGTCTCCCTGCTGAAGATCAAACGTCCTGGCGGTTGCACCGCCTGCAAACGCCGTGGCCCTCGCTTTGCCCTTGAGGATGTATCCCCACTCCGCGTTCTTGTGCCAGTGCAACTCCCTCAGTCCGCCCTTTTCGACATGCACGTATGCACTGGCGAGCGTCGGACTTGCTGCAAACGTCCTGTAGTCGGTCACCTTGACCCAGCCTCCCCCACCGGGGGCCTGCGTCTTGTTCTGCTGCGAGAGCCGATAGACATACGGCGAATCGACCTCTCCGGCAGGATTGGCTTCGACCTGCTTTCTCGCCTCTTCGATGGTCAGCCATGTTTCACCTTGAGCCGCAGGTACGATGTACGGATCGGCAGCAGGGACGCTGTTGAACGCCGAGCTGTTCCAGCCAAAGTTTTCGGCAAGCACGTCGCGCGGGGTGTGGGCGATCCAGTCGTCGACCGCAAACGTGGTGCCGCTGGCATCAAAGTCGCCATCGTCAAACACCAGCAGATACTGCGCTCCCTCCGGTCCGGCCTGGAGCGTGTGAGGTACGCCACGGGGGAAGCTCCACAGATCGCCCTTGTTGGCATCGGCTACGTAGTTGCGGTCGTCTTCGTCGTTGGCGGTGATGCGGACGGTGCCGTTGAGGACGAGCCCCCATTCGGCCACACGATGCCAGTGCAATTCACGATAAGCATACGGGGCCAGCCTCTGTTCTGCGGCCGCCACCTCCTTGGACGCAGGAAGATCGGTCACCACCTGTTCACGAACCCATCCTCCATTCAGCAATTTGGATTTGGACAGTGAAAACGCCCACTTGAGGTTGGGCACCGTGCCAGCGTCGGTGGGTGGCGGGCTGAGATAGTCGACGTTCTGCCGGTCGATGTCGGTGTTGCTGCCGTGCAGGAAGGATGCGCCCTTGCTGCCGCGGACGGGCTGCGGTGGCGACGATCCAAAGTCGGTGATCGCACCGCTGTCCGCAGCTGCCTGACGTTTGGCTAGCGGCGAGTAGTCCGGACGGACGTGTCGAGCGATACGGTTGTGCAGTGCGCTCTCCACCGCGTCGGCATAGGAGCCAGCGCGCGGGTCGAGAGCAGGTGCAACGGCAGAGCGCACATAGGGGGCTTGCTCAAGTGGCACCACGCGCGCCCATCCGCCCGCCACCACCGCCGCCACCACCATCCAAACGTGAAGCTTCATCTTGTCGATCTTGGCTGTTGGGACAATCTTCTGCACGGATCTGCCTCCTTTATATCCTTTACGGGCCATTTGCACGCATGGAAGCGTGTCCTTCGTGCGCGCGTTGCCCCATCGTGAGCATCACAACATGGCGTCGAGGGTCACACCATGATCTCTGCTTCAGGCTAGTGAACGAGGCTAGCGTGGATGTCGCCATTGGTGCTGGCAAGCGTGAAAGCGCACAAGGGCCAGTCGAATGCTCATCTGCGGCGGCAGCGCTCCAAAGGCCGCCGGAAACGGCCGTATGCGGCTATCTACTTGGACGCTAGGATCCAACACCACCTTACGCGAGCTTTCTCACCACCACCTTAGGCGAGACGGCATGGCGAGCGTGCTTGCGCAATTCGACGTGACGATGGCGAGCCGCCCCGGCTTCGATGTAGATTTCTTTGTAAGATGTTAGGTTTGTATAGCTGGTGGGGCGTGGCAGGATCTACTCGTTCTTAAAGCCGTTGAGGAGGTCGTCATTCCAAGTGACAAAGGCGCCCTGCGCACCGAGGCCCTTTCCGTCCTTGTCCTTGGGCTGGTCCCTTGTACCCCTGGTGGCGAGCGCTGCGATCGAGTAGGCGGGCTGTTCGGGCTTGAGCAACTTGCCCTCCTTGTGGAGCGTCAAGAACCGCTCGACTTCTTCCTGCTTCATGGCCTTGCCGCCATCGCCACGCAGGAGGGTCTGCATGTCTGTATCCACCACACCGGGGCGCAGTGCAAATGCCGCCACATTGTCCTCTTCGTTGGCGAGGGTTCTGGCGATCGCATTCATCGCCGCCTTGGAGGCGTTGTACGCTCCCCAGCCCGCAATGTTGCCCGTAGCAGCGCCGGACGAGACGAAGACGACGCTGGCGCGGCTCGACTTGCGCAATTCGGGCAGCGCAGCACCGAGCGTGGTGACGAGTGCGACCGTGTTGACGTTGAGGATATGCGCGAGGCTCTTTGGCTCGAGCGAGTCGATTCGCTGCGTCGCCACGATGCCTGCATTGAGCACCACGGCATCGAGCGCACCAAACATGTCCACTGCCGCGCGCACCGCTTTAGCGTTGACGCCCTCGTCGGTAACGTCGCCTTGGATACAGACGAGGTCCGAGGAGTGCGACGACCGGAGCGCCTCGAGCTCGGTGGGAAGCGTGCGCGAGATGGTCACCACGCGACTGGCGGGGATGGGCGCTTGAGTCGAGGTAGAGCCGGAGAGCAGCAGCTGCAGGATAGCCAGTCCCAGCCCGCGCGATGCGCCCGTCAAGAGAACCACCGGTTTGTCGCTCATGTTTTGGTACTCTACAGCAAGACAGCAGGTTGTGGTGGTACGGAGCCAAGACGAGCCCCGTGCACGGCGCACATTTTGTGGAGCGCCAAAAAGTGGAGGCCCACTCCCCGATCGTGGCCCGATCACATCCCCAGCTCTCACTTCACACTCGTGGTTGGGGGCCGCTGTTGCACAAGAGGTTGGCATTCATCATGGCCGCGGGGAGCGAGACCGACGACGCTCGCGGTGTGCATCTCGGTCTCGGTCTCGGTCCCGATGGCGTAAAGTCGAGCTGTGGCTGCGCGAGGTGTGTTGGTCAAGCACGCTCTTGCGTTTGGTCGCCTCGGCGTACCTGTTGACCGGCTGTTCTTCATCCGAGTCGGTGCGGTCGCGTCGATGCGAGCGGTCGGATGTGGAACGTGGATGGCGTGAGTCGCGTGTTCTATCGGACTTGTCATCGCGATGACTGCCGTGCCTTCGTTGCTCCCTCTCTGCTCGAATCCGCGCGCGCTCCTGCTTGCGTCTCGCCTTGTCCTCCTTCCCCCTTGCGCGCGCCGCATCATCACCATCGTCGTTGGACTTGCGCTTTTGGTCGCTCCTGGCACGCTGAAAGTACGCGGCCATGGGATCCTCGAGGTCGTGCTCATCTGCAGAGTCGTCTTGTTCGGCGAGCACATGCGAGGGTGCGGCATTCAAGCTCTTGTGATCGGGCTCGACGAGCTGACCATCGGCATCGCGCATCTTGGGCTGCTTGTAGCTCGCCACATGGTCTACACGCAGCGTCCGTCCGAGCACCTGTGCGCCGTTGAGGTTGTCGACCGCCAGCACGGTGGAGCGCTGATCCTCGTACATGAGAAAGCCGAAGCCGCGGTGCTTTCCCTTGCCCGGCCTCGGCTGTGCTGCATCGCGCGATGTGGAAGCTGAGCCCGACTGCTGCTTGTCTTCGGAGTTGCTGGACTGCTGCGTGGGGCGCGGGAGGTTGACATCGACCACCTCGCCGTACTGCGAAAAGATGGCGATCACATCGCCCTCGGTGAGGTCGTAGGGTAGGCCGCCGATGAAGATGTACGCCGAATCGCGGTACTGCTCGTGCCAGGACGCGGAGGGGTTCTTGATGGCGATGTCGAGCTCGGCAGCGTTGATGCGGCTGATCTCGCGCACCACGTTCATGGCGGCCCAGGATGGCGGGGGAGAGGATGGTGGTGGTGGGCGGAAAGGAAAACGTCGAGAAATGCTTCCCGAAAAATAGCACCAAAAAAGTGGAGAAAATCGAGCCAAAATTGCGAATATTTAATCAATTTAATTCGGCTGCGACCCCTGAGAAAAGCGCCGTTGCGGTCGAGCCACACGCAGCCCTCAACGTCGAGAGTGGAGATAGGCAGAGAGAGAGGAAGAGAGAGAGAGCGCGATCATCTCCACCTGCTCATCCCATCACCACCACCACCGCCTCCACCACATCACCACCACAACCATGCCGTCCGATCTCGCCTACTGGATCATCTCGGTGCCACTCGAGGATGGAGACCCGCACCGCATGTTCTCCGAGCTAGGCGCCAAGCTGCTCTCGGACGGTGGGGCGGCGAGCACCGACTTTGGCCAGCTCAGCTTCCCGCCGCTCAAGACGGGCACGCTCGAGTCGCTCATCTCGCTCAGCGAGGACCTGCCCAAGCTCGATACCCAGTATACCCAGGTGGTCGCCAAGATCATCGACACGCTGCGTGCGCTCCTCAACAACGACGAGGCGGCGCTGGCACAGCATGTGCTCGTCAACGAGCAGAGCCTCGACGACTACATGCTCAGCTGGGCGTGGAATACGGGCAAGTACCGTGCCGACCGCTCCTTACGCGACACGGTCGAGTCGCTCGGCAAGGAGCTCTCGAGCATCGACAACGTCATGAAGCAGAAGCTCGCCAACTACAACGTCGCCAAGGGCCAGCTGCAGCAGCTGCAGCGAAAGAAGCAGGGCAACCTCTCGGTGCGCTCGCTCGCCGACGTCGTGCACAAGGAGGATTTCGTGGATACCAACTCGGAGTATCTCGAGACGCTGCTGGTGGCGGTGCCCAAGAACAACACCAAGGACTGGCAGGCGCGCTACGAACGCCTCACCGCCATGGTGGTGCCACGCTCGTCGAACAAGCTGGCGGCGGACGAAGAGTACGCGCTGTTCAACGTGACTGTATTCAAGAAGGTGCGCGACGAATTCGTGCAAAAGTGTCGCGAGGCCAAGTTTACGGTGCGCACCGACTTTGCGTGGGATGACGCGCTGGTGGAGCGACAGAGGCACGAGCTCGACGCGGCGGGCGAGAGCGAAAAGGAGCTGTGGACCGAACTGCTGCGTCTGGCACGAACCAACTTTAGCGAGGCGTACCAGGCGCTGGCGCACCTCAAGGTGGTGCGAACGTACGTCGAGAGCGTGCTGCGCTTTGGCCTGCCTGCCGACTACTTTGCAGTGACGGTGCGTCCGAATCCGAAGCGCACAAAGGCGTTGCTGGCTACGCTCGTCTCGCACTATGCCTATCTGGACGGCGCCAAACGCAGCAAGAAGAGCAACGACGCCGCTTCAGGCGAGGCGCCGGGAGAGTATGCTCAGCTGCTCGACGAGGAACAGTTCCCCTTTGTGCTCACAGAACAGTACATGGTGCCCGTCTAAGAATCCCCACTTTGCATACACACACACACACACACACACACACACACACGCACGCACTTTGGTCGCACTTTTGGTTGAATCTGATCCTTGTTATTTGCCGCTTTGTGTCCTGCGGGGTTGATGCTTTTCATTGGAGGAGTGCAAGCTGGGCCTGCTTGTCGGCGTCGGCGAGGTTGGAGCTCTGCACCTGGTTGCGCTTAAGCTCGAGGATGTGGTTGTTGACAAAGTACCCCTTGAGCGTCTTTGGCTCGATTGAATGGGCGCCGTCGATCTGGCCGAGACAGCGGCTGCCCGAGTTGCAGGCACACTCGAACGGCTGCGACATGTGCCACTCGGTGCTCGGGTAGAAGAAGGTGAGGATGTCACCCTTCTTGATGTCCTTTTCGGCCCTTGCGTACCAGCTTGCCTTGTCCTTGGCATCGCCGATCACAAACGCCACGTTGGGGTCGCACGAGTGGTTGCAGTAGAGCAGATCCGAGTTGAGCTCAATGTGCGTATCCTCCCCCGTTTGGACGGTCGAGTAGCTCTTCTTGGCTGCAAAGTCGGCGTGCGGGCTGAACGAGCTGATCTTGTCGCCGCGCGCAAAGTTTTGGAGCGAGATGAGGTGCGAGTTGTACGAGCCGTTGTTGAACACCACCTGCACCAGCGAAGCGTGCGTGGGCTTGTGCAGGCGCGACGCCAGCATGCCATCACCCGCAGTCAGGTGGCCCTGGTACGCATCGCCAACGGAAGCAGTTGCAGTCATCGTCGTGAAGCGGAAGGTTTTCGAAAAGATGAGAGTGTGGATGGAAGCAAGACAGAGAGCCAGAACAATGAAGAAGAATGCTAGAAGTCAAAGCCGCAACCAATGGCGGTTGAAAGCGGCGGGGCTGTGTCGATCCCCCGGCCGTCCTTCCCGGTTCTTCTTCCCCCCTCTCCACCTGTCTCTGCCATCCAATGCGCCGATCCCATCCGGCGCTCCGATGTGGCATTCAGCCCGCCGTGTTTACGCGGGGCTAACACGGGCAACGCGCACGGACGGCACTAGATTAGATAGAATGCATGATCGCACACGCGGGCCAAACATCGCACCCGCTGGCACAGCACGACATCACCGCACCAGCCGCGCCGGGGCTCTGCCGTGCTGAAGCGAGCTTCGGGCTCATGCATCTGGCTTCCACCGCTTTCTGCCTCGCACGAGGGCGCCTTGTTGAGGGGCCAACCGGTAGGACCGGCTCGCCTTGTCCCCGCGCGCGGCCCGTTCTTCCAATCGCACGAGAGGGCGCATTTCGTCAAATGTGTGTGAGAACGGTCTCACACTCGCTCCGATTTTTAACGACGCCTCCACACTTTTGCAAAGCGGAGCTCGTCTTGCATCGAAACCACCATCTGGCAAGACTGGCAACACTAGCAACACTGGCAATGACGTCGTCACAGCCCAGCACGGGTGATTCTGCTACCGCGGCTGGAGTCGAGGCGCCGGCGGTGAACCTCGAACGCAAAGCTCGCAAAGAAGCTCAGAAGGTACTCAAGGCGCAGCAGGCGGCTGAAAAGAAGGCGGCCAAGCAGGCGCAGCCCGTTCCTTCCTCGTCCAAACCCAAGCAGGATGGACGACGCCCGCAGTCTAGCAGTGAACAGCTCTCGCGTGCGCTGGCATACATTCTTCGGCACGGAGCGGACAAGGAAGGACTTTCGATGCGGCCGGATGGGTATATTGCGCTCGACGATGTGCTGGATCGACCGCGCGTCAAGAGCGTCAACATGGCCGAGTCAGCCGGTGCAAAACGTCGACCGGCACTGGAGGACATTCAGCGGATCGTGAATACCAACGACAAGAAGCGATTCGAGCTGGTGTTGGACGAGACTTGGCTCGTACGCGCTGTGCAGGGTCACTCGTTGAGCCAAGTGGTCGAGCTCTCACACACGCCACTTACACTCACCAACCTGCACCTGCTCAAGCTCCAAGACGATGACGACGATGCCGATGATCTTGCCGACGAGCTCGACTCCCAACTCGGCCTACAGGAAGCAAAGGTGGAGGTGGTGCATGGCACATTCACCGATGCCTGGGAGAAGATCCTCGCCAGTGGCGGGCTGAAGCGCATGTCGCGCAACCACATCCATCTCGCCAAGGGCAAGTTCGGCCAAAAGGGCGTCGTGTCCGGCATGCGCAAGTCCGCCAACCGGCTCATCTTTGTCGATGTGCGCCGCGCCATCGCCGACGGCTTCGAGTTTGCGCTTTCTTCGAATGGCGTCGTGCTCACACCGGGCAAGGGGGACGAGGGTGTGTTGCCCGTAAAGTACTTCACAAGGGTCGAGGATGCAAAGGGTAACATCGTGTGGACGCCACCGCCGCCGTCGTCACTGCCGTAGCGAGCCATGGTCAATCTTAGATTCATGTTGTACCTCAAGTCGTGTGTGCGAAGAAGCGGACAATGTGATATTCAGGGTCCAGTTGCAAGACGCCTTTTTTTTTTTGGTCGGTGCAATTTTTTCGAGACTTTTTTTGATTGAGCTGCTGCTGCTGCTGCGCCGCCTCCACCTTTTTGCCAACTGCCAAGGGCCATCGTCGACGCTTCCACCCACCACCTCTCCATCTTGGCCATGTCGGAACCTTCGACGCCTCGGCGTGCTGCACCTGGCAGCTCTCGGAGCACCACCACACCTGCCACGCCGTCTACACCGGGCACGCCTGGCGCTGCGTTCATCGCCGACGACATGGACGATCCCACCTCCACTCCCTCGCGCGCTCCCACGTCGGGCGGGGGCGCTGGCGACGACTCGGACAACGAAGACGAGGTTCCCGACTACCTCCGCCTTCTTTCCTCACTGCAGCCACGCTCCAAGTCCTCTTCTGGAATTGTCATCCCCAAACGCGGCGAGAAGGACTTCGAACCTACGGGCTTCGGTGGCCAGTCCAAGCTGCTCGAGCGCAGTCGGCAAGCCATGTACCAGGCGGTCTCTGGCTCGCGCACGGTGGGATCGCGGTCGCTCGTTCGTGCCACCTGGAATCCACACACCCGCCGTGCGCGCATCCACGACGTGCAGGGCAAGATCTTCGAGACGGTGGGCGTGATCCGTCGCACGCCCACCACCGACTCGACGGGCAAGACCGTCACGCAGGTGACCAACGAGCTGCTGCCGGAAGAGGCGCTGTTTCTGGCCGAGCGCGGCAGCCTACAGATCTACACGCAAACAGAGGACCCGGATGCACTCGCACCCATGTCGCTGCAGCAGGCATTTGCAGCGCTGATGCTCGCGTCGGACGAGGCTGCCGACGAGCCATTGACGCGCGAGGCGTATCTGATCTACGCCCATCTCAAGCGGCTCGGGTACGTGGTGCAGCGCGCGAGCATCGTGGATGCCGTACGTGCCGCTCCGATCCCGCCGAGCAAGGCACGTGCGCAGGGGATCGTTGCGGATCCACAACGTCCCATCAAGCTCGTTACGCTGTGGGATGTGTTGCTGTACGTGCCGCGGCGCATTGCGCAGCTGGGCGCCGATGCGGCACGTGCCGTCGCGCGATGGATGCAGCATGCATGGCGCAACACCATCGGCCGAGTTCTAGCCTTGATCGCGGCGCGGTTTGCACGCATCGCAACCCGTGGCTCACGCAAGCCAGGTGCGGTGGGGCTGTCACTCGGCCTTGGCGGCTACGACGACGTACGCCGCTTCCTACCGCACACAGCTTTGTGGACCAGCTACGACGACGTGTTTACCTCGATGCAAATGGTACCCTCGGGTCACGACTTTACGCTCCCTCTCACACCGAACCCCACTGCCGCTTCGGAAGAGGCGGGGATGAAGCCGTTCTACTATGCGTGGCGGCCCGCTACGGTGTATCGCAAGTCGCACCCGCCGGCGCCCGAGTTCCGGATCGTGATTCTCAACGCGCGCACCACGCCGCTTCCGAGCGTATGGCAGTTCGGCGAGGTATTTGCACACATCCCCATGCCCGGCTCGGACGCGGAGCTGATCGCATCTGTGCCCTCGCAAGACGCAATGAGTGCAGACGAGCTGAAGAAGCGGGTGGAGTACGAGAAGCAGCTCAAGGCGGCGAACGACGCCAAGAACCGCGCCGCGTATGGCAAGTTCAGCGACGGCAAGCAGAAGCATCTGCGCGAGAAAGCCGCTGCGCGTCAAGCCGCCGCCGCTGACCGGGCCGCTTCCAACGCCGCCACCAAAGGCCGCCTCGCCATGATGCTGCACAGGCTCACCCGCACCGCCGCAGCAAGGTGGCTGTGGAAGCTGCTGAGGCTCGATTACGAGGTGCTGCGCATGTGGGCGAGACTGTTTAGGCACTGTCCTCCGGGATGCTGGAGCGACAAGGCGCGGTATCAGGCACGACGAACACTGCAGCGCAACAATGCAGCGGGCAACGTTTTTCCCCCACTCAAGGCGGGCAGAAGGTCGGTGGTGCTCGCCATCGTCGATGGAAGCATCACCACGCTGCTGCGTTTCGGCGAGTCCGAGTTTGCGCAGTGGAGGCTCTTTGGCGAGGCTGCACCGGCCATCACGCATCTTGCCTAGCATGCGCGCACACACACACACGAATACCCACATGAAACCATTCCATTGCATTTCGACACGTCTCGCGAGGAAGACAGCTGAGGGGAGAGTAGCCTACTTCTTGGAAAAGAGATAGTGGCCTACGCCCCACTCGTTCCCGCCGTTGGTGGCAAAGAACTCGGCACAGGCGAGGTAGAAGATCCGGAACCTGTAGAAGGTCTTTTCGCCCTCGATGGCGTTGCTCCCCTTCTTGGCTGCATCCTGACGGAGCAGTTTGATCGAATCGTGTTTGCGCTGGTTTCGATCCTGCGTCTTGAGCCAGTCCTCGCACGTCCTCGCATAGTGGTTGCCATTGACCCACCAATTCTGCTCCAGCGTGACGTGCTGCTGAAAGTGGGCAAACAGGTCGAACGACGGCATGGTGCCACCGCTGAAGAAATTCTGCGCCATCCATCCATCGTCCTCCTCAAAGTGGTACGGCGTGGTGCGGTGGCAAAAGATGTGGATGAAGAGGCGCGATTCGGCATCCTTCAACCACGAGCCGACCTTCTTGAAGAGGTGGGCGTAGTTCTTCATGTGTTCAAACATCTCGATGCTCAAAATCCTATCGAAGCTGCCCTCGTCGAATTCGAACGTCTTGACATCTCCAGTGACCACTTGGAGGTTCTTGAATCCGCGCTGGGCGGCGATCGAGTCGATGTACACCTTCTGCGTGCGCGAGTTGCTGAGCGCCCTGATGCGCGAGTTCGGATACCTCTCTGCCAGATACAACGACAACGAACCCCATCCACATCCCAGATCCAGCACATCCTGTCCATCCTTCAGGTCGGCTTTGGTGCAGTACGAGTTGAGCATGGCCTCTTCCGCCTGGTCGAGCGTCTCTTTGCCCGTTTCGTACAGGCAGCACGAGTACTTTGCGCGCTTGCCCAGGCAGGAGAGCATGAATCCCGTGTCCACCTCGTAGTGCTGCGTGTTGGCCTTATCCTGCTCGATCGCGATTTCGCGCGTGTGCAGCGATCGGATGTATTCCGATTTCGTCGCAACGTGCAGTCCAAAGTCGTCCTCGGGCTTGGCGAGAGAGCGGATGCGCTGCGCGTTGAGCAGCCGGATCGCCCGACGCAGCACCACGTCCGGCACGTATCCGCGGTCGAGCAGTTCGTACACCTGGTTCATCTTGCTTTACTCTGGCGTGGAGGAAGAAAAGGGTTGGGGATGGTCGTGGGAAAGATAAGTGTGACCCAAAGGTAAGCAGGGATTCAGGAGGGGCGAGGATGAGCTCAGACTCGGCACGCCTCCGACCATGCACGGATGCGCGGCGGCGGCTTCCGCGGATCGGAACCTGCACCGACTCGCATCGCTGCTTTCACACACAGCCGAGATGCCGCCCAACTCCACATGCACGCCTTCACCTCCGCCCCGTCTTCCGGAATCCTCTTTTTGGATTCCCATCCATCGATAAAGCAGCGCCTTAACACGTTGCAAACGCGCTTTGGCGGCCAGATGCACACAGGCGATGCAAGTGCTTTCCGCCCGGGCAGTCAGCATGCAGAGTTGTAAATAATTTATTAATAAAGGCTCGGCAAAAACAAGGCGGCCATTCCGTGCCAAGCTCGACAGGCCGGATCCAACGACGACCACCACCACCACTGCGCACCACTGCGACTGCATCTGCCACCGACCTCGGACGGCTGCCGATGGTGCATCATCGCTCGTGCTGACCGGCGTGGAGAGAGAGCGACGATGACCAACACCACCACCGAGTCCGCGTCCGCGTCCGCTTCGGCGCATCCGTCGCCATCCTCGACGGCTGACGCTCCTGCTGCATCTGCTGCTGCACCCCACATCGCAGTGAGCGACGCCAACCAGGCCGAAAAGCAACACCACGCCGACGCGATCAACGACAATGCCCACAACGCAAAACGCAGTACCCTCGCACGACACTGGAAGCCGTTCGCGCGTCGCGTCGGCCTCGATCCGTTGCCATCGTATGTGGCCTGGGTGGCGCCATGCTTGACGTGGCCCAAACTCAAGCCCGTCATCCGCTCGGCGCTGTTGGCGTGGATATGCCTGCTGATCTTCCTCATCTCGCCGTCGGAGCGCGCGCTCGGGAGTGCGTCGTTCCTCGTGCTCGTCGCGTGCGCCATCCAGCCCGCCGAGGTGCCGCTGGCGGCGGTGGTGGAACGCGAGTTCTTCACGCTCCTCTTCGTATGCATCGCCTGGGCGTGGTCGAACATCGGGATCGCCATCGCCCACGCCGCACGCACCACCCAGCTGCCGCCGACGCAGACGAGCATCCAGCGCGTGCTGGCGGGCGACTACATCGAGGCACGCTCGAGCATCGTCTGCGCCGTCTTCCTCTCCATCGGCTCCGCCGTCGTGCTCTACATCAAGGTCCGCTTCGGCCCCAGCCCTTTCCTCTTTGCCACGGTGCTCAGCTGCATCCTCATGAACATCTGCTTGACCTACGCACCGCTCTATCCGTACGCCTTCTACTCGCTCGGCCAGGCCGTCGTCGTGCCGCTCGCCGTCAAGGCCGCGGTGAACATCGTCCTTTCGGTCATCTTCTTCCCCAAGTCCGTCAACTCGCAGTTCGTAGAGCGGCTCATCGCCGTACTCGACCCCATCGCCGCCGCGTGTGGCGACCAGGTCAAGCTGCTCCAAACCTCGCCGCTCGACACGGCTGCGCCTGCGGACAAGGATCCGAAGGAAGGCTTCGATTTCGACTTGGTCGCCCGCAAGCTCGCCGCGGCAGAGGGTGGGCTCATGCCGCTGTCGCTGTCGTCGCGGCTGCTGACGCGCGAGGTGTCGTTCGGACTCGCGAATGGCGACGACCTGCGCGAGTTTGAGCGACTAACGCGCTCCCTTGTGGCTCCTGCCGACGGATGGGCGTACTACTACTCGTCGATCAAGGCGGACATCCAGTCGGCGCACTTTCCCAAGACACCCGTGCCCTCGCGGCTCGCAACGCCTGCCATCACGCCCGCCATCACGCCACGCACCTCGCTCGACCACGCGCGCAACACGTCCGACTCGGGCCACCATGCCACGGCGCATCATGTGCAGCTCCATCCTCCGTCGCGCCCGCACTCGCCCGGTCCCGCACCGGCGCAGCACCACCCCGACACGCCGCATGTGCTGCTGCCCGCTTCGGCCTCGGGCACCTCGACGCCGCACCGCGAGTCGCCGCTGCACGCACAGCTGTTCCCGCACGACTCGACCGCCGACTCGGCCAGCGCCAGCGCCACCGCGTTCCGCCAGCTCGACGAGCATCCGTCCGTGCAGCCGGGCAACGAGCTGAGCTCGTCGCGCTTCCGCAAGATGGCGCGCTCCATCGCCTCGGCCTCGCGCAGCTCCTCGCCGCGCCGCTGGATCCACCACGGCCACCACAGCTCCGCCGACGCGCGCGATCACTCCACCCCGCACCATCACGCGTGGGAGCGCTCCAGCCACATGCTGCACAACTTTGTGCACAGACGAGACCCGGCGCCCGTCGCCATCTGGGAGTCCATCCGCTTTGGCAATCTCGAGACGTACCTGCACACGGCGGCGGCGAATCACGTCACCGAGATGTTTGCGCGCCTGATCCGCGAGACGTCGAGCGAGCTGCTCGCCACGGATGCTGCTGCGATTCGGCACATCATCGCGTGGTTGGCGCACCTCAATTCGCACCGCTACGCCTTTTTGCGCGATCGGCTCATGCTATCCGCCTCTCAGCGTGCCGAGAAGGGACGGCAGCAGGCCGAAGCCACACGCACGGTGATCGCTTCCGTCGAGAGCGCACTGTCGGACTTCCGCACCTCGAAGCGGCTCGCGGTGCTCGAGCCGTACAAAGCCGCCTTGCGGGCGCACGATGCGTCGGGGGGCAACGACGATCTTGCTGCCGAGCTGGACCTGCGCACGGGACCGGGCGAGATCGGCAAGATCCACCACCGCTACCTCTACCAGGCGTGGCTGCACCAATTCCACACGATCAACTTCACCGAGCGTTTGCTCACGCTGCTGCGCGACGTGGAGCACGTGCAGTCCGAGCGAACGGCGGCGCGCGTGTGGTTCCCGCACTGGCCGCGCATCTTTTCCGCCGACGTGTGGCGCAATGCGTCGGGGGATGCGCACGACGACGACGAGCCGAGTACCGACCCGGAGCATATTCCGGACATCAGCTCCGATACGCCGCTCGCCTCGCGCCAGCGCAGCCGCAGCACCAACACCGCCGTCGACGGGCACGTCCCTCCCAAGACCGCACACGCGCACGCCCACGCGCACTTTGGCGGCACCGAAACAGACACTGCCACCGCCGCCGAGCCGATTGTCGATCTGGGCTCGACGCGGCGTCGCGACCCGGACGCACTCGACCCAGAGGGGCTGCTCCAGGTGGTGGGTCACACGATCTACACCTGGATTCGGCGTCCCTTCCGCGGCAACGCGCTGTTCGGCATCAAGGCGGCGGTGCTGATCGCGCTCGTCTCGCTGCCGGCGTACATCAAGTCGTCGGCGCCGTGGTGCTACTCGAACCGCGCGATCTGGGCCATCTTCATGGCGCAGTTGACGCTCGCGCGCTTTCGCGGCGAGACGGCGTTTGCGCTGCTCTCGCGCATCCTCGCCACCGTCATTGGTGCCGTATGGGCGCTCGTCATCTGGTACATCTCCACGGGCTCTGGTCGCGGTAATGCGTACGGGTTGGGCGCCACGTGCGCGGTGGCGTTTCCGCTGCTGTTCCTGTACAGGATCTACTATCCCGGTCCGCCCATTACGCCGATTATCGCGAGCGTTACCACGGTGCTCATTGTGGGGTACAGCTGGAAGGACGTGACGAATCCGACGCCGGGGTCGCCCGGGTATGGGTGGAGCACGGCGTGGCGCAGGTTGGTGGCGGTGATCGTGGGTGTGTCGGCGGCGTACATTTTCAGCTACCTGCCGCCTTCGTCGACGCTGCGCGAGTACCAACGCCTCTCGCATGCCGCTACGATCGCCGAGCTCGGCAAGATCTACTGTGCCGTCGTCGGCATTGCCAGTCACGGCCACCACGACCACCCCTCTCGCAAGATCGAGGGCGGGTCGCTGGCCGAGGTGGAGGCGTCGGAGCTGGTGCGCAAACGCATCATCGGTGTGCGCGCCAAGCTGCGCCGGCTGTCGATGATCTCGGTCAACGTCTCGTACGAATTCTCGCTCCGCGGACGATGGCCTTCGTCGCGATATGCAGCGCTCTTCTCGGTGCAGATGGAGATCTCTAAACTGCTCTCGCACTGCATCGCCGTTCTGGAGCGTCTCGGCCCGGCGTACTCGATCGCACTACTGCGCCGGACTCGGTTTCTCGATCCTCGCTTCCTCGGCGACGTGTTGAGCGTGATCAGCATGTGCTCGACCGCACTCAAGACCGCCGAGCCGTTACCGCAAGTGACACCGTGCCCGCTCGTGGACCGGTTCATGGACACCCCGCACGGCTTCAACGCCTACCTCCCCGACGACCCGCACACCACCGCCGATCCGCTGCTCGCCGAACTGCCAACCAAGATCACGCTGCAGACGCTCGAGGACGCCGAGTACATGACCTTCGCCGTCGGGGTGGCGACGCTGTTCGGATTGGTGGTGCGAATCGACCGCCTGTGCGTGGCGGTCAAACAGCTGGTGGGCGAGAGCTACGCGGTGCCCGTCGATGTCCATCGCATGCTCAGCACGCGCAAGACCCAGTAATCCCCCGCTTTGGAATCAAGCAAATGCTTTAATACGTTTGAGGGATTGCATTGCGCCGCTGCTAGTCGAGAACCATATCGTGTGCACCTGCTGGCGTGAGACGCTGCCGCTTGTTGCATTCCCACGCCTCGTCACTTCTCTGTACCGCAGACGAAGCGCAATCGTCAGTTGCGACCGTCACTGCCTTGATTCCGAGAGTGACAAGCGGCAAGACTTACTGACAATGTTCTTTAGCCACTTGGGTAGAGGTTTCTGCTTCTCCTCTGGTGCCGACGCTGGTGCTGTGGGAGGTTGCACGTTGGTGGCCGGAAGATCTTGCGCCTGCGAGCTGAGATCTTGCCGAATCGGCGCCGGGTACGCATTGGCTGCCTCGCCCAAAATCGCACCATCAGTTGTCTTTCCTCCATATCGCTCGCGGGTGGCGGCTTGGACTTACAATTCATCTGGGGATCGTCCCATCGTAAGCTAACAACCGCGCTCGGGATCAACCCCAGCTGCCTAAGCGTCTTGGCATTCACCTTTGCATCCGTTCTCCTATACTCGACCTTCGGCGGGGCGGTATAAATCACCACCCCCTTTCCCTTCACCGTTGGATCGAGCACCGACTCCAAAAACTCGTACACCTTGTTGATCGTATCCGCCTCACTGAAGGACCCCTCGACCATGGTGCGGTCCGAAAACCGGATGCGGATCTTGACGTGGTCCCAATGTCGATTCTTTGACGAGTTGAGGCCGAGCCTCTGTTCCTCCTTCTCGCGCAGGGCGCGCGTGAGCAGCGGCGCATCTGGACCGTGCCGCCCGAGCAGTGTAGATTTGAATGCCGCCTTGAGCTCCTCGGGCGTGGGCTTGAGGTCGTCATCGGCCGGGGGCGGCAGAGTTGGTGACGAGGAGGATGGCGCACGGTAGACTCGAACCGCTTCGGAGGCAGACGGGGTGGAGCCCGATGCTTGCGGGTGTGGTGAAGACATGGTTGCATGCAGAGGTGATGAGCGCGATGATGGGAGAGAGAGTGGGCTGGTGGTTGGCGGTGTTGCACTTTCAAGAGGTGGAGCAACTCAGCCCAAAGTGCAACCCGCACTTCCGACGCGTCAGCCCGGCCCCAACCCAACCCAACCGAACCCAACGCTTTCGAGGGTGGAGCGACACTTTTGCATTGTTAGACCGAGTAAAAGTTGGGATTTGGAAAAAAAGGGTCCGAGCGGCCGAGGATCTTCTCGACGCGATGGATTTGGATAGCCGACGACTGAGCCCGTTGTGACTCGAGCCTCTCTTCTTCCATCTCCCCCTCCCTCACCTCGCTAGAGAATAGAACCAAGACCCGGATCGACACGATGAGCGCACGCAAGCATACTCTGGACGGATACGCGCTCGTGCCCGCCAACGAGGCGCAGGATCTGATCGCCACGCAGCGCGAGTGGGTGGAGTGGGGCCATCCTCTGCTTACGCAGCACCAATTCATCACGCGCGAAAAGGACGTGCTGGGCACCTCGGACTTTTCGGTCACACGTCGACGACGCTGGGTCCTCGTTCCGGCCGACGACACGCACACGCTCGACTTTCTCGCCGGCTGCGAGACCTACCGCCGTCCGATCCTGGTGCGCCGAGGCGCCGGCGAGGTGCAGCGCGCTCTGGCCTACTCGGTCTGCTCGGTATTCGTACCCGAGGACAAACGCCGCCACGGCTACGCAGCCAAGATGATGACGCTGCTGCAGCACCACCTCAACCCAGCAGGGTGTGTGCCTCCACCCCTCGACCAGGCAAGCATCCAAGACAGCGGCTCCGTAGTCGTGCCGCTGGACGACCCCTCTTTGGAGCTGAGTGACGACGGCGCGTACGGAGGCAATGCAACCTGCTCGTTCCTGTACAGCGACATTGGCGAGTACTACTCCAAGTTCGCCTGGACCGTCGTAGGCAATCGCCACGTCCAATGGAAACCCTCCACTTCCAGCGCCGACCTACCGGCGGATGCACGCTGGCTTACAGCCGACGAGCTCAACACCATCGGCCGTATCGACCGCTCCCACCTCCTTTCCACCCTCCAGACCTCTTCGTCCCCTGCACTTCGATTCTGCCTCGACGATCCCGAGGCCACGTCGTGGCGGTGGCTTATCCGCCGCACCAATTTCTACGCCACCACGCTGCTGCCCTCCTCCGCACCAAAGCCGTCTTACTTTGGCCTACTGCTCCCGGGCTCATCGCAGACAGACGCCTCGTACGCCGTATGGATGTTCGACTTTATCGAGCGCAAGGTGGCCATCCTCCGACTGCGCTTCACCTCCGCCTCGACATTCAAGATGCTGGTGGGTGCAGTGCGCGCGCAGGCCGCCGAATTCGGCATGCAAAAGTGTCTCGCCTGGAACGTCGATCTTGCCAGCCTCGGCGTCGAACTTAGCCAAGAGGACGAGCAGAGGCTCAAGCAGGGCGAGGCGGTGGATAGGCACCAACACGCGCTGGCCCAAGGCGAGCTGGTCGAGAGACACGGCAAGAGCGCCAGCCTGCCCGCACTCGCGTGGTACGCAGACATGGCCGAGGGCGAACAGGTAGAGTGGGTGTGCAACGAGTACGGCTGGTGGTGCTAGACTGGCGCTAGACTGCAATCTATCGATCCATCGTACAGTGTGCTGTGCTGTGCTGCGCTGAATGGACCCTGCAGGGATCGAGGGGATGAAGGGATCAAGGGCGCGTGATTTTCCGATTGGACGCGTTTTTGGTGTTGATGTGTTGGTCTGGTGCGCATTTGGCTTTGCTTGACTTCACTCCACCACCTCCATCCCCGCTGCCACCGCAAAACCATGTCGAACCAAACAGCGGCGGCGACTCCAACGTCGCCCAGTCGCAAACAACAACAACAACAACAACAGCAACAGCCAGGCTCGACTCGCGGAGGTCTAGCAGCCATCGCAGGCATTGCTTCACCCAAGTTCTCCTTCCGATCCGCACTGGTGCAGCACAAATCCAAGCTCACCAAGGCCGGTCCCGCCACAACGCACGATGCGGAGGCCAAACCTGCGCGCGGTGTCGCGAGCAGCATCCCTTCGCTCAGTCGAGGTCGGTTCAACTCCACCGATGCTCCGTCCACATCCACGCTGCCCAGACCCAAACCGGCAGCCACTAGCCCGGCCGCATGCAGACCCGCGTCGTCGCTCGGAAAGCGCGGCGTCGACGATTCCAGCTCCATCACCGACTTTGGCGTTTACAAAGCCTCCACCACTAGCACACGCCTCGCATCCACCAAATCCAACACCCCCTCCGACTCGGCTGCAAAGACCGCCAAGCTCCGTGGTCCGCCCTCGGCTCGAACCCAGTGGGCACCTCCAGCACCCAAGACACTGCCCTCGCCGTCTTCGTCCAAGGCTCCACGCAAGATCGCTCGTGCCGACGGCATTGCTGAAGTGCACGCAGGCACTCATGCCGCGGGCGCCATCCCACGCAGTCGCACCATGAGTGCGGCGTCTCGCACCATCGCCGCGCCGCAATCGCAGTCGCAGCTACACCGGCCGAAGATCGGAACGCTGCCCAAGCCCAAAGCCAAGCCAGCACCCGTGCGGACGATTCTGGACGAGCGCTACGAAAGCTCTGCATCCGACACGGACGAAGACGCACAAAGCGACTGGGATCAGCTCGACGGTCCCGATGTCTCGAGGATCCGCACCAAGCGCAGCATGCAGCCTCGCCTCTCGGATGGCGCCAGTGGGTCCATCTCCACCACTCGGACTCAGACGCTCGGCGGATCGCGTATCCCCAGCATCGGTTCATCAAATCGCACGCTCCCTCGTCCACACAGGCGCTCCTCGAGCAACAGTCTGCTCGGCAAGACCCCCACCGACGAGAAGGAAAACGCCTCAATCCCGGCGCCATCCCATTCGAAACGTCATAGCATCAGCACGTCCATCGAGGCTGCGCCCGCTCGCGCTCGTACCAGTCTGCCACTCTCTCCGGCGGACAACACGCCGAGCCCGTCCAAATCGGCGTCGCTCTCGGCACTCCGGTCGCGCGGACTCCAGCCAGGGCCCGTGCAATCCCTCCGACCCGCGCCTCGGCACGACCTCGGCATCAAGAACTCCATCATCCAGGCCAACCCCGTCCATCCGTCCATCGCGGCTCTTCACGCCCAGACGGCGCCGCATCAGCCCATCAGCACACCCGAGGCGCTCGTCAAGGCCAAGAAACGCCTCAGCGGCGCGCTTTTCTCGTCGTCCTCGTCGTCGTTGACGCTCAACACCATCGCGTCTACCTCGCCATCCGAACGCGCGGGCATGGCACATTCACCCTCGCTCTCCAAGCTCCCCCAGGCGCACAAGAAGCCGGTCAAAGCGCAGACCGTGTCGGCGGCAGTGGTGACGCCGTCGCGCTCGAAGCAAAGTGGCATGCCGCGCTCGGCGTCTCGCTCGCCCATCAAGTCGTCGCTGCTCCTCTTTCCCTCTGTCCCCGAGCCCGACGCTGGGCCGAGCAGCGACGAGCACTGCACAACATCACCGAGCAAGCAAGTCGTCACGGACAACGCGACGAGCGAGATCGACGCGCACCTGCTGGCGAGCTTGCGCGTCGTGGCGCACAAGGCGAATCTGCAGCTGAGCGATCTGCTCGATGCCGACTCGCAGAGGTACACGCGCGAGGCGTCCGAGGAGCTCGAGGCGCTGGCGGGCGATGTGTCGGTGGACCTCATGGCGCTGGATCTGGCCGCCTCGCCCTCGTCCGATGCTTCGATGCTGCGCTCGCCTCTCATCGCCCACACGCCACCGGCAGTACCGGCACAGCCGCAGCCCGACATTCCGACTCCCTCGTGGGAACCCGCACCCGCGGTGGACGCGGCTCCGGAACTCGAAGGTGAGGAGACAGACACGTCGCTCGCCTCGCCGTCGGTGCGAGCTGCAGCGCGTCTTCCACTTTCAACCCCCGGCGCTGGCGACTGCGTTCCTGAAACGCCCGTGCGGCCACGCTTGCTTTCCGCTTCAAACGCCTCTCCACCGCTTGCATCGCCGAGCAAGGCCTGTCCGCCGTCGGCGTCCATGTCGGCGCGCTCGCGCACGCGCCTCAAAAAAGCGCTGCGCGAGTCGCTTGGGCTGGAAGCCCACTATGCCGCGCTTAATCTCGCTGCCCCCTCAACCGCGGCGCCGCTTCATCCAAGCGCCTCGCGCAACGCCGAACGGGTTGCCGGACGCAGCAACCAAGGCGTTGGTGCGCTGCTCACCGACTCGGACCTGGACGACATTGTGAGTGCGGTGGCACGCATCGATCTGCACCACGCTCAAGCCGACACACATGAAGTGCGCCCTGCAGTCGAAGTGGGGGAGATGGGGGAGGTGGCGGAGCTGCGTGCGGCCCAGACCGCCTTAACAACACAGCTAGCCCTCGCCGAGTCGCGCGAGTCGTCGCTGGCGGTGCAACTGGCTGAGCAGGCGATGGCAGCGACACGCATGCTGCGCGAGCACGAGCGGCTGCAATCCGAGCTTGCCGCTCTCCGCGCCAGGGCTGCAGGGATGGAGTGGGCGCAAGCCCAGACTGCCTGGTCGCGCGCGCGCGTCGAAGCACTCACCGAGCTGCAAGACGCCAAAGTAGAAGCCGACACCATCATGCTCCTCCAGGCGCATCTCGGCATTTGCCACCTTCTCGCCACCTAGTCCCAGCTCCCAACGATAGCCGCAGGTGCGGCCAGGTTTTGCAAATGAAGTCCAGTTGCATCAGGCACGACCGAGGCGTTGGCAAACCCACCGCCGTGCTGCGCGGGGGGGCGTGTGAACAAGGTGAGATCAAGTTTGTCGTGCACTTCCGACGAACGCCTTCATCAACCCACATGGTCTTTTTCCCCTCCCCCCTTCTGCCTCTCGACACGGCTGTTGCTTTTTTTGCTTCGTCTATAAAGAGCCCCACTGTTTGCCAGACGTACACACGTTTGCTTGTGCATCTATTCTCTGTGAGAATCCCTTCGTATCGCTCTGGTAGCGATCTCTCCTTTTGCCTCATACACTCTCTTTTTACATTCGCTCTTTTCTCCGCCTTTCTCCCTGCTTTCATCATGCGAGCTGGACTAGGGTACGGGCTTGTGCTCGGGCTTCTGGCATGCGTCTCGAGCGTCTTTGCACTGGAGACCGTCACGCTCGACCTGACCAAGACGCATCCAGTGGATATCGACACTCTGCTTCCGCGATACTACAAACCTGCCACCGACGAAATCTGCTTCAACAACGGTCTGCGATCCTCGTTCTGCCACGTTGACGATGGCACCCTCGTCAACCTCACCTCTACCCAGCGACACCATCTCCGCAAGACCCTTCGCCACCACGGCATTGCCTCGGCCGTCAACACCATGCGATCCTATGCCCGACTTGCATCCGGTGATCTCAAAGCCCCCGTATCGACGGACGAAATCGTCTGCTTCAGTGCCTACCTCAACAGCCGCGCCTTTAGCACCAATGCCACCAACACCGTGTTGAACGAGCTCTATGTGCGACACATTGTAGTCTCGCACAACGCGCACGCGTGGAAGATCATCTCGCCCACCGGATGTTCTGAAGACGTCCAACGTCCGGTCGGTGCGCCTCTCGAACAGCGCCCCATGCACGGTGCGTTTGGAGACATGACGGTCTGGCATCCCGTGATGCAGAACCACAACAGCGATCCCTGGGCCGCTTTCAGGGCTGGTACGGACGGAATCGTGAAGCGCTCGCTAAGCGGTGCGCATCTCAAGCATAGACACGCGCGTCGTGGGAATAAGGATAAGCCGCAAGGATATGGTGCGCCGCCTGGATTCCCTGGGTTCCCTGGATTCCCTGGCTTTCCGCAGCAGGGTGTGCCGGGTATGCCTGGGTTCCCGTCCCAGGGTGCTCCGAGTGCCCCTGGTGCCCCGCCTCAAGGTGCCCCTGGTGTTCCGGGTGCTCCGGGTGCTCCGGGTGCTCAGGGCGCCAAGGGCGGCAAGGGTGACAAGGGCGCTCAAGGTGTTCAAGGCGCTCAGGGTGCAGGAGCTGACGCTGCTTCTGGTTCTGGATCTGGCACTGGTGCTAGTGGTGACGTTAATGCCGTTGCTGGATCCGACGCTGGAGCTGACGTCGACACTGGCGCTGGAATCCGCGCTGGAGCCGGAGCGAGCGCCACCTCTGCGCAGGCACGCAGCGCCAGCTCATCCGCGATCACCTCCAAGCCGCACGGCTTTGCCTCCTCGGTCACCGGCGGCGGAAACGCCACCCCGATCATCCCGAAAGACATCCACGAGCTCGAGCGTCTTCTGGCCGACGCCCAACCGCGCGTGATCCACCTGGACAAGACCTACGACTACCGGGGCAGTATGGGCGTCTGCACCAACTGCAAAGGCTGCATCCCGGACTCGTACCCCAAGTGCCCGAGCAAAGGCCAGCTCGCCATCGACAACGGCCAAGGTTGGTGTGCAGGCAAACCGCCTCACGCCGTGACCTACGACAAGGCCGGTCTCAACCCGCTCAAGGTCGGCAGCAACAAGTCGATTGTGGGCTTGTCTGCCAATGCGGGCATTCGTGGTCGAGGGTTGCTGGTGGCGCACGCGAAGAACATCATCATCCACAACATCCGCATCGACCAGATCAACGCCCAGTTCATCTGGGGCGGCGACGCCATCGACCTCCGCGATACCGACTTGATATGGATCGACAAGGTCACCTTCTCCCTCGTCGGGCGACAATTCATCGTCACCGACTACGTGGGAGCTGGCCGCGTAACCATCTCCAACTGTCTCTTCGACGGTCAGACCAAGTGGTCTGCCACGTGCGATGATTCGCACTACTGGACCGTTCTCGGGTACGGCAAAACAGACAAGGTGACCTTCTCCGGCAACATGATGCACCACTGTTCTGGCCGATCTCCCCGCCTTGCCAACCCCGAAGACAAAGCGGGCGACTCGGTGTGGCACGTAGTCAACAACCTCTTCGACTACAACACCGGCCACTCGTTCGACATTGGTCCTGGAGTATCGGTGCTGATCGAAGGCAACGTGTTCAACGACGTTGCGCAGACGAGCCTGCACGAGAGCAACCCGGGCCGCGCATTTGCGCCGAGTGACACCTCGATCGGCGCACAGTGCGATCGTGTGCTCGGACGCAACTGCCAGCCCAACGCATACACCAACGCCAAGCCCATCCCTAGCACCACGGGGCTCGGTGAGGTGCTCAAGGACATTGCGCTCGAAACCCTCACTGCCGCCATGCCTCCGGGTGACGTGCTGACGCTCGTGCAGAAGAACGCCGGAAGCGGGAATGGCAGCGCAGCCAATCTGGCCAGTAGGTCCAACGATGCTGTTGGTGCGGCGTCGAACGACGAAGGTTCAAAGCCGGAGGGCTACGGCGATGCCCCAGCCCAGCCTGACTCCCAGCAAGCCAACGCCGGCACCCCCGCCAACGCGGCCGATCCTAACGCTGCAAAGGCCAAGTCCCAGCAAGACAAGAACAAGCAGGACAAGAAGAAGAAGGATGCCGACAAGAAGAAGCACGACCAGCAGGCCAAGCAGCAGGCCGAACAGCAGAAGAAGCAGCAGCAGCAGCAGCAGAAGAAGAAGCAGCAGGAGCAGCAGAAGAAAGCCGCAGAGGCTGCTGCTCGTAAGCAAGCCCAGGGCCAACCGCAAGGCTACTAGAGCACCGTTCGACTGTATTCTCCGCACCTCACTGTCTTCTTTCCCTCTTCGTGTGCAATTGTCATTCATTTCGCATCGCTTCTGCCGCCCTAGGCCAGCTTCTCGTGATCAAAGATGGCGATCCTTGGTCTGAAGCCGGTGTGCTTTGAGATGAGGCCTCTGTTCATCGTTGCCGCGGCCAGGGGGAAGTACGCATTCCCGTCACTGTCGAGGACAATCGCCCCACCGACGCCCTTTGGCTTTCCGTACAGCCGCACCATCTCGGCCATGGCCGCATTGATCGCGCGTTCGATGGGGACGTTGGCGAAACGGATGCGGTCGGCGATGGACGAGGCAAAGCACGTGCGCAGGAAAAAGTCGCCATCGCCCGTGCCCGAGATCACCACGCCTTGCTCCTTCCCCACGTTCCCCGCTGGTGGCGCTTTGAGCAGCAGACGCTGTACGACTCGCACCAGCCAAGATCGTTTGTGTCGATGCACCGCTGTGCTGGTCCACGAATCAGCCAGAAACCCAGACCCGACCGAGGGAGTGTCGCCAATTCGGCCGGGGAACTTGTTCGTCTTGCCGCCCGTCGACGTGGCGACGGACAGATGACCCTCAGAGTCGAGCGCTACGGCACCCACCGTTCCTTGCGGCAAAAAGTCGCTCAGATCAGCATACCTATCGAAAACCGCCTGATCCTCGTGCTCCTCCATCTTCTCCGCCGCACCTTCCCCATAAGCTGGCAGATCCTCGTCGCCAACCGCATCGAAACACAACTCTTCCTTACCATCGCCCTGCTGGATCTCGCCAAGTCCGCGCTTGTGCTCGTTCCACCTGCGCTTGGTCCAGTAGTACCTCTTGCCCACCTGCTTGGTTCCATACTTCCACCCGGCCTGCTCGGCCGCCCTCCCCGAATAGAAAGCATGTCCTCCCAGCTCTTTGTTCTTTTCCATCAAGACCCTCGCTAGCTTGATCGGATTCTTGGTGCGCTCCACTCCCGTGACCGCAACCGTGTTCGAATTGAGGTGCGGCTGCGTCGTCATAAGCGAGCACTCGCACACCGTGTTGCCAGCCAGGTCAAACACGGCGCCCTTGCCCGCATTGAAGAGCGGCGAGTCCTCGAGCTGCGATACAGCATGGCAGACTGCATCGAGCGACGAAGCGTGCTCCGCTGCATACGTGGTGGTGAGGATGCTGCGCAGCCGGTTTCGATACGCCTCGAGCAGGTCAGCTGGCATGTCTGGGGTCGTGGTTCCGCCAGCACCGCCGTGAATGACGAGCGCCACAATGTGTGCGTGCTGCCCTTTCTCCATGTCATTCGTTGCAGGCATATCGTACGCAGTTGCGAGATGGCTGTCGGGAGCCAAGGCGCTGAGCAGGACAGGTGGACGAGCAAGACCCTGGCCCAAGCGAGCAATGCGGAGAGCATGCATCCGTGCCTCCACCGATTCATGCTCGCTAAGAAGCTCCGCTAAACTAGCCGAAGAGCCCGAGACACCTCATGCGATGTCACTTGCCGCCGGTCTCACACGATTCACCTTTGGTCGTTGCTCACGATCCTGCTTTGAACCTCTTCTTTCGATCAAAGCGTCAGCGATCGGCTACGACCTAGAGGAAAGTGTAGAGCAAAGTCGTACCGCACGACAATGCGGAAGCGAGCACAGCCAGCGGTACCTGATCGGAGCGCCAAAGAGGATTTTTTTTATCAGATTGGCCAAACGAATCAGATAACGCAAACTTTCGATGCGCCTGCTGCATGTGCCAAGACAACTCGACTCGCTCCACCACCAGAAACCGCCTTTCGAGCCACCCAATCACGAAGCTGCCTCGTTCGTGAGCTCGAGCCGAAGCAAAACAGCAGCCGAGGTTCGACTCAAGAGCCAACGAGCGTGTAGGGCAGCCGCACACCGTTCGGACAGTCACGGGTCATCGTTCTTATTGTCAGACGTCATGGTTGCCCACCTGCCCTGGCAACGCATTGCGAGGCGCTTTCAGACGATTCCGGGTGCGTGTAGAGTTGCGAATGAGAGGGCAGTGTCCATGGCCGGCCTAGAACGACGAAGAAGAATTTGTTAGACCCCTGCGATTGCCGTGTGGGAAAATGCGCTGCGTTAGCGCGCGCCCTCGACCCAAACCCTCTGACCCACGAGCCGGCACTAGTAGCATCCGCCGAGGCGGCTGCGAGGAGCCCAATGATGAGGAATGCCAACCCTGGACCCTAAGAAGCAGTGGCAGTGGCAATCGCTCTGAGCCGTGTGGCATGCCGAGAAAGAGCGCCACTGCGGTGGCCAGAACTGCTTCGGAGCAAGCACCTCCATTGGCGGCGCGCGGCTGAGCGGTGCTTCCAAGACCTGCGCATGCAGAGTGGCGAAAGCGCTCCGTCAACAAAGGTGTTGTTGGCTGCCAGCTGCGCCTCGAACTCGCTGCGCTTAGATGACGCTCTGACTGCGCTTTGCGAGAGCTGGACCCTTGGCACATATGCGAGCGAGGCCCAAACGAGCTCGAATGACGCTCGGCACGACGCACCTTTGTCGCCGCCCTGGATCCATGCTTGCTGAGCCCGGCTTCGACAGATGGATCGTAAAGTATATATCTGCTGATGCTACAGCATGTCAAGATCGTGCGCTCCTCATCTCTTCCGCCCCGTTTCGATTCCCTCGACAGTAGCAAAGCAACAATGCCACTTGGCTCTGCATCGAGACGGCCGTGCCTGCGCGTCCAGTGCCTCTTCCGACCAGGCTCCAACAGCATCCGACTGCCGTCATGCCGCAGCTTCTACTCTGACCTGTACGAGAATGAGGGCCACCTCTTTGACCGGAACCGCGACGAAAATCGATCCAGCACATCAGTCACCTCGCCTTCACCGTTTCAGAACCAGCATTCGCGCTTCAGCACCAGCCAGCGATCCGCTTACGAGGTGGAACGTCAGATGCACAGGGTGAGTTCGGCCTCGGCCCGAGTCTCCATTTCGCACTAGCTCTGTCGGAACGTGCTCAGAGCAGGAGAGCAGAAGCGTGGCGATGCGGTTCGGAGCGACTCGCGATTGGCGCCATGCTGGCGGCCGTCCGTAAGTCGGTTGGCTGACAGGTCGCGTCGGTTGCGGGCGCCGATCGGTGACGTGACTTTACGCTCCGAGCCGCCTCGCCCAGGGTTCAGCCAGATTCAAACAAAAAACAAAAACTAAAAACTAAAAAAGAAAAAGAAAAGGCAAAGGCAAAAGCGGTCGGAAGAGCCGCCGCGATTTGATCCGAGGCTAACCCAACCCCTCGCGTCTCGCCGCGCCTGAGTCACACACGCAAAGCTTCGGAGGCAGGACGATAGCGATTCACAGTCGAGTTGGAGGAGGTGTGATTTTATCGAAAGCCCCGCGCGGATCTTCCGGCTGCCATTTGCCTGCTTTGACCGGCTCGTCCGTCCCACACGCATCGTTCCCACTCACCATCGTCAGCCAAATTGCTCGCGCTCTCCTTGCCAGCAGTCAGCATCCCTGCCTCTGCATTCGCTAGCCTCGGCGCGTGTTCATGGCTAACGAGGTGTCGGCACCAGTTGCTTTCGGCGGGTGTCCGAGTTGACCTGCTGCGTTGATCTTCTCACGCCACCACGACATTGCTGACTCCCGCATTCGGCTCCTTCCACCATGTCCAAACGCATGCAGAACCTCATCATGGAGATCCTCCAGGCGCAGCCGTCGCTTCGAGACTCCAAAACCTACCTCAACAGCTTTGCCCCGCGAAAGGCTCCTCCACGCAAACCACCAGCGCCTCTCCAGCCCGGCTCATCCGATCCTACTAGCAGCAGCACCAGCACTACACCATCACATTCGCAATCATCCGAACATCACCCGGAGTTTCCCCTTCCACCCAATGTCGTGCATCCCGGCAGCCTTCACAACCCCTCGACCACCACCTGGGATCCGAAGCACAGCATCTCGCTCGAGACCGACCCGCATGCCATCCCATCGGCTTCATCCGATTCCAAATTGCCCAAGTCCATCCGCGATCTCTTGCAGCAAGGCAAAATGCATGTCAACGTCGACCATGCCGATGCCCCCACCACCTCTGCTGCGCCCCAACACGTCACCACGCAGGAAAGCTCCACCGTCGCCATCCCCCAGGTCACGCCCGTCTCGGACGCACTCGCAGACTCGCATACCGCACTCGTCAAGGTTCAGGGCCCCTTCACCGATCGTCAGCTCGACTCGATCGCAGAGGGCCTCATCTACCTCAAGCGTCTCGGCCTCGTCAGCGTCGTCGTCGTCGACCAGGACGACTGGCCCGAGATCTCGGCCGACATCGACCGCAACGGCCAGCTCGTAGCAGGCTCGGACGAAGTCGAGGAGCAGCGCATGGGCGATTGGCTCGCTGCCCACCCCGCACCCGCCTCCGCCAACCAGAAGGGCAAGCAAAAGGCCAGGGAACCGTGCCGATCCAGCATGCTCGGCCGAAAGCAGGAGCGTCTGCGCAAGAGGATCATGGCCGAAACGTTGCGCCTCGCCGACAGCCTCAACCGCAAAGGTGCCATGGCTCGTCCCTTCCCGCAGGCCATCGTCCGCGTCGACGCCCGCGCCGCTGCTGCCGTCGAGGCCGAGGTGCGTTCCTTTCAGCACAGCCAGCCAACCGGCGCTGCCGCACCTGGCGAAGCTGTGGTCGCCGGCTCCTCCTCCACCTCGCCCACCGTGCACTACGGCAGCGCGGGCGAACAGCGTCTGCGCCCACCGCTCGTCTCCGATGACAGCCTCACCTCGATCCGATCCGCGCTCGCCTCGGATCAGATCCCCGTGCTAGCGCCTTACGCTCTCTTTGAGAACGAGATCGACGGCACGCTCGAGACGCTCTGCGTACGTGCCGACGATGTCATGGTCGCCTTGGCTAGGGACATGGTGGTCGCCGCCAACAACTCGGCCAACAGTCGCATCGATAACGCCGCCCCTTCCGCCGCTTCGTCTTCTACCGGCGCCGACCCTCTGTCCGAACTCGCGGGCGGCGAGGTCGACATGATGCCCTTGCGCCTCATGGTCATCAATCGCGAGGGTGGCATCCCCTCGCACGCACGTGGCGGCGATCCTCACCTCTCCATCAACCTCGCATCCGAGTACCACCAGATCAAGCATTCTTTCGTCTGGGACGAGACGCATCCCACCGCACTGCGCAACCTGGACGCCATCTCGGACTGCCTCTCGTACATGCCGCAAACTTCGTCCGGAGTGCTCGTCACGCACCGCTCGCCGCGATCGCTCATCGCCAACCTCATCACCAACAAGGCAGCCCACAGCCCGTCGTTGCCGCATCGGCTGCTGGCCAACAAGAAGGACGTGCGCCATACGCCCACCATCGTGCGACCCGGTCTGCCCATCAAGGTGATTCAGGAGTTTGACAAGGTGGATCAGGACAAGATGACGGCGCTGCTCGAGGCGTCCTTCCGGCGCAAGCTCAACCGCGAAGCCTACTACGAGCGGCTTCGCAAGCAGCTCGACTTTGTCATTGTAACGGGCGACTACCAGGGCGCGGCGATCGTCACCAAGGAGTACGCGCCGGACGACGACCGCGATGCGGTGGAGCCGATTGCGTATCTGGACAAGTTTGCCGTGCTTCCGTCGTTGCAGGGCTCGGGCACGGTGGATTTCCTGTGGGGCGCGTTGCGCGACGAGGTGCAGGGTGTGGGTCTGCTGGATGCGCTCAACGACAACGGCGGCCGCGGTGGCTACGGCACGGGTCGCGACCTCGTGTGGAAGTCGCGCGCCAACAATCCGGTCAACCGGTGGTACTATGAGCGCTCCAACGGATTCGTGCGCATCGACACCGACGCCAACGGCACCGGCTGGCAGCTCTTCTGGTGCGATGCCGAAGACAAGCTCGCGCGTCTGTCCGGCGAGCGTCGTCTGTCGGCCTCGGCTTCGAACCTCGAGGAGGCCGCTGCGATCGCGCACGACAATGTCAACCTGCGCCACTCGCTCGACGACGATGCGCCCGCCTATGGACGCGGTCCGTTTGGCTACGGCGGCATCGAGGCGTACGAACGCAGCCGCCGACTTTCGAAGCCGCAGTTCGACTCGCGCCTCCACCGCGGCAGCCTGAGCATGGAGAGCGGATCGGGCGGTCGCACCGACTTGACGCTGCTGCCCATCGTTGCGCCCGAGGAAGGCGGAAGGCTGCTGCGCTGGGCCAAGTGCATGAAGACGATCAAGGGCGTCTGGGCCGACTAGCACTGTACTCACCCACTCTTTTACTACTGCATGGTCTCTAGCATAAGCATAATCATTCGCATTGGAAGTATTCGCCGCAGCTGGGGCTATGTGCAGTGTCAGTGAATTGATGTCGAAGATGATGGGCTGAGAAGAACCTCCACTTGCGAGAGGGAGGGATGCAGGCTCGAGCGCGTTTTTGGCAGCGAGAAGAGAGAAGGGGAGGTGTTGGTCTCGGGCTCGAAACGCGCGTTGAAATTCCGCCTGAGCCGCGGCGCAGCATCCGAATGCGAATTGGCTGAGCCTTCCCAGACGCTGTCATCAAGCTCATCTCCTCTCTTCCTTCCCGCATCCCGCCGCTTCCATTGCAGTCCGCGGCTTGATCTCGGCCACCCTGCTTTTCAACGATGGTGCGGCTCACGCGCCGAACGGGCACGACGCCGTCGCAGTCTGCGCGTCACGAATCGCCTCCCATCCAACCCGATGGCGAGACGGACCAACTGGCCGACGAGATGAACCCCACACAACAGCAGCTGCCACCGTCGACGTTTGCAGCCAAGAGCGAGGCGGACCACATCAAGATCATGCTCGCTACGGACAACCACGTCGGCTACATGGAGCGCGACCCCGTGCGTGGGCAGGACTCGATCCGCACATTCGAGGAGATCCTCCAGCTCGCGGTGCAGCACGATGTGGACCTCATCCTGCTCGGAGGCGATCTGTTTCACGAGAACAAGCCGAGTCGATCGACGCTCCACCAGACAATGGCCCTGCTGCGACAGTATACGCTCGGAGACAAGCCGATTGCCGTGGAGCTGCTCAGCGACCCCAACGACGGCGCCATGCCCGGCAACCACTTTCCTGCCGTCAACTATGAAGATCCCAACCTCAACGTCAGCATTCCCGTCTTCTCCATCCACGGCAACCACGACGATCCGCAGGGTGTGGGCGAAGCCGGCGCGCTGTCGGCGCTCGATCTGCTCTCCGTCTCGGGTCTGATCAACTACTTTGGCCGAGTCGAGCTGCCCTCGGACGATGCCACCGCCGGCGCCTCCTCAGCCAAGACGGCTCGTGGAGGTGCGTTTCAGGAAAAGGGAATCCGCATCAAACCGGTGCTGCTGCAAAAGGGCGACACGAGGCTCGCGCTGTACGGCATGGGCAACATCAAGGACGAGCGCATGCACTTTGAGCTGCGCGCCAATCGCGTGCGCATGTATCGGCCGCAGGAGGATCCGGACTCGTGGTTCAACATCCTGTGCGTGCACCAGAACCGAGTGGCGCACAACCCCAAGGCCTGCGTGCCCGAAACCATGTTTGACGACTCGATCCACCTGGTGGTGTGGGGCCACGAGCACGAGCAGATGATCCAGCCGCAGCCGGTCACCGAGAAGCGCTACCACATCACCCAGCCGGGCAGCAGCGTCGCCACCAGCCTCAGCCAGGGAGAGACCGTCGAAAAGTGCGTCGCCATTATCCATGTCGAAAAGACCGACTTTCTCATCGAGCCCATCCCGCTCCAGACGGTGCGTCCGTTTGTGATGGACGACATGGTGCTGTCGGAAGAACTCGAAGAGGCCGGACTGTCTTCGGAACGCAGCGACATCATCAAGCTGCTGCGCAAGCGCGTCGGTGGTCTCATCGACCGTGCCAAGCGCGAGTTCAAGGAGCGCCACCCGCAGCGCGAGATGCCGCTGCCCCTGGTACGCCTGCGCGTCGAGTACACCAACCAGGAGATCAGCAACCCTCAGCGCTTTGGCCAGGAGTTTGCCGGCAAGGTGGCGAATCCCAAGGAAGTGCTGCAATTCACCAAGCGCAAGAGCCTCCGCAGCGGACGTCGGGGTGGCGACGGCGATGCGGCCAACGGCAAGAGCGCGTACGTGGATGTGGAAGAGGAGGGCCTGCTGGCGGTGGAGCGGCTGGAAAAGGTGGACGTGGGCAAGCTGGTGCAGGAGTATCTGCAAGCGCAGAACCTCGACATTCTCAATCCCGAGGGTCTGGAAGGAGCGGTGCTCAACTTTGTCGAGAAGGACGACCGCGAGGCGATCGACAGCTTTGTGACCAAGATGCTGCGCAATACCGTCAAGGGGCTAGTGACGATCGATCCGGAAGAGTCGCGCATCGATGGCGAGCTCGAGCGGCTGCGTCAACACCACCAGCAACAGCGTCAGCAGATGGAGGAAATGGACGTCGAAGACGACGCTCCCCGTACGAGGGGGGCCACACGCGGACACGAGTCGGACGATTCCATGATGGACGAGCTCGTCGAGCCGCCTGCCACTCGCACTCCTGCACGCGCCCGAGGCAGAGCTGCTCAACGCCGGGCAGAACAAGAGGACGAAGACGACTTTGACGAAGATCTCGACGACGATCGACCTGCCGGTGGTGCTCGAAGAACCGCCGGCTCCAGCAGGGGTGCCAAGCCATCTGCGCCCGCACGAGGGGCTCGTGCGACCACCTCTCGAACGACCTCTCGAACGCGCACGTCTGCTCCTGCGCCAACATTCCTCGGCCAAGAATCAGCATATGCAGACGAGCACGACGATTCGGACGTGGGGGTGGACGAATCGCGCTCCACACCGGCACCACCCGCTCGCGGCCATGCGAGCGTGCTCGAGATGCTCAACCAGCGATCCACCACCAGCTCGACGAGGACCAAAAAGCCAGCGCCCGCTGCCAAAGCGAGCCGGGCCAAGAAGCCAGCGGCGAGGCAGATGCAGGAGAGCATTCAGATCAGCGACGACGACGACGACGACGACGACGATGATTTTGTTCAGCGCCGTAATGCAGCGCCGGACGATGATGATGACGACGACTTTGTCGAGCCGGCATCGACTTCGAAGCGGACCGCAGCGAGGCCGACACGTCGAAGTGGCCGGTGAAATTGCAGCACTCTGAACATGCGACTGCAGCTAAGTTCCAGTACACGTTTGTGCTTGGAGGGCAGATTGAGAAGATCGGCATGTTGGCTTGGAGATGTGCAATTTGGGCACGCGTGGCACGCTGTCGGAGTTCCGAATGCAGGGCTGTGACGGATCGGATCGGTTCCACGTCGACCAAAACGCCATCCACTCGCAAATCCACTCAAAGCGCTCTTGCTGAAGGACGGCGTGATACTGGAAGGATCCTCTGTGACAAAGCGCATGCCCGGCCCATCTTTGACGCTGAAAGGATGGCGGATGGTTTCGGTGGTTGCAGGCTAAATTAGCGTGGCTCGGAGGAGGGCGGTGGTTGAAAGCGGCGGCGCATTTTCCGAGGCCTCAAATTGGACCCTGAGAGCACAGAGCTCAAAGGCACGGGAAGTGTCCGATGCACGTCTAGCCGACTCGCATCTGCCATAAAAGACACACACTCGCATCTGCCCGTTTCTTCCTTCCGCCTTTCGCACCTCTCACCATCACCACCACAACCACAGACAAGGATGAGCGCATACTCGGATCGCAAGCAACCACGCGTACTGTGTCTCTTCGACGTGGACGGCACCCTCTCGCTCGCACGCCAGACCATCACACCCGAATTCAAGGCCCTCCTCGCCCAACTCCGCCAGCACTGTGTCATTGGCGTCGTGGGTGGTAGCGACCTCAAAAAGGTGCGCGAACAGCTCCAGATCAGCGCAGCCGACTTTGTCACCGAGTTCGACTACGTCTTTGCCGAAAACGGCCTCACCGGCTTCCGCGATGGCCAGCCACTCGCATCGCAGAGCTTCATCGGTTGGCTCGGCGAGGAAAAGTACCAGAAGCTCGCCAAGTTCTGCCTCAAGTACATCGCCAACCTCGACCTGCCCATCATGCGCGGCACCTTCATCGAATTCAGGAACGGCATGATCAACGTCTCGCCCATCGGCAGGAACGCCAGCATCGAGGAGCGAATCGAGTTTGAAAAGTACGACAAGATCCACAACATCCGCAACACCTTTGTCGACGCCCTCAAGAACGAGTTTGGCGACTATGGGCTTACGTTTTCGATTGGCGGTCAGATCTCGTTTGACGTCTTTCCGCACGGTTGGGACAAGACGTATGCGCTGCGCAACGTGGCGATCGACCAGGGAAGCGCAGAGGCAAGCACCACGGCAAAGCAGTTGGGATGGGACGAGATCCACTTTTTCGGCGACAAGACCTACAAGGGCGGCAACGACAACGAGATCTTTGAGGACCCCAGGACCATCGGTCATACCGTCACGGATCCGCAGGACACCATGAAGCAGCTCCGACAGCTGTTTGGCTTGAAGTGACTCAGAGGCTCATTGTAGCCCGAAGAGGCAGGAGCAGTGGCAGCGGCAATGGCAGTAACGATAGCAACACGCGGCGGCCTGTCTGCCGAGTGGTTTGCAGATCTTGGTTGAATGCGTGTGAGGTGCAATGTGGCTCGGCAGCAACGAGCGATGGGCTATCAAGCGGATGCGCGAATTCCAGACATGTGTGTGGGAGAGGGCAGCACGTTTGGCATACGCTAGTCGAGGCGTAGTAGCAGATAGCAATCAGCGATGAGCTGTGTGTCGAGCGATGTGCAGATTTGAACGCGTGTGAGGAGAGGTCTCTCTGCAGCAACGAGCGATGGGCTGTCAAGCGATTAAGTGGGCTTCTCGGCATGTGTGTAGGATGTTGGTGGGTTTTCCGGCTCGCCCGGCCTAGTACCACGCGCGCCCTGGAGGCATTGCTGAACACCCACTCAGGGGCTACACACAGTCCGCACTCCATGTAGATAGCCCACTACCATATACTTTCGTTCTCGTTGAATACATTCGTTCGCCATGAATCGCTCCTGCCGTGCGTCGCTTGCTCCACCAGTGCCTTACCGCACCCCGCGCATCGCAAGCTCCAACATAGGAGAGCGAGCACTCGAGCAGCGCACGTATTCAGCACATTTGCCATACGCTAGTCGAGGCGTAGTAGCAGATAGCAATCAGCAACGGGCTTTTCCATCTGGCCAAATGTCGACCTTTCATGGCACGTGTGTGTGTGTGGGTGAGAGGGCAACACGCTGCTCAAGGTGCCTTTTGCAGATCGCACTCAGCAAAGCGTTTCCCTTCTAGCGCAAGGAGGATCGCCAAACTGCCAGTCAAGATGTTTGCACGCCACAGAGTAGCCTCCCCCCCCCCCCCCCCCCCCCAGGCCCCACCCCGCCACCAAAACACCCATAAACACTCTAGGCCGCGTTCATGCGCGCCGAAGCATGCCACTATGTTTACGCTGGCGCTTGTTCGTTTTCCGTCTTCTGCGACAAAAGCGATTCAGTACCTTAACGCTAAAGGTGTTTTTTTTTATATAGATAGTGCTGGCGTCCCTGTTTTGTATGGCATATTGGCGACGTGTGTACTTTCTCTGAACGTTTTTCCCCCCCCCAAGGGACCCCCCCCCCCCCCCCCCCCCCCGGGGGCCAACAATACAATCAGCACTTGTAGCTTGGCGATTCGACAGGCTCGACAGCGACGCATGCTCGATCTCGGGCACGTCGCTGTTGTCCAAATCCATGCCCAACGCCGTCGCCACCAATTGCCCCGTCCGTGACGGTCGGATCAAGCCGCGCGTTTCCTCATTGCCATATCCCGATAGCAAGAGATGCGCTTTTTCCACCTGGCGATTCGGCCATCTTGGCGTACGTGAGAGACCGAGCCACGTTTGCAATTCGCTTGCCACGGCGTCTGCAGCAATCACCGACAGGCTTTTGTTTAGCGACCCACCGATCTTTGTTGCATGAATATGAGCGAGAGAATGGCAGTACTTTGACCAAGGTGTCTGTAGCCAATCCGCATCAGCCACACGCCTTTGTTTCTCCATCTACCCCACCGCTTGTCTTGGTTGCGCGTCCTTTGCGCTGTCGCTCAACTTACGCGGGCCACTTTGCCAAAGACACGCTCAGACTTGGCTCGCATACGCCATCACCACATGGCTACTCGTGCCGAGTCTGTCCACAGGCAAAGGTAGAAGGCGGTCAAGCTGGACATTCCAGCGTGCCTCAGGCGATGCATCAATCTTGTTGGCATGTGAGGGAGACCGAGGCACGTGGGCAACGAGTCCAAAGTCGATGCCATCACGGCGACTTCCGGGTCTCGGTTGCGGAAGAGGCCGGACAAATTTCGTGCGTGTTAGAGTCGACCAGAGGGTCTGGATTTGTAACGGCTTTTTTTTCGCGCCGTGGGCCATTTCGTAAGGGCTCCGCGTCCCGAGACCCGCGCTTTGGGTTGGAACTTTTTGGTGCAGCCTCTGCCTCCAACCACTTACGACCCACCAACGATCAATCCCTCATCGACACAAACGCAAATGTGGCCATTCAGCTCGTCATCATCTCCAACATCAGCAGCGGCGGCGGGGTCGGCGGACAAGTGTCCCGTGGACGAAGAGACGCGCCAGGCATGGCTGCGTGCGAATCCGGGCAAAGCGCATCCCTTCCAGCCCGATTCTCCTGCTCCTACACAGCAACACCACTCGCAGCCAGGCCCATCACGGCCACGGTACAATGACGAGTCGCGCCTGTCCACGGACCGCGAAATCTCATCGATCCCACGCAGCTACTCGCGTCTGGCCAATCCTACCGCCGCGCAAGCCGCCCAGCCCCCCAGTACGGCTGACGAGGACACGGACGGCAAGTGGGTCTACCCCTCGGCGAAGCAGTTCTACAACGCGATGAAGCGCAAGAACCAGAACCCGCAAGTGGCGGACATGGACGTGGTAGTGCCCATCCATAATGCGGTCAACGAGCAGGCGTGGCGTCACATCCTCGCGTGGGAACGCATGTGGACCGCCGAGTCCGACACCAAGCTCATCTCGTTCAAGGGCAGACCGCGCGACCTCACATGGCGTGCATGGTTCAACACGCTTGCAGGCTACCAGCCGCCCTTCGACCGACACGACTGGACAATCGAACGCCCCAACGGCGAGCAGGTGCGCTACATTATCGACTTTTACACTGGCAGGTCGCAGCCCAACCCCACCGCAAATGCGGGCTCAAGTAATATCGCGGACAGCTTTGGTGCGGGTGCACAGTCCAAGGCAGGCCTGAGCTTTTATTTGGATGTAAGACCCGCGCCGTCGACGATCCAGGGCATGGCAATGCGTTCGAGGCGCGTGTACAATCGTTACTTTGGCGAGCCCGGTTCCGCGCCCTAGACAGCCCTACTTGACAATGGCAATCCTACTACCCTAGACCGAGCGAGACCGAGCGAACAGCTGAGCTGTGTTGGCGTTGAGTTAGGCCGGAGGGTTGTGCCTGCAGCGCAGTGTGGAGGCTAGAATGTTTTTTTCGGACGGTAGCCAAAGGTGATCGTTGCGGGCGCGTGACTTTAGAGAGCGTTCTTCGGATCGGGCAGCCCGTCGGGCGCGGCGCACTTTGGAAAGTCACAAATTCGGCCGGGGCGGCCTCGTGGCCATTCTTTGCTCGTCGTCACCATCACCATCACCATCGCCCTCTCTCTTGCCTCGGCAACTCGGCCATCTCCTTTTCTTCCGCGCCTCGCCTGCTACTACTCTGGCCAAGCGCACTACCTACTCTGTATCTTTATAGACCCGACTAGATCCCCTGTTTCGCCTTGTACCACCACCGCCAAGTCCCGCCCGCTCGCTCGAACAACATCGCCTACGCATCGTCACCGACCCAGCATCTCTATCGACACACCAACAAAAGCAGGCTTGTCTGGAATGCGCAGAACCTCATCCTCCTAATTTGCAGCACACACACGCACAGCCGCTGCGAATCCGCCATCGCCGCTTCCCATGGCCGGGCGACCAGGCACCGCCGGCAGCATGCATAACCGCATGCTTCACAGCCCTGGTCCCATGCATAACGGCATGTTCGACGCCACCAACTCCAACGCTGCCTCGAATGGCGCGCCTCCGGGCATGGGTGGCTCGCTCGCAGGCGTAGACCTCGGGCCCTCGATGCTCTCCGCCGCCGGACCCCCACCCAACGCCGGCCCCACCATGCCCGCAGGCACCGGTCCCGGAGGCACCCCCACCACCGCGCTCAGCGTCTACCACCTCATCACGCAGCTGTGCCAGCGACCCGAATCCAACGCCGCCGTGCGCAAGCAGGGTTCCGCATCGCCGCCCGCCAGCATGGCTCCCACCGACGCAGCTAAGAGTGCCAATGCTGCCGACCAGGACGGATCGACGTCGCCCACCGACGTCGACAGCCTCGCCGGTTCGTCGGCACAGCGCGAACATGCGCTGCTCGAGCTGAGCAAGAAGCGCGAGCAGTACGAGGACCTGGCGCTGGTGCTGTGGCACAGCTTTGGCGTCATGTCGTCGCTGCTGCAGGAGATCGTGTCGGTGTACCCGCTGCTCTCGCCGCCCGCACTCACGGCGCAGGCGAGCAATCGCGTGTGCAACGCGCTGGCGCTGCTCCAGTGCGTCGCCAGCCACAGCGAGACGCGCGCGCTCTTCCTGCAGGCGCACATCCCGCTGTTCCTCTACCCCTTCCTCAACACCACCTCCAAGACGCGCCCGTTCGAGTATCTGCGTCTCACCTCGCTCGGCGTCATCGGCGCGCTGGTCAAGCAGAACGACAACTCGGACGTCATCACCTTTCTGCTCTCCACCGAGATCATCCCGCTGTGCCTGCGCATCATGGAGACCGGGTCGGAACTGTCCAAGACGGTGGCGATCTTTATCGTGCAGAAGATCCTGCTGGACGATATGGGGTTGGCGTACATCTGCCAGACGTACGAGCGGTTTTATGCCGTGGGCACCGTGCTGAGCAACATGGTGTCGCAGATCGTCGAGAGCCAGGCGGTGCGTCTGCTCAAGCATGTGGTCAGGTGCTATCTAAGGCTGAGCGACAACCCGCGTGCGCGCGAGGCGCTGCGTGCTTGTTTGCCGGGTCCGCTTAGGGACGCGACGTTCAGCCAGCTGCTCAAGAACGACCACATCACAAAGCGGTGTCTCGCCACGCTGCTGCTCAACCTCTCGGACCGTGTCGAGCAGTAACACCCCCCAAAAACCCTCGGTCGTGCGTAGGTTAATGTCGATGCCATTTGTACGGTGTGCGAGGTTAGTAGATCTGTTCGAGTGTAGCCAAGGGTGTGCGAGAGGATGAAGGTCAGAAGCGTGAGTACAATGTGAATTTGGGCAAGGTTGGTGATTCTTACCTCGTCGAAAGGTCTTGTATCGCGGAAGCAGGAATCAAACACCTCGTCTACGGTCCTTTCCGCCTTTTCCTTATCGCCGTTGCAGGCCGGGTTGGCAAGGATGCTGATGACCGCTCTGCGCTTGACGCACTTCTGGTGTTGCAACTTGAATCCGTAATTCCTTCTCTGCCACTCCCTCGCCCACCCACAATCGCCGCTCAGACTCGCCGCTCTGATCTCGGAGCATGCATGGTGTCTGAGGTTGGACCAGTCGACGAGGAAGCGGCAGTGGTCGAACCAGTGCACCATCTCGTGTGCCAGCGTGTCTTCCAGATGCGCCTTGGACATGATCTGGTTCGAACACAGCAGGATCGACGACCCACTTGTTGGCTCTCCCGCTGCAGAGGGTGAAAATCCCCCCGCAATCGTCGGTGGACATGGAGCGATGACGAGCTTCGCCTCGGTGGGGGTGGTGCTCGATGAAGGTGTGGGTGTGCGCGGGGAGAGCGGATCGCAGTCGAGGAGCGAGAGATGCTTGGCCATGAAGCGGACCATGGGCGAGGTGCGGAAGAGCTCGTGCGTCCATTGCTCGCACCGCTCGCGTTCCACCGTTTCTTGCGGCGTTTCCAGCTCGCGTGGCACGTACGACGTCATCGTGTCACCAGTGCTAGCGGTTGGATTGTTGGCGATGCGCAAAGAGATGGTGTTGGTGGAGGTCGATTGCGAGCCAGAGGGTCTTCGCGAAAAGGATGGCCGGCGAACAAAAACGTTTTGTTAGATCCATCCCACTGGAGTGCTTTGTTAGATCGATAAAGAGGGCGTCAGCATCGGTTGTTGCGGTCGAGACAAGAGTGGCTCGTGAGCGCCTCACTGCCTCTTGCTCCACCACCACCTCCTCCATCTCAGGCCACACATCGAGAGAAACCGCGGCGAGGATGGGCTACCTGCCTTCGTTCGGCTCGATCGCGCGCGTCGTGGGCGGCGTGCTGGTGGTGAGCCTCATCTCCACCGCCGGCCTGCTGTACCGCTACCAGACCTCGCTCATCTACCCGTCCTCCTTCCCCTCGGGCTCCAAGGCCGAAGTGTCCACGCCGGACGAATACGACCTCCCCTACACCGAGGAAGAGCTCGTCACGCCCGATTCGCAGACCCTGCGCGTGTTCGTCATGCTTCAAGGCACCGTCCTCTCCAAGTCGAACGAAAAGACGCGGCAACGAAAATCCACCCCTACCCAGACCGGTATAGCTCCCCTCGAAGTGACAGACGCAGAGCTGGCGGGCAAGCGTCCTACGGTGCTGTTTCTGCACGCCAATGCCGGCAATATGGGTCACAGGCTTCCGCTCGCCGGCGTGTTCTTCAAGCGCTTCGGATGCAACGTGGTGATGCTCAGCTATCGCGGCTACGGCTTTTCCTCCGGCTCGCCCAACGAACGCGGCATCAAGATCGACACCCAAACCACGCTCGACTTTATCCGCTCGCACCCCTCCCTCTCCTCCACGCCGCTCGTCGCGTACGGGCAGAGCATCGGTGGTGCGGTTGCCATCGACCTTGCCGCCCGCAACCCTGCATCGGTGCATGCGCTGATCCTGGAGAACACGTTCCTGAGCATCCCCGAACTCATCCCGCACGTCCTACCCCCCGTGCGACCTTTCGCATTTCTATGCCGCGAATATTGGAATTCGGCGGCGGCAATCGGGAAAGTGGCAGCCAAGGTTCCAGCGCTGTTCCTCTCGGGGAGGCAGGACGAGCTGGTGCCCCCGTCGCACATGGATGCACTGTACGCGGCGTGCAACAGCACCACCAAGCGGTTCCAGAAATTTGCCGAGGGCACGCACAACGATACCTGCATCCAGCAAGGATACTTTGAAGCCATCGGCGAGTTTCTCCTTGCGCATGTGGTGACGCTGGTCAACGACCGAACCGCCACGCCGAAGCAGCAAAGCTCGGGGGAGGAAAAGATGGTGCGGAGGGAGGCGAGTGGGGATGAGGACGAGTGGGTGCAGATGAGCCATTCGGAGCTGCGCGGCACTACCGATCCAGACGCTCCTACACTCAGTAAAGCACCCAAGCTCTAGACCCCGCGCACGATTCGCAATCCTAGCGTTCCAAGGTTCAAAGAGAGTGTGTGATTGCAAGCAAAAACGATGGTGTCCATGACAAGAAGGGAAGGCAGTGCAGTGAAAGAGAAGGGACGTCGAGGATGCAAAGAGTGCGGGTCGAATTGGTGCCTGGGCATGCGATCCAGACCGACCTTTGTTGGGAGGTGGAGGATTGTGCTCTAGGCCCGAAATGCGACGCACACTTTGTGTCGCCAAGGGAGGCGGGCTTTACTTGCACGAGGCGAGGATGCAGACATTAGCCTTGCTGCCACTTGCATCGATGCCCGTGTTCTTGTTCCCACCCTCACCACCCGCACCACCCTCGTTTGTAGTGGTCGTAGTGGTCGAATGCTGCGACTGGTCGGTGTTGTTGCTGTCCGTCTGGGACTTGTCAACATTGTTGCTGTTGGTCTGCGAGTTGTCGACGTTGTTGCTGTCGGTCTGCGAGTTGTCCTGGTAGTTCTTGGACTTGTCCACGTTGGTGGTCGAGCTATCGTTGTACGTGTGGCTCGAGTTGTCGGTGTTGTTCGTCTGCTCGATGTTGTTCTGCGTGTTGTTCTGCGTGTTGCTCTGATCGCCCGCGACGTTCGTCTGGTGCACGTTGTTCTGCGTGTTGTTCTGGTCACCTGCGATGTTCGTCTGCTCGATGTTGTTGTTCGTCGTCGTCTGGTTGGTGTTGTACGTGTCGTGCGAGTCGTGCGTAGACTGGTCGATGTTGGTCGTGTTGTTGTTCGTCACCGACTCGGACTTGGAGTTGTCGTACGAGTTGTTGTACACGTACGTCGGGTTGTATCCGGAGCCCGAACCAGAGCCGGACGAAGAGCCGGAGCCCGACGACGAACCGGAGCCAGAACCGGAGCTAGAGCCGGAGCCGGACGAGGAACCAGACGAGGAGCCAGAGCCAGACGAGGAGCCCGAGCCAGAGTGGGAGACAGAGCCCGAGCTAGAGCCCGAGGCGGCGTACGAGCCCGAGCTGGACCCAGACGACGAGTACGATCCGGACTTGGCACCGGACGAGGCGCCCGAAGACGCACCCGCGGAAGCGCCCGAGGAGGCACCACCCGAGGAGGCACCCGAGGACGAGTCCGAAGACGAGCCCGATGACGCGGGGGCAGAGGCGGCGGGAGCCGATGCGGCAGCACCAGCAGCGTTGCGGTTGACGCAGAAGCAGATGCTCTGATCGTCATCGTTGACAGTCCACTGGTTGTTGCCCGACTTGCCAGCAGTGGATGCGGCGCGCTTCTGGAGGTCGGCGCTCCAGAACTGCGAGCGCTTGAGAATCTCAAAAGCACGCTCGATCTCGTCGGGCGTGGCGCGCGGGACGAGATCCTGACGAGCGGCCAGAGCGCGACGGCGGCGCATCGCCTGGGAGAAGGTCGAGGCAGGACGAGCCTCGGAAGGAGCTGCCGTGACGGTTTGCAGCGTGGCGAGCAGAAGCACCGCGAACGGCAGCAGCGCAAGAAGACCTCGAATAGCTTGAACCATTGTTGATGATGAAGGACGGACTAGGTTGGATGAGGAGCAAGATTCTGGGTATGACCATCGACGAAAATGCGAAGGCTTTTATGTCTTTCTTGAGCGGCTCGAGCGAGTGGTCGACCGTCCAAGCAGAGTCTGCACGAGAGCACAGAGGCGTGACGGAAGACGTGCCGACCTGCAACGGGGAGAAGTTGCGAGCGGTACATTGGCAATGTGGCTGATCATTGCAAGTAGGCAGCAAGCCGGACTTTTGCACCCGCGGGACCGGCTGGTTGGAAGAAAAGGAACCAGGAGATCACCGGCACGGGTGGTGCGAGACAGAGGGATCCGAGCGGGACGGAATAGCGGAAAGCGGTTGTGCATGCTGCATGAGGCTCGAGCCACAGAACACGCGGTTGCGCTTGGAGGCAGAGGAGGGATCGACAGATGTGCCAAATTGGATCGGATTGGCGGCAAGGAGCGCTGCGATGTCCGGTCGACTTCCCAGGGGCTTGCACGCTAAGTCGAGGCCGACGTGGTTCCTGGTGGCCGTCACGTTGAATCCCACGCTACCCGCTGCAGCAGCCGGAATCGCGACGGCGCTGGCTGACAGCTCGCAAAGAGAGCGGGGCGGCATGGCGGCATGGCGGCGCGGCGCTGGTGGGCGCCCAGAGCTGCGCCATTCCGCCCTGCTCGCGCCTCCGTTGTGGAAAAAGAAAAGGAAAGAAATTCGCGTCCCGCCTCTCCCCGGTGCAGCGAAGCATGACGGACGGGGAGGCAGCTGCGCCGCAGCCGTGTTGGTCTCGCCCTCGTCCAACCATGGTCGCCGTGGGTCATTCGTCGGGCAAGGGGCTCGACGATCTAGTGCAGCTCGCGCAACACATGGCATGAATGCGCGTGGTGCAGCAGCTGTTTGAGTTTGTTCCATTGCACCTTCACTGCGAGGAAGCTAGCAAGTCAGGAATCAGGCAAGGGGTTGCAGCCAAGCCACCGCACCAACCAACGCCAAACCCAAACTCGACCGCGTTCCGAAAAAGCATGCCGAAAAAAGTCGGATGGTCGGTGTTTCATACGGGCCTTCCCGCGTCGTTCTTCGGCAGAGGCGCTGACAAGACGGCTTGGTGTTGCGTCTCCCCGGACTCACTCGCTCTCCCGGTGGTCATCGAACGTCGACTGGCCGCCTTGCAACCCTAAATCCCGCTGGTATCAGCTGTGTTTCCAAGGCAATACGAGGTTTGAGTGGCTACGGCAAGACCGGGCCGAACACGTCGCCCATCCCAGCTGATAGTGTGACGATGCATACAGCCGAGCGATCGACGTGCAAGGAGCCTTTGACCAACAGCATTTGCTCACGCCAATCACTGCGCTAACACATGCTTCCTTCGCCGCTATCCAAGGATCGACGCTATCAGCTGCAGCGTCTCCTTGCACCTTTTCTTGCCGGCGAGCCCGAATTCCGCTTTCCAATTCCCCCGGAAAAGAAGAGTCGGTGCCCGATCAGATCTACTCCGGATCGCAACCACAGATCGGCGATACCGGGTCGCACGACATCGAGATGGATTCGCCCAGCCCCCGCATTCTAGAACCCAGCGCTCGGTTTCCCCGCAAGACCCAACACGTCGAGCTTCGCCGCGTCTTCCGCAGCCCCAGTCGGACGAGACTCTCTCGGTGCATGGCGAGACAGCACAGAGCTTGACTCGGACCAACGCTTCCGACCCAACCTCCTCTGCAGCACTGTGCTTATACCCAGCACGTGGAGTTGACTCCACTTGAAGCGGACGTTTTTACGCCGCGAGCTATCCGCGTACAATGTCCGCCGCCATGCTCGACGCCGGGGCCAAGCATTAATACCATGCCTCTTTGCTTGCTTCTGATCAGCTTATCCCCACCAAGCTGAACACATCGTCCTCTCGACTTGGATCTCAGCACAGACATCATGGCACAGACACTGCAGGCACAGGCGCTCGTCATCGAGCAGGCGCACGGACCCTTCCAGCTCGCCGACATCCAGCTCGACATCAGCCAGCTCAAGTCCGATGAGGTGGTCGTGCGATACCACCACACCGGTGTCTGGTGAGTCGATCCACACTACTTCTGCTGGCAGTCTATCTCGCTAATCCCCCGATGCTTTGCTAGCCATACCGACATCCACTGCCGCAACGTCGCAACGCCCCAGCTGCTTCCCGCCATCTACGGCCATGAGGGCGCAGGAACGGTCGAGCAGGTCTCGAGCGACTACAAGGGCTCGCTCAAGGTCGGAGACTCGGTGCTGGCTAGCTTCTGCAGCTGCGGCGGATGCAACAATTGCAACTCCAGCCGTCCGGCCTACTGCGACCTCTTTGTACCCATCAACCTAGCCCACTTTACCAAGGAGATGCAGCACGTCAAGGTGCCCTACCAGAAACAGGACGGTGAAAAGGGCGAGGCGCTCATCAAGTACTTTGGCCAGAGCTCCTTCTCGAGCAGGATGATTGTGACCGATCGCAGTGTAAGTCCACGTCGTCCGTGGCTCATCATCTAGTTCACTCTTGCTGACCCTGTTCGAGTTTTGTTGGATACAGCTGACCAAAGTGAGCTCCAACGTGCCGACCAAGTTGGTGTGTGCCTTGGCGTGCGGCTTCCAGACCGGCTTCGCGACCGTGTTCGAGAAGGCACCGACGGATCAACCGCGCTCGTTTGAGCTGTTCGAGTCGGCGGGCGTGCCCGTTCCTAGCTCGATCAAGACTTCCAGCCGGTACGAGCGCAGCAAGCAGACGCTGATTGTCACCGGACTTGGCGGTGTAGGTCTCGGCGCCATCTATGGTGGTAAAACCCTCGGCTTTGGTTCTGTCATCGCCTGCGACCTTAACGATGATCGTCTCGAGCTGGCGAAAGAAGTCGGTGCTACGCATACGATCAATGTCAGGGGGCTGGATAGCGCCGCTTTTGCTGCCAAGGTCAAAGAGTACAGCGCCGATGGAAGGGGCGCTTCGCTCGCGATCGAGGCGAGTGGTGCACCGGCTGCTATGGGCAATGCAGTCATGGCACTGGCTGTCGGCGGACGCTCGGTCGTCGTGGGCGCCCCGCCCAGCGATGCACCTCTCCCCGTCCCGCATGCCCATCTTCTTGTGAGTCCGCAATGCTCCAAGTGCCTCGTGGTTTTGCCACATCCGCTGACCAACTCCCACGCTACATTTGGACAGGCTCAAGCCACCTCCGTCGAAGGCCTTCTCATGGGTATGTCATTCGCATCTTTCGACCCTCCTCTTGCACATTGTCACTGACGCAATTTCGCGGGCTTGGTCGTACAGGCAACTCGGTACCCGAGGTCACCATCCCGTACCTGGTGGGCAAACTCGAAGCGGGCGAGCTGCCCTTCCTGGACAAGATGGTCAAGGTGTACAAGCCCGCCGACATGAACACCGCGGTCGAGGACCAGGAGAGCGGCAAAGTGATCAAGCCCGTCATCGCATGGGAGTAGCGCTCAGCCGCACTCTTTCGAGTCGTCCAACGGAACAAGCAAAGGAGTCTTGCCCGCGGGAAAAATCAATCAAAAATTCACGGCATGGAAATCACTTGAGAAAAAAAGAGGTCGTATTACGGAGAGCAAAGGGGGTCCCAAAGCAAGGGATGGTGAGAAGACGAAGAGGCATCAATGGCGGATGGGCACTACGCCTGGGGACATGTGCCGTTGCCCTCTAGCAGCGTAGCGTTGAGGCCTTTTGCAACAGCCTCGATGGACGACGAGTGAGCCACGTCAAACACCTTGTACGCCGGGCCGGGCTTGTCGAAGCAGTAGCGACCGGTAAAAGTGATAAAGGTGGCTGTGCCTTCGCAAATCGACTCGACACGCAGGTCTTCGGTATAGCTTCCGAACAGGATCCTCTCATCGGGCGGATCGTCGGCCACAGCACCGGTGACGTTGATCGGTCCGTTGACCAGATGCCACTCGAGCTCGAGCAGTGCCGGCTTGTGGATGTACTTGATCAGCTGCTCGTGCAGGATCGTTCCGGCAAAGTCGATCTCGCGCACAGAGCCAGGCGTGTTGTCTGGGCCCCGTGTGGCGTTGGGTGGCAAGCCGATGTACCACTCTTCGTCAAAAAACGATCCGACCTTTTCGTAGAACTTTTTGGCCGGCACATCGTAGCGCGCAGTGTAGACTTCAAAGCCAGGCGTGGTGCCTTGGGGACACTTTGGATCGATCTTGTAGTGGAAGTTGTTGCGTGCGCTCAGCGTCGGAGCAGCAGCGCTGAGCAGAGGCACGGAAGCAGCGAGCAAGCCAAGCGACCACATCTTGACGTTTGTAGCGGGATCGTTAAAATTGACACGATGAAGGGGTTCGCGAACTTGGCGATGTGGATCTCAGTATAAGTAGTGTACGATGATCACGCTCCGCTCGGATCTTGCTCTATTGTGGATGTGCACGGGGCATCGGCAATACCACGGGTGGAACCAAGGTTGCGACGGTGGAGGCTGCTAGCGCGCTCGGCTAAAGGCAACTCACTTTTGGCAAGCATGAGACAAAGCTTGGGTTGGACCGATACCGCGGCTGTCAGACACGGCGCCGTTCGGTCACTAGCTTGGTGTTTGTGTTGGACTGCGGTGCTGCTTTCCGGCGGGGGAAGCGCCAAGACCGACGATTGCATCCCGGCTTATCGCCTCGTGAGCCACCAAGAAGCAAGAAGCTGAGGCGCGACGGTGACAGCGACATGTCTCGAGCCTCTGAGCATGGACCGGCAGCTTGGGTATGCGTCGATCCCATGTGACTATCTGTCGAGGCACGAATGAATGCCTGGGCGGCGTGGGCGGCAAGCGCGGCAAAAGCGCGTCCCCGCCCGCACTCCGCCTCGACCTAGAAAAGGGGCCGAAATATTGCTGAAAAAACGGATAGCCAGGTTGGCCCGCTGTGGTCAGCCGAGCATAGCGTGCCTAGAGGGGCAAAACACTCTTCTGTAGATTGCTAGTCGCGGTCGCAAGATAGGCGCGGCTAGCGCGGCCTTGTTTGGATGTCGAGATGCTGCGCTGCTCGGCTGCAATTTAGACTGTGGATGCGGATGCGCGCGCCGCAAAGGACCCTGGGGCTGGAGCCACGTTTGCCGCGGTTGGCGCGCAGACACTGCCCATGCGCCCCGCACATCCCGCGCTCGCCTATCTCGAGATCCGCCGGCACCGCTTCCCTTTGGCCCTTGTGTTCCTCTTCGTACCATTGGTCCGCCCCGCCCTCCCGCACCTCACAATGGGGCCGTGTTCGAGTCGCACATGACCGGCTGCCATGCAGGCCAGAACACAAGCTCAACAAAAGCTCAAGCTGAGACAGATACGATACTCTACGCGCTGAATCGTCGGTGTGGCGAGTCTGGTACGATAACAAGTGTAATGCAGTAGGCTTGAGCTTGGCCCGAACGGATCTTGAGGCAGAACCAAATCAGCCGGACCTCGCCTACCGCTCTTGCCCAGATGCTGCCTTCTCGCCACTTCGCCACTGGTACCATGGCCAGCCTCGGGATGCTGACCCTCCCACGCATGGCAAACGCAGCCGCGCATTCATCGCCAGCCAATCTCCGCTCCGCTGCGCAGGCAAGTCGCGCTCTGCCTCTCCATATGCACCTCCTCCACCGTTGCCGCGTCGCTATCATTTCCGCCCCGGCCTACATCACCCTCGCGCCGCTCCTTGAGCAGCTTCGAGGCCCTCGCAAGTATATATCCACGGCAACGTCGCCACCAGTATCGCCGTCCCCCCTCGTACCACCCTGCCCGCATCTACCGCGCCTCCACCTCGCCCGCTCTCCGCAGTCCCTCCTAGAGCCCCCCGCCCTCACACCCACCTCCTCGGAACGGACGCCATCATGTCAGACACCTCGGATAAAAAGCCGCAAGAGGCCCACAACCACTCCACCGACGTGGTCAGCTACGGCGAGCACGAGTACGATGGCAAGAGCGAGCCGCTCATCCGACAGTTCGGCCTGCTGCCTCTTCTCGGCGTCGGCCTGCTCGGCGCCGGGTACTGGGCTGGTCAGATCGTCACCATGACCACCGTGCTCGGTGTGGGCGGTCCACCCGGTCTCTTCTGGGGCACCTTCCTCTGTGCATTCTGCATCCTCTGCATCGCCCTCTCGCTCGCAGAGCTCGCCTCGGCCTACCCAACCGCCGGTGGCGTTCTCGACTGGGCCTACGAATCCTCCTCCAAGTCGAGCCGCAAATTTGTCGCATGGACCACCGCATGGCTCAACACGTTTGCCTGGATCGTCACCGCCACCACATGGGCTTCGCTCGTAGCCCAACAGGTGCTCGCACTGGCTGTGCTTTACCATCCGGACTTTGTCATCAAGCAGTGGCACACCTGGCTGCTTCTGCAGGTCGTGCTCATCATCGGTCTGCTCGTCAATGTCTTTGCCGTCAAGATCATGCCTGCCCTCGACAAGGTCGGTCTCGTCACCTTCTTCCTCGGCTGCTTTGTGCTCAGCATCACCGTCGCTGCCAGCGCACCCACCCACCAATCCGCCAAGTTCGTCTTTGTCGACATTATCAATGCGACAGGATGGAAGTCCAACGGTCTCGCCTGGTGCATTGGTCAGGTGGCTACCTCGGGCGCTTTTATTCTCATCGACTCGCCCAGTCATCTCTCCGAGGAGACGATCGAGCCCGAAAAGAACGTGCCCAAGGCCATGGTCTACTCGGTGCTCATCGGCACCGTCACGGGTCTCTTTGTCACGCTCTGCTTTATGTTTTCGATCGTCGACATTGACGGCGTCCTCGGTAGCGCTACCGGCGTGCCTTATATCCAGATCATCAAGAACGCCACGCGATCCAACGGTGCCACTGTGGTGCTTTCGCTCTTTATGATCATTCTCTCGCTCTACGGTGCTGTGACCTCGGTCACTGTTGCCAGTCGAGTCGCCTGGGCGTTTGCACGAGACGGTGGTCTGGTGGCACCTTCTTTCTTCTCGAGGATGTCCAGTTCGCTGCATGTGCCCGTACCCGCGCTCATCCTGTGCGTCTTTGTCTCGAGCTGCATCGGCGTCATCTACCTCGGCAGCATCACCGCCTTCAACTCGTTCCTCTCGGCACTCACCATCCTCTTCTTTGCTTGCTACGCCATGGTCATCGGCGCATTCATGCTCAACAACCGCTACATCGAACGCAGCGGTCCCTACCGCCTCTCTTCCACCGTCGGATGGGCGGTCAACGCCATCGCCATGGTTTACATGCTCGTGTTCGGCGTGTTCTTCTGCTTCCCAACCGTCTACCCGCCCGAGGCAAACACGATGAACTGGTCCAGCGTCATCCTCGTCGGCGTTTTCCTTATCTCCTCGGTCGGCTACGTCACGTGGGGAAGGAACAGCTACGCCGGTCCCAGCGGCGCCGTCCTTGCCCAGCGCATTGGCAAAGGCTCAGCAGCAGCTTAGCCCGTCACACCCTCCAATTCTGTACTTTTAGCAACGTCAATATCCGGTCAAGTGTCATCGTCACCGTTAATTGTTGCGCACGTGTGCATGACGGCCATAAGGAGCAGAATGAATCTGTGAATGAGCCAACGTGGATTGCAGCACGATGCTGGGTGGGGACCCTCGACCCATGCAGCCCCACAAAGTTCATCGACGCTGGCCGTGAGCTTATTGGAATGCAGCTCGAGAGCGAGGCCGAACAGAGACGGATACTTGCGCCTGATTGTCTCGAAAGTTCTTCTCGCCTGCATGCGTCTCCCCACCAGCAATGTCCCGTTCTTCGCGCTGCGCAGATAAGCTCCAACGGCTACCGACAAGCTCGGGCGAGACGCTGTCGATACTGATGAGATTAGGCGCTGTCAGTCGCCACTTTCGCACGCATCTTCATCCGACGGCTGTTGCGTTCTTCATGTCGGTTGCTGCGCAGGAGATTCTTTGTTCTCGAACTCTGTTCATGCCGCACCTGACGCAGTTCTCTTTCATCTCTTTGACCGAGCGGGTCCCACTCTTGCTGGCCAACTCAGCGTTCATTCATATAAGAAAGTCTCTCGTCTTGTCGTCCTTCTACTTTCCACATCCTGCTTCACCCCGTCGAGCCAGACCCCTTTTCAGCCGGCTTAGCAGCAATCCTACAAATACAAGGTCTGGAATCGGTGGACGCACTGCTCTCTTCTTCCACTGACCTTGCCAATCCATGCTGGCTGTGGTACGTCGACATCGCAGCAGTGCTGACGTGCCTATTCCTCTTCGTCTCGGCCATCCACGTCAACACATGGGGCGCTTCAACTCTGCCCTGGGCCTTTTTGGTCTCGGTGCTCTTCTCGTCTGTCTCGGCAGGGTATCGGGGACATCAATTCAGCCTCTCGTCGACACGACAGCAGGCACGACCGCCACCACTGCTCTAGACAGTCCGATCGCGAAGAGCGTAACGCCATACGTTCCGGACGGCGCTATGCTGTTCTTTGGAGGCGCCACAGCCATCGGGATCATCGTAAGCCTCACTTGCAGAGAGCCCAGTGTTGTCGCTATTCCGTATCAGAGGGCTATCTGTAGCGCTTCCTCCGCCACGCTCTTTCTCGCTGGAACTACCGCGATCCTTGTGGGTCCAGCCAAGGACGGATGAGAATCCTTCGACCGGACCGCCTATCCAGCTACCCGTCCCTTCGACGACCTGTGGCGCCGAATCGGGCTCTCGGCAACGGACGCTTCGAGGACCGCGCAAGCAGGCCAACCGACGCCAATGACCGCTTCACAAAGCAAGATTTTGTGTCCGCTCGTTCTCCTCCGCCAAAAAGTCTTCATTGCAGTCAGCCCCTCGCCAATGTCATTGTTCAACATCGATGGCTTTGTCTGTTCCCGCTATTCTGCCCTTCTTCCCAGTAGCGCCAAAGCTGGTTGCATCTCGTGCCACGCTGTGTGAGGTCCTCGAAGCGACCGTGCTATCCACCCCCCGACCTCCTTTCCCATCATGACTCTCGTACACCCTCACATCAATGTTCACTTCACTTCTACCCGCTCATAGTGCATGCATCACGTCCATGCGGGCAGCTTTGACATCGCCCGATTCACTACGATGGCGTGTAGGCGGCGAACCGGCTCATATTGCGTGCGAACTAGGGTAAGAAGGATCATAGTCGCGCAGGAATCCGAATAGGATGTCCGAGTTGGTGGCCGCGTCAGAGTTGCCTGCAAACAGGCCGTCATGGCCCGTGGCGCCCGCCGCCTCGAACTGGTCAAACGAGGCAAGGATGCTCTCAAAGTCAATCTCGTACGGTGGAGTGACGCCGAACGTCGAGGGCTGTGCCCGGGCGCTGCTCGTGCGTCCCAGCATGCCTGTTGCTCCCGAGGGCGAATCGACTACTGTGCCCGTGTTCTGTGCCGAGCTGTGGGTGACATCCATCCCACCACCACTTCCAAGTAGAGCTCCTCCGGCTTCGTGACCGTTGCGACCGTTGGAAGCCCCATTACCAGCGCCGGAAAGGTGCATTGGCGGACTGTCTCCTTGTCCGACGGGTGATAGGCCACCTTCTTCATCGGCGGCGTTGAGAAGGTCGAGGATGCCAGCCCGCTCGGCCATGTTGCGAATGACGCTCTTTGCCTTGACGACGCCCGGGTTGGGATCCTGATTCTCTTCAAAGTCCTGCAGACACTGACGCAGCGCCTTGAGCTCGTACCTGCGGCTCGACGCGGCCACATCCGCCGCATCTCCCGACCCTGCCGTCGGCGCGCGTTGCTGCAGCTGTGCCGCCAATCGAACATGGATCCCCGCCGCACAAAAGTTGATGTACGAGATGAGCTGCGGTGCGCCCTTCATGCTGACCGTCTGGCGGTAGAGATTCATGAGGCTCGAGATGCTCGAGGCCGCATCGACGCACGCCTTCCAGGCGGATCGACCAGTCGCCGGATCGTCGCTGCGCAGATGACCATGCGGGAGAAACGGCCGATTGAGCAGGATGGTGAGCGCATGGTAGAGAGCATGGAGCGAGATGAGGTTGGGTGGACGCGTGCGCGAGCGTGGCATGGCGCCTGTGCGGCCCAGACTGGGAGAGATCGAGTCGATGCGCAAGTTGACGGGCAGAGCCGAGCGCCACGAGGCAAGCTCTGCACGCATGCCAATCAGGCGCTCGGTTTGCACACGCTCGGGGCGCGTGCCACTATCGATTGAGTAGAAGAGGTGGATGATCTTCTCCATGATCACCGTGAGGCGGCAAAGCTCGGCAAAGGTGGATACGCTGTAGATGGGTCCGGTATAGCCTGCCGGCGAAGCTGCCGCGGTTCGAGCAGCATCCCGAGTCTCTGCGACATCGTCACTCGGCCGGTGGTACGCTACGGGCGTCCAGAACTCGGTCTCCTCGAAGTGGTCGTAGAATTCGATGGGGACGTAGAGGTTGCGTCTCTCGATCGAAGCTTGGCGGCCCTGGTAGAGCGAGTGGATCTTGTCGATCACATAGGCAGCCCATACGACGCGTCTGCGAAGCTCGAGCTCTTCGAGGGTCATGGTGCCCGACGTGACGAGCTCGATGCTGTCCTCGTTCATGCCGAGGTCGATCGCCATGCGAAAGGCAAGACCGGAATGGAGCCAGGCGGCACTCTCGCTTCCGCGAGCGTAGTGGGTGCAAGCAAGGAGGAGGAGCGCCTGTACGGTGGTGATGCGGCTCTTGATGAGCGCCTCGGGCAGGAGCTGCTGCACGCGCTCGAGGAATTGGAGGCCGGCCGTGGAAGGGTCGTTGACGTCGGAGCGCACCTGATCGATGCGATCCGAAAACTTGGCGGCGCCAAAAAGGATGGCGTGGAAGAGAAGTTTTGAAAAGTACTTGGCCTTGGCCGGGGGAGCGGCCATGTCGCGCATGAAGAGCGGGCGATAAGTGACGAGGTAGGCGTGATGCTGACGATTCCAGTGCAGATTGAGCAGATGGAGAGCGAGCTCTGGCTCGACACCGTCAAAGTCGAGTTTGCCCGAGACGACGTTCATGACCTCCTGCTGCCGTTCGTGGGCGGCAAGCGTGGTGAGGCGATCCTTGAGGAGGGCAGGGTTGATCTGGACATGGCAGCCGCGGTTGTCGGCGGAGTTGAAGTCGGCGGCCAGTGGAGTGCTGCGGGCTGGCTCGGGAGCCAGCTGCGAATCGGATGGATGGTGATCGCGGGCCGACTGTTCTGGAGCGCTGAAGGAGGCGCTGGTGGGACCATGGTAGCGCGATTCGCCACGGTTGTTGACGCGCAGGTTGGACATGACCGCGCGTGTAGCATGGTTGTGTGGTCGAGGAGGCTGAGACGCTGGACGCGCCTGTGGCTGGATGCTGCGGTCGTGGGCGGTGTGAGGGCCTGCGCTCTTGCTGAGATCTGCGATGATGGTGGCGACCGCCGAGGATGTGGGTGACGTCGGCGAGGGCGACAAGGAGGCGGATGAGCGTGCGCGCGAGCCATGCGGGGAGCTGATTGTGGAACCGTGATCATCTCTCACGGATGGGGTGTGCCTAGAGGGCGTGGCAACAGGTTCCGAGCCGCGGATGTTCCCGGCGCCGCCGACGCTACGATGGGTCCGGCTATGCGAAGCATGCTGGGAATGCGGCTCTGCGTTGGCGTCGGCGGTGCTGATTCTAGCTCTTCCGGGATTATGCTCGGTCTGGACGTTGTCGGCGGAGGATGGTTGCGTTTGAGCAAGGCTGCTGGGGCTGACCAAGGCGGAAGCGCTGCTGGAACGACGAGGCTGATGCGGAGAGGATGTGGAGGGATTGCGCGAGGGCTCGTTGTGGATGCTGGCTATGCGCTCTTCCAGCTGACGGATACGATCGTGTGCCTCGTGCAATGCGGGGGAATCCGCACGCGAGCGGCGTGGAGAGCGCGGATGGAAGCGGCAGGTGTCGGCACAATCATGCTGCTGACACTTGTCACAAGGCCGTTCACCATTGCAGCGGATCTACGAGGAGATGTGGCAAGTCGTACAGAGGAGGAGAAGGACAATGAGCTTGCTTGTACAATGGACTCGGGGCAGGAAGGACAAAGACGAAGCTCAAGACGTACCTTGCGGCGACGGCAGAAGTCGCAAGCGGTCGAGACGGCCGGCTGGCGGCGGTGGGTGGTGCGGGTCTCGTCGGCCCTTCTGGTAGCTGGCATGGCGGTGCGCACGAGGCACGACGCCTACGTAGCGCCGACACGTGAGCCTAGCGTCAGGCACGATTACGGAGTGATGCGGATTCGACAAGAGATGGTGGAAGGCGGACGAGGTCCAACGACGCCCGACTCGGCCGCTCTGAGCGTGGGCGGAGCACGGAGCGGAGGGCGGGGCGGGGCGGAAGGATGGGGAAAGGAAGGAAGGAGGAGGGTGGAGAAATGGAGTATGGCACGGAGGACCGGATGAAAGGCCGGCTAAACAAACGGAGCACAGTGGAGCCGAGGCGATTGGCCGAGCGGTCCGGCAATTTGACCGAGCGACGGAGTGACGGAGCGACGGAGCAAAGGCAGAGACGGAGCGGACGGAGCACAAAACGCCGCCGGGGTTCATTTGTGCCGACTGACGGAGCGAAAGGGCGTCCACTTTAGCCAGAGGCTGACGCTGTGGAGAGCCTTCGTGTCCTCCCTCCTCCTACGAGACTTTGCCCTGCATCGTCATCCCCGCCAGCCGCGCCACCATCAGGCTTTAGCGGACATCACCCACCGTCGCAACCACCTCCGGGGCCAGCGTCGGATGCTTCCATCTTCGGACCCCGTGCCGGCGGCGAGCCATTGCCGGCATCGACCGCTGGCGGGTGGCACATCCGTTCTGATGTATATATGATGCCGCCGCTCATACTTGGGCTAGTCTTGGCCTCTCTTCGCTACCCCACCGATTCCAGCACTTCAGAGACTCGACATCATGCTTCTTCAACCTTCTCCCTCCAGGCACATCGACGGTTTCCGGCACGTCGAGCCCAAGATCCTCTCTTCGGCGCCGTCCACCTCGGTGGCTCCAGCCGCACTCGAGAAGAATGTCGCCTTCTCGTCCAAGAGCCAGCCGACCTACTTTGAGCGTCGCTCCATCCGCACCGTGATCATGCGCGCCGGCACCTCCAAGGGCCTCTTCATCAAGGCGAGCGAGCTGCCTGCCTCGCGCGCAGCCTGGCAGCACATTCTCCCCGCCGTCATGGGCTCGCCCGATCCGTTCGGCCGCCAGCTCAACGGCCTCGGCGGCGGCTCGTCCACCACCTCCAAGATCGCCGTCGTCTCCCGAAGCGCCGCTCCCGAGGTGGCTGACGTCGACTATCTCTTCGTCCAGTGCCCCATCGAGGGCGATACGCTCGACTTTACCGGCAACTGCGGCAACATCCTCTCCGGCGTCGCCCCCTTTGCTGTCGAGGAGGGTCTCATCCCAGCCAGCGTCCTTGCTCCTCTGCGCGCCTTTGCTCAGGCTCAGGGCGCCTCTCGCGAAGAAAAGGTGGCGCTCACTCTGCGCTGCCTCAACAACGGCCAGCTCATCCGCTCCACCTTTGCCATGCGCGCGGGTAAGCCAGTTGAGTTCGGCGACGTAGTCATTGATGGCGTTGCCGGCACCGGCTCGCCCATCCAGCTCGACTTCCTCGACCCGGCTGGCAGCATGTGCAAGTCGCTCTGCCCCACGAGCAACCCAGTGGACCAGCTTCACGTCGAGGGCGAAGATCTGCCCATCGAGGTGTCGTGCGTGGACGCAGCCAACCCTTTCGTCTTTGTGCACATCAGCGACATTGACGAATCGCTCCGCGGCGATGAGCCCGCAGATGTGCTCCACCAGCACTCGCCCCGCATCGAACGCATCCGTCAGGCCGCCGCCGTGCTCATGGGTCTTGCACCCGACACGGCCACCGCCGCGCGCACAAAGGGCACCCCCAAGATCTGCCTAGTGGCCGACCCTCTTGCCGGGTCCGATGCTCATCTCCACTCGCGCTCCTACTCCATGGGCCGTCCTCACCCTGCCCTCCAGCTCTCGGGCGGCGTGTGTCTCGCTGCAGCCTGCTCCATCCCGGGCTCCATCCCCAACCGCATCCTCCTCAAGAACACCAGGATGATGCCCCAGAAGCTCAAGTTCTCGCACGCCTGCGGCGCCATCGAGGCCACAGCCGACGTCGAAATCGACCCGAGCAGCCCCGTGGGCGTCCACGTCAGGAGCACCTCGCTATTCCGCACCGCCCGCAGACTCGCCTCCGCAGAGGCATACTATCTCGCCCCAACCCAGTAGATTCTCGTCCTTGTCCCATTAGCACTCAGATTCGCTTCGCTTTCTCAATGTATACCACCTTGTCTCTCCTTCTTTTTGGCCACTTTGCCCGTGTGCGTGTCTGATGTATGTGGCTGCCGCCAGCCCCTGTTAAGCTGCGATGAATTTTGTTGAGGCTCTGTCGATGAGACATGTGACAGAATAGTCTGACCGAAGTAAGCTATCTTTCGAGCTGCTCTGCTCTCGGCTCATCTTTGCAGATTGCAATTCGAGAGCTTCGTCTCACGTTCAAAGCACCACAAAGCAGCAGAAGTACTACGTCTAAGTCTATGATTGCAAGCGCTACTCGTACACAGCAAGATGTTCGATCAGAGAGGCTGCTCGGGGTTGAGCCAGCCAATGACAGTCTCGTAGGCGGTGAAGGCGATGCCGCCGCTGAAGATGAGGCGGGTGAGGCGGGGCGTTGTTCCCTTCCAGAGGCTCTTGACACCCTCGTTACGCACAACGCCCATGCCGCACGCAAGGATCGAGGGTCGCTTGGCCACACTGCCCGCAGCTGCCGACGGCGACTGCTGCATGCGCGTCTTGACCACATCGAACGGCATGGTGAGATAGACCGTGATGAGTCCTGCGCCCGCTCCTGCCGCAAATGTCGCCGCCGTCGACTTGGCGTAGCCCGCCTTGGCCTGCATCGACTTGAGCACCGAGTACGACGTCAGGCGCACCGCCGAGTTGGCACCCTGACGCAGCATCGTAGCACCTAGACCACGGTAAAGTCCAGCGATACCCTCGGCCCCGACGATCTTGCGCACGGCGTCCACGCCACCGCTGTACTTGCGCAGATGCTTGGGCTGAAGCGAGTCTTGGATCATGCGTGTCTTGATTGCTTCGGACGGTGTCACTGCCAGCAGCGCCTCGGCCGAACCAGCCAGGAAGCCAGCAACGATAGATCGACCCATGCCCAGCTTCTCCTTGCCTGCTCCTTGCGATGCGGTCTTGGGACGCAGCAGGTTCTGAATCGTGTCGTAGGTGAGGAAGCGCACGCCAGCCTTGGCCGAGTTGCCCGTCACCATGGCGCCTGCACCGCGGAAGAAGCCGGTGACTCCGTGCGCTCGCCAGGTGTCGCGCACGATCTGCATGGCTGATGCACCGGCCTTGGGCATTGTCGGCGCAGAGGGCGCCACCGCCGCCGCTTGCGAGGCCATGTTGAGCTTGTGCGCTGGCAGCGCACCGTACGAGATGAAGCGCACCGAGCCTGCCGTGCCTTTGACCTTCGCTTGAGCATCAGCGAGCGAAGACGAGGCCTGGCTGCTGCTCGCCGCATTCGATGCGAGCTGAGCCTGCGTCTTTACGAACTCGGTCGGGTATGTGAGGAAGCCCTCGACGGCACCAGCGAACGTACCGGCCATGAGCGAATGCATGGCGGTGGGTCTGGAGCGCTTGTCGGATGATGACATGATTGCTGGTGTGTGCTGCGCAGATCTTCTCTGTATCGAATGTGTCTAGCAACGTGGGTAAAGCAAGTCGATACGCCTGATGGGTGTGAGTATGGAAGGTGCTGAGTTTGACGATCCGGCGGCTCGACTCCGCTTTGCGACTGCCTTTAATATGCTTTGTTGCGCAGATGCGAGGCAGGCTCAGAGATGGGTCCTTCTCCGCATCGCTGCAAGTTCTCCGGCTGGTTTGTATGGAGGACACTGCCGTCTTGGTCTGCGGTGGCCAGCGGAGTCCTATCCGTGAACCAATACGGAGGTCAAGTCGCCGACGGTTCCGCAAGCAACTCGGCAAACGGTCTTGAGGTGGTGGAGGCTGCGTGTGGGAGATCCGGAAGGCCGAAAGCCATGCTTGTGACCAATACCACCCCTCTCCGGACCGTTCGTGGCTGGCTTGCTGCTATCGTAAATCCGCGACGTCCGTCAGGGAGCGACAACCTTGAGCATAGGGAGCGAAAGAGTGTCTTGCGCTGCGGAAGCAAGATCGCAGGATGGTGTATTCGGGTCACGGACGGAGACGGAGCTACAAGGGGCTGACGGAGCGACGGAGCGACGGAGTGACGGAACTACCAAGGCCGGACTGACGGAGGACAGCTCCGTTGTTCCGTCTCTGCTGGGCTTCCGGTGCGACATTTTTTTCGCTCTCTTTGACGTTGGCCACTCGCCATGTGGGGCTCCGCGGGAAAACCTCAGCCCCGCTTCAACGGCGGTCTCGGTGGGGCACTTGGACGCAGGACAACAGTCAGGGACGTCCCGCGTGTGCTCGTGTGCTCGTGTGCTCGTGGTTTGGACACATCAGGAACGCGCGTTTGCAAGCTCGCAAGAGGCAGCCGGCAGTCAAGGAGAAGGGGAGCGAAGGCAAGCGACAATGTAGACCCGGAGCACGCTTCGTACAGTCCAGCCATGTTGCGCTTGTGGCAAGCCGGTGTACCTGACTGCCTCCATCCCTCTTGCCTCCTGCCTCTTTCGTCTCCTCCATTCGTCGTGTTCCTGCAGCCCCACTAGCTCCCTCCATGCCGGCAAGAAGAACGGAGCTTTGCAGCATACGGTAGCATCCATGCGGTAGCTAGCATCCCCTTCCGACGGACCCTGCGCTCCGCTGCAACTTTGCCAACTGTGCGCCCGACGTCTCCGGCCTTCCCCATTCGCGGACTGCTTTCGTATAAGACCTTGATGGTCTTTCTGTCTCGCTCTTTTGTGGGGCCCCTCTTCTCATCAAACCAAAGCCATCCGAGCTAACACTCCAGCGCTCCAAGCTACTCCCCTCTCTGCTGCGCCGCATCTATCCCCTACATCGATCGACACGATGCAAGAAGGTCAAAGCAAGCGATGGGTGCCCTCCAAGCTGCGTCACATCCATGAGGTGCCGTCGCAGTCGATGAACTGGCGCCTGCTGCTCGCAGTGCTCACCATGGGCCTGCTCGGTGCCAGTCGAGGCATGGACGAAGGTGTCATCTCCGGTTCCATCGGCACTCCGGCCTTCGAACATGCCTTCAACGTCAAGAAGAAGTCCACCAAGGAGTCCAACATCGTGGCCATGGTCCAGCTCCTCTCCACACTCGGTGCCCTGGTCGGCTACGCCGTCTCGGACAAGTTCGGCCGTGTCATGGCGGGTCGCCTGAGCTGCATCCTCATCATCATCGGCAGCGCCATGTGGGTGGGCAGCGCCGAACGCATCGCTCTGCTCTACGTCGCCCGCATGGTGACGGGTGTCGGTGTGGGAATCTCCTCCGTCTGCTCGCCGGTCTTCCTCGTCGAAACGGCTCCGCGCCAGATCCGAGGCCTCTGCACGTCGGTCTACAGTGCTTCCATCTACCTCGGCGCCATGCTCGGCTACGCCGTCAACCTGGGAGCTTCGCGCACCCAGAACAGGCGCAACAACATCATCTGGCAGATCGTGCTCATCCTTCCCATGCTCTGGCACACGATGCTCCTGATCGGCACCCTCTTCATCCACGAGTCGCCCAGATGGCTGCTCGACCACGGCCACGTCGAGAAGGCGCACCGCTCGCTCCGATTCTACCGCAACCTCGACGAAGACCACCCGGCCATGATCGAGGAGACCAACCTCATGCGCACCTCGATCGCCGAAGAGCACTCGCGCCACACCCAACGCCAGGAGGCGCTTCCAGCCAACTCGCTCATGAGGAGCAGCAACACGCTGCTCAAGCTCAACGCCGTCTTCACCAGCCGCAAGAACATGCTCAAGGTCGGACTCGGCGTCATGATCCAGGTGCTCGTCCAGTGGGGTGGTCCCGGTGCGATTGCTACGTATGCCAACCGCATCATGACGCTCGTAGGCGCCTCGGACAAGAACGGCTACGTCATGTCGGTCGGCTTCGGTGCCACCAAGCTCGGCTGCGGTATCCTCTCGGCCTTCTTCCTGGTCGATCTGCTTGGCCGCCGCAAGACGCTGCTGTGCGGTGTGCTGATCCAGGGTCTCTCGATGCTCTACGTTGCCATCTTCCTCGGTCTGTACGTGCAGGGCAACCACACCAAGGGCGAAAAGACGGCGGGCGAGGCTGCGCTCGCCGCCATCTTCCTGTCCGGAGCCAGTTTCTCGGCCGGTGGCAACCTGGCGCAGTACCTCGTGGGCACCGAGATCTTTGAGGTGCACGTGCGAAGTATCGCGACGTCGATCGTCATGGCCATGCACTATCTGCTTCAGTTCTCGGCGACCAGGGCGCTGCAGCCCATGCTCAACTCGGCCATGGGTGGAGCGGGCACGTTTGCCTTGTACGCTGCCGTCTCGCTGGTGCTCGCTCTTCCCTTCTACGCGATCTTCCTGCCCGAGACCGCAGGCCTGCCGCTCGAGGAGATCGACCAGGTGTTCGAACGTCCCGTCTGGCAGATGGCACGTGCCGCACGAGCCAAGCCCCACGTCGACGAAGACGCCATCTTCGACGTCCAGTCCTCCTCCTCGTCGTCGACGGGCGATGACGAGAAGAAGGTCGATCTGCATTCCAACGTCCAGGTCCGCACCAGCCCCTAGAACCGCCCCCTTGTATTCTACTGTATGTCTTTCGGTGCCCCATGTCATGCGTTCTGCTTTGCAATGCAACTTTCGAATCTAAATGTTGTAACCAGGAGAAACAGTCAATGATGCACCGACTGTGGGCGCCGACGGTGGAAGGATCCTTTGAGCCTGTGCGACTGCGCATCGACCCTCGCGATGCAAAGTTCATCTCACCGCGTGGAACGGTGGGCTTGGGCGCGCTTCATGATCGTTTCCGAGCTTAATGGGTCGGAACGAAGGTTCGGGCGCATACACTGCCCGTACTTGAAAGGGCCCGCATCCGTGAACCCACCTATGGATGCCGAGCCTTTTGGGTGGGTCCCGGCTGCAGCCGGCTCAGATTGCGCTGCCCACATGTCGCCGAAAGAGGCGCTGGTGCACAGCGTAGATGCCAACAAGCTCGCTTTCCCATGCCGTGCAGTTGAACCGCCGCGCTCGAACTCTGTTTTCCCTTCTCGTTGCATGGGAGTGCGCAGTCTGCGTTCGGTGGGGCCTGCACTCGATTCTCGAATCGACACCTGCGCAGGATCCACTTCTTACAACGCCCCTCGTCGGTGGGTTCGGTCCAAGTGGCTCGATTCTGGCTACCGCAGACCGCCGGAATCGATCTCGTTTCATTCACCCGCCCATCGTGCGGGTTCGCCCATTTTGCGTCCTGGGAGAGCGGCTGTAGCACGGCGGTAACAGCCGTGCTCACTACATCGCTCTCAGTGTGTCTCGCACACAGCATGCTCGCGTTCAGTTCCTAGCATATCGCTGCTTGTCACAATTGCTGCGCGGCCCCGCAGCTCCGTGCTCCCACACCATCGACGTTCGAAGGTCCGGCATTGCGCCAACTTCCGACATTGACTTCGTTACGCTCGTCCGGCTGCCACAGCCGCCTGTCCTTCTTGCCGATTCAGAGCTCAACGATCGACACGGCCTGCATCGCTACCACAGCCGCCTTTTCATTTGACACCGTCACTCTACTCCGTCGACAACACGAGGCAAACGACACTGGTCTCCTCTTTTCGAGCGGCAACCCGGAACCGCAGCCGCCGTCGGCGCGCCAACCTGCATCGACCGAGAGCGGCTTCCTGGCGCTGGCGAGGCTCCTCAGTCCTTGTCTCCACGAGCGGATGCACGCTGTTCTCGCAGGCTCTGATCAGAGCATATAAGCGTCGAGTCTCGGCCAGCTCCTGTTCTTGCCGTCGCCAATCATCTCTCTCATCATCTGCTCCCATCATGCGTCTTTTCCTCTCTATCACTCTTCTCGCCATCACGGCTGGTTTGCTTGCGCAGGCGTCGAGCTTGGCCGATTTGGCAGCCAGGCATGGCTACCTCTGGGATGGCGTGACCTTTCCGACCCCCATCCCTCCTCAAATCCCCTACAACAATACAACGGCGCTGGACGTGGCCAAATGTCTGGCAGGCACGGGCCAGTACCGCATCGACATCGAAGACCAAATGGTCATTGTCATGTACCTGGAAGAGTCGCAAGAGGTCACCGTCATCAACTGTGTTTTTCTCACTGGTGCCGGTGTCTTTTACCAGCATCGTGATGACCTTGCCACACTGCCCACTGCACCTCACGAGCCGAGCATCCAGGGAGTCACGTTTGGCCTCAACATCGACCCGAACGCGGTGATCCATCCTACGTGTGCGCCGTCGGATCTTTCAGCCGGGGCCCCTAGCAACCAATCAAATCAAGATGGTGACTAGCGGCCCCGGTCCCTTTGGTCACGCCGCGAGGCACACCGGCCTGGAGGTCAGTGCAGGTCTATCCCGTCCGTTGTGCCGTGTACTATGCCCGTTTCTACGTTCACCACCGGTGCAGCAAATTCGGCACAGGGGGAAGCGCCAAGCCTTACAGGATGATTGTCTCACCATCGAGTACACTGAGCGAAACGTGTTGCCATTGAAGGACGCATTCGTTCTGTGCAGTGCTCAACCCCAGCACGCCCTGTCAGCGACACGAATCTCGCACCGTGGTCCGGTGCCCGTAGAGAGTCGTCGATGGTCGGCCATCAAAGCTCCGTGATCACCATCTCAACCATGCAACCCTAAGCTTGCACTCAGCGGCCCCCCCCCCCCCCCATCATTTGCGCACTAATCATGCATGTGCTCGCATCGCTATGTCTCAGCGCATGCCTTGAGTGGACGTGTCTGGCGGCTCATTGTAGAGCCCTTAGTCTTTGCATACGCCATCTTCTTGGTCTCCTCTATGTCTGCTCACACGCTTAGTCTCTTCACCGTTCAAGGCTGCGGCCAGCCTTGGCGTCCACGCTTGGTAATGGATTTTGGGCTGCCCGGATGATCGCATCGGCCGTCACTCCGCTCGCACAGACCCAATTTTGTCGACATGCCAACAAAACATAGCTTTCTTTGTCTTCAGCATGGATTGCTCCACCCTTCTTTGCGATGATCCACCCAGCCAGGGCTTGCTCGTCGTTCCTAGATACTGAACATCGGCGCATGACTCTGCCCAAGCCAAGCCGATCCAGGTCGGCAGAGATCAAACATTGGCTACGCGCGCTTTATCCGCCTACCAGACGGCTTTGGATCGAGTGAACATTGTGGATGTGGCACGGTGACTGTGTTGGCGATGTTGGTGTATGGTTGGGAGACGCTGCCTTTGCATCTGAGCTGACCGTGCTGAGCAAGCGCTCGTCGGCCAAGTCGATCAATCGGCACTCGGCACCAGATTGCCGACGCCATGACGCCGTGCACAGGCGAGCGGCCCGGCCCCTGCTCGCTGCCGCTGTGACCGTTGTGGTAGCGATGTGCCAGCTGCGCAAGCAGCACGCTCGTCTGTCCCCACGCTTCTACAGCTGCGGTCTTTTCCTCGCTCATGGATGTGGTGCCTCGGCCTGTGTTCTCAACGCTGTATCCGCGGTCAAAGCCATCTGAACGGAAGCGATTGCCGCCGGTGCAGCCTCACGGACATGGCCGCGATGCTGCTCCTGGGTCGCACCGGCCCTTGAAGGCTAAGGCTATGCTCGGCTCGGGTCGGGTGGATGTCGGATTCGGATTGTGCCGGCGGTGGGTTCGGCTAAATTGATTTCGGGCAATCAGGCACGGATCAGCCGAGGCGGTCAACGCCGGCGGTCGAGCAGCACTCGCCTCCTCCAACTTCAGCACCACCACCACATGCCTAGCCATGACGGCGCTTTCTGCACTCACATCCTTGCTCTGGCACGTCGGACAAGCGGCACTCACTGTCTCTCCATACATCATCGTCGTCGGGCTCACCAGGACGCCTAGGAACGCCGTCTACATCACTCCCGAGACGCTGGTGCTCATAGCCGTCTCTTGTGCGCTTGAATACCGAGACGATGCATCCCGCCGTCTGTTCGCTTGGGGGCAGCTGGGTGCGAGTCTGCACCTCGTAGGCATGGCTGTGGCATCGGCCATGGCATTCCGCATCCGCGCTCGCGTCAGCATGCCCAAGACTCAGGCCATCCCAGTTCGAACCTCTGCCGACAACGTCAGCACCGAGGATGACGCGCCTCCTCCTGCCAACAATCGCATCTCCCAACAGCTCAACAAGAACAGCATGGTCTGCATTCTGTGCTATCTCGGCGGCATTCTGATCTATAACTCTACCGTCGCTCTCTTTGGTTGGCTTGGCATGCGCTTGTTCGGGACTCCGAAACCCTTAAGTGCCATCTGGCTCGAACACTGGTCTGTCTCCGTAGCAGCGCTCCAGATCGTCGCCTTGTGGCCACAGTATGAGCTCATGATTCAGATCAACAAGGCGAAAGCAAGCTTGCCGCATCCAGACCTCCCGCTGCCAGAGGGTCTCAGTCAGGACGAGCAAAGCAGAAGATTTGAAGCGCCAAAAATGCTCTGGGCTTTCCTGGTGGCATTTCAGGGTGGAACGGCGATCATGTTCCCCAGCTTGTTGATGCAGGGGATCGAGGCCAAAGGGCGTGACGATCCGCTGGTGGTCACGACCACGATAGCAGCCTTTCATATGATCGTACTTCTAGGGTTCGTCGCAAGGCTCAAGATCCTGCCGCCGGGACGGCTCATTACGTTCGAGGAAGCACAAGCGGCCGACCAAGAGGCTGGCATCAGGCTCGGATAACGACACCACTTCCGGCTTAATCGATCATACTTTAACAGCCTCACACTGTCGATCTGCGCATCTGTTTGTGCTTCATCGCATGTCGGTTGATGAACACAGGGCGGCATGAGTCGTCAAAGGACGCATGTCACAGAATCGCCAAGACCCCAAGCGCGCGGTGCTGGGTCGTGGAGGGCACGCAGCAGACGAAACGCAGAAGAGAGACCAATTTCGGACGTCCTATTCCTAGCCCTAACTCTATGGCTCATGTCAGAGCCAGATCAGATCGTGGCCATGGAAGTCGGCTGCAAACCTTCTTGACTCGACGTTGACAAATGGCGGGTGTGTACACGAGGGCCAGCCAATCGCTTGTGAGTTGCAAGCAGCAGAGTCGTCGTGACTCCAGCTTGTATCGTCGGCATGACGCAGCAGCAGTCTCTCTGCAGTCAAGAACGACTAGTCAGTCTTGCTGGCCTTTGTGCTTGCAGCAGACCTGGCCGAGCCCGGCGAAAAGTCAAAGAAGGAACCATTCGCCAGAGGCTGCAGATAGTGATCGAAGTCCTCCAGAGACTGCGGCTGCTCTTCCTTGATCATGCGCGTATACTTCTTCATCGCTTCGTGCGTCTCTGCCACCAAAGCAGCACCTCCAAACCAGCCCTGCTCGCGCAACAAGCCTTCGGAAAGTGTCATCGAGCCGCCTACGTGGATCGAGTCCTTGATGGCTTGAATCGCATACGGGCTGCGTCTGGCGAGATGCTTGGCCACCCCGACGGCCGTGTCGAGCAAGTCTTCGGCTCGACTCACTCGATTGACCAAGCCGAGCTCCAGCGCCTCGGAAGAGGTGAGCGTCTTCCCTTCCAGGCACAATTCCAGCGCTTTAGCCGTGCCCAGGGTTCGCGAGAAGAATTGCGTTCCGCCGCCTCCCGGGATGAGGCCGATCAAGCTCTCCACTTGGCCCATGACGGGTCTATCTGTGTCAATCAGGATCCGGTAATCGCAAGCAAGCGCAAACTCGCATCCGCCACCAAAGCATAGACCGTTGATGGCGGCGACGAATACTTGCGGCTTGCTGCGGAAGAGATTGCAGACTTCCTTGTAGAGATTGAGATCGGCGATACCAGCGAACAGCGTCTTTCGAGTGAGATACCTGAGTCCGAGTGACGCGATCAGGCTCTCGAGACGCAAAGCCGCTCGCAGAAGAAATGGGGGGGCCGGCATCCACGATGGCACCGAAAGTCCAAAGTCGATGATCTCGTCCACGCTGTAGTGAGTTACGAAGATGTCCTGCACTCCTCCTGTCAAGATCACCGCACGTGTGGTCTTGATGTCGAGTGGAGCAATGATCCCGTTCAGCTCGTCGAAGCATTGCCTGTCGAGGAAGTTGTAAGGCTCATTGACGAGACGGATGATGAGGATGTCATCTTGAGGTCGCCTCGTCTGGAGGTGTGGCGTCGCTTGTACCCAATCCGCCATGTTGTGCTCGGTCTCCGGTCGACTTTCGTGTTCGTCTTGTTGCACAATGGACAAACTTGATGGGGTTCGGTCTGCCCCCGCCGTTCTTCAAAGCTCATCTTATATACCCTCCGGCCGCTCGACTTGTTCGTCTGGGACGCGCAGCTACATGACGCACACCCCGAGCCGAGGAACATGGCAGCCTCCACCCGCGAAAGCGGCTCCCTCTGTCGGTGGCATCGTCGATGCTAGCATCAATTGGCGAGGAACAAGCTGACGGAGCTCGGCGGCCACCTCGGTTAGCGCTCATTTAAATATTTAACGTCATTCTTTGAAACCGGCTTTTCCTCTGCACATATTTCCGATAATTGACGTGAACGAGGACAAATCTACCTGCGCGGGAAGTGTCGTGGCCGAAGAGCGGATTCTCCACAGATGACCGGGATCTTTTTAGGCTCGAGGGTCCAGTCGACCTCGGTTCAGCCCAGGAGCGTCGATGCGGAAGCCTTGATCTGGTCGCACCCGTGTGGTGACCGGACCTTCCCTGGTAGACTGGAGTGTGGACTAGCAGGAGGTGACGGGCCCAGCAGAGACATGGCAAAGGTCTGAGACTTTGATGAACAAGCTAGTGCCGGATAGGATCCAATCGACACAGCAAAGGCGCACACGGAGGAACCACCGGCCCTGGCACCAGGCTGGCGAGCCCACGTAACTTTACATTTGACATTTGAACGCCAGCGGAAGCCGAGAACGCTTGCTGAACGCGCCGTCGCGGCAAGTGGCGCGGGCTTGTTCACGCTGCAATCATCAAAGCGCATCGCACCGCTTCCGCGCATACCGCAAAGAGCATTTCGCATGTCGTTGCCAGAGCCAGTGCATGTCTAGTCACAAAATCCTGGAGCTGCCTTTGCCTTCGTCTCCAATGCTTGAGTGACTGCTTCAGTCTGCAGCCAGTGGAACATATTCGGGACGCTCCCTCACCCTGTCCCTTGTCAGCAAATCTGCAGAAAGGCGAAACGCGATGCTGACCAAAACAGCGAGGAGTATGGTGTAGGCAAGACTCTTCGTGCTCGAGTTCATGATCCACGGCCGTCTGCTAACGTACCGTGGACGCTTCAGGTCCCATTGAAAGAGCGATTCCGCCTGCATGGCTGCGAGATCACCGGGATCGTGTCCTGTGTAGTGTCGGATCGTTGTCTTGACGAAGTCTGCACACTGACTGCCTTTCATGCTTGCAACACAAAGGCTGGCTGGGCCCGACGGATTCGCAAGGATCCAGCCTCCGAAAGAGCGGCTACGCTGAGATGAGGTGGCAGGTGCCATGGTCGAGGTCTTGACCGGATGCAGAATCAGGGGCATGATGCACGCATCCGCACGCGACTGCCACTGCGCGTAGATCCGTTCCGCAATCGTCGATGCGTAATAGTACGATGCGTCCTTGAGCACCTGCTCCTGCTGTTTGGACAATGACGCACGTGCCGGGTTGATCAGATTGTCCATCTTAGCTGGCGTGGCTTGGTACCTGAAAGCTACCGGATGCGGGTAGTGGACGAGCTTGAAGCGGGTCTCGCACTGCGACTTCTCGTTCGAAGCAGAAGGCGGCACCGATCGGAAGGCGAGACTGGGTGCCATGGCCTCGCAGAAGAACGACTCGCCTTCGTTTGCAGACATGTCTTCCAACGCCAGGACTGCGCGTCGACTGAGCCACATGTTGGTGCCCACAGAGGCAGCGCGTTGCGTAGACTGCATAGAAGCGAAGCCTTGAACGTCATACTCCCAGTACCAGCCGGAGTCTTGGGGATTGCGGACGGGGGACAGCACAATCACGTCAGCGCTCTTGTTGATGCATTTCGCTCGCCCAGCAAGCTCAGACCCGTGCGATTCGCTGGAGTGTCCTCGCACTGGCCACCGGGTGTATGTCTGCGCGCTGGCTCGGAAGGCGTAGCTGCGCATCGACTCCAACATGCGATCGTACGTGTGGGTGAAGCGCGTGTCAATCTCCCAGTTGATCAGGCTCTCGTACTCAGGATGTTCCACCGCAAATCGTTGTAGCGGTAGCAGGCAACCGCGATACGAGTCGGCGCCTCGGATTCCCGGCCGAAAGTCGCCACCGAGGGGATAGCGCAGCAACATCTCTTGCTCGTGCCACAAGGTGACCAGAGGCCAAAATTCGATTGGCACGCTGCCTCTGAGGATCCGCTTGCGGCCCCCATTGCTGAACATGGATGCGGACACCGCCGCATCCTTGACTTCAAGCAGGATGTGTACGTCGACTTCAAACTCGAGCTTGCTCGAACGCAACTCCCACACGAGCGCGCGAAGATGAACGATGGCGTCGTGCGACCAGTTGAAATCCTGATAACAACGAACGACAAAGGCCACGCGTGGCCTCTGTACGCCCATAAATGGTTCAGCATCAGCTGTCGCTGAAGGTCTGGCTTGCATCGCATCGCATCGAGACAGCAGCGTTGCGTCGGTCCAGTCAACATGCGGATACGACTTTGGTTCATGCTCAGCCAGCAGATTTGCAAGCCAGATCAGGTCGCCTGTGATCGCAACACTCGATGGCAGGGCCAGCTGCTCCTGTGCACGTGTGATGTATGTATTGCCCCCGGTGCCGCCGTCGTACGGCTTAAAGCGCGAGTCGTAGTGAAAGCACAAGTCAGACGCAAGCCCAGCCCCGTCGGTCGACCCGATCGGAACCGCGTCCTTGAAGCTTGTGCTGTTGACCGCAGTAGCTCCTGGCAGGAAGCATGTCGTGTTGGAAGAGATTGGTCTAGCAGCCAAGTTGTCGAAGACAGCAAGGCTCGACTCGGGCAGGTACAGCGAATGCCAAGGGTAGATGCGCGCAAAGTGGATCGCCAGCGCAGAAACTACCGCTAGCGTCAGAGTCAGTGTCCAGCGTCCCACTATGTGCTTGCGAGAACGGCTTAACGCCAGCATGGCGATGCGACCGATGCTGCCGGTGGCGTTGACGGTCGAGGTCGTGAAACAAGATGAAGGAAGAAGGATCGTTCCGAACAGGAGTTCTCGCCGCAATTTCTCGAGATAACAGTCGGCCGCTTAGGGTTCCTCGCCCTATGGCGTGGTCCGCCGGCAGGGGCGACAAGACGCGTTCCGCGGCGGTGCGTGCCGCGGCGGCGGCGGACGCGTCCGTCCCGCCAAAATTGCGTCGGCGTCCGTGCCCGTTGGGTCCAACGGACAGGTCCAAGGACACTGGTCCAGTGCGGCGACAGATCCAAATTTTCCTTGGCTGGAGCGACGGACGGGGGGCTACAGACGCGTCCAAATTGGCAGGAAATTGGCTGGGCGGCGGACGGGATGTGGAGGACTGGAAAAGTGCCCAACAGACAGATCCAACTTTTTGCGCCTGGGCCCGGCCAGCTGGGGTTGGCCCGTTGCCGCCGCCACCTGCCCGCTGTCTGTTGCCCTGCTGGCTGCTGGCTGCTGGCTACCTGCTGTCTGCTGCCCTGCTGTCCGCTGCCCTGCTGTCCGTTGCCCGCCCTGCTGTCCGTCGCCTGCCCTGCTGTCCGTCGCCTGCCCTGCTGTCCGTCGCCTGCCCTGCTGTCCGTCGCCTGCCCTGCTATCCGTCGCCCGCCCTGCTATCCGTCGCCCGCCCTGCTGTCCGTCGCCTGCCCTGCTGCTGTCCGTTGCCCCGCTGTGCGTTGCCACGCTGGCCACTGTCTACTGGTCTGGCTGCAGTCTGCTGGCACGGCTGACCACTGACCAGCCGAGCAAGGCAAAATTTTTCACCGTCCATACTTGGCACACGCAAGCATCACATTCAGCACGCCTCTCACAATCAGCACGCCTATCTTCTCTTCCGCCCTGCACCATTCAACACAATCTGTGGCCTACCAGAGTAGGGTCCTAGCTGCCGTGCCCAGCGCAATGAGGCTAGCAATGCCTATCAGCGCTTTCACACACGCCAGCAACCGTTCCTGCACAGCGCTCCCACGCATGCCCATTGCTCAGACCACCGGAAGACCACGCACCCTCGGTTGCTGCACACCCACCACTGTCTGCCCTTGCCAACGTGCACGCACCACATGCACTTCTACTCTCTGCCGCACGCAACTGTTGCAATTCCTACCGCACTTGCATTGGATACCAAGCCTGTGTGCAGTCTGTGTGACCGCTGTTCTGCATTCTATATATTGACCTGGTACCGTCAAGCTCCATTGGCATACCCGCCAAGCTCTTACAATCCGCTGACTTATACTTTGCAGCCGCAACAATCAAAAGCATCCCCACCATGGCGCTCCTTTCCAAGCCGTCCAGCAATGACGGTGACCATCCAGGCAGCCAGCTGCCACTTGGCTCCCCTGTCTCACTCAGCCAGCTCTTTGCCGCTGCCAGGTACGTGATCCAGACCACCGTTCCGCCCCATTGTGCACTCAGTAGCGCTGACCTCCCTCTTTCTCTGCAGCAGTGACCCCGCGCAGGCTTCTGCAGACGCAGATGCAGACAGTGACTTTGATGCTGACGCTGCCATTGATCCTACAGCAGCCGCACAGCTGGAGCGGTTCTTAGGGTTAGGGTTAGGGTTAGGGTTAGGGTTAGGGTTAGGGTTAGGGTTAGGGTTAGGGTTAGGGTTAGGGTTAGGGTTAGGGTTAGGGT